ATAAGAACTAAAAGAAAAGCGAAAGCGAAAGGGATGATAGCGATGACGCAAACAATGCCAGCGAAAACGACGATGAGGAGGAAGATTGGCTGATGGGAAGTGATTGGGCTCCCAGTCATTGAACGCTATTCCATAATTAAGTCACACATATAGTTTTTAAGTTCTCCCTAAGAGCAAAACAAAACTTTTTATGGTATTAATAATTTCCCATAATTTTTTATTTTTATCATGAATTGGTTTTTGTAGGCACTTTCGTTTTGATGACCTATTGGGGTTTAGTCAGTCGTTTTTCTCTGTCTTCGGTTAGAGTTTGGGTTTTGGCACATTATCCCGGGAGCCCAATGATGACGGTTGCTCTTGTTCCAGAGGCCAAAGCACCACCAGAGTTATCATAGCCATGTTAAGAACACCAGGACATCCGAGGAATTGCTGAGGCTTGCGCATTGAGTTCTCCACGGGCATCACTACACCAATTCCCTACATTGCGAAGATGACCGTCGCAAAGAAGAGGGGAATGTGCGCGGCCGGGGCGATCAGCGGCTTATCAGAGTAGACTAGTGGTTCGTCAAACATGTAGTACAGGACAATCACGAAGGTAATCACAATGAACACATTGGCCATCAGCGAAAACGGAACCAGCCACTTGAGATTCCGGATCTGTCCGATTAACAGACACGGAATAACCGTTAGGGCAATATAGATTCGTACATCCCAGTTTAGGTTGCAGTCGAAGTTAATGACGTCGTGGAAGGAGGTGGCAATGAATACGATGTACAATGTAAAAATTTTTTTCCCACTTAATACCAACTGTTCGGGCCAGCCGCCAAATAATAACCGTAGCTTTAAGAATTATTATTGTATGAGCAGAGAGAGCCGCTTATGTTGTAAAACGTTGACTTTCTGCAGAGCTGCTGCGCTCCCGCTAAAGGGGCTCTCTGCCGCCGCCACTTCGGCAATTACCTTGATCTGCCGCCGCCACTTCGGCAATAACTTTGATCTGACGCCGTCGTCTATTTTAGTTCTATGCTAACCCCTCTGCTCATTGGTTACATATCGATCTCGCATAAATTTTATCTGGCCATAGCAAACAATCGGTTTCCGCTAAGCCACCAAAATTAAATACGAATTATAAAGATTAAACCAAATTCTATTTTCATTTTTGAAACACATACATACATAGGTGCCAAAAAAGCTTGGCATCTCAAACACCAACATTAAAAGCAAACCCAAATAGGTGCTATGCACCTTAACGTATTTCTTAAATATGAAAACTGCAAACGATACGTAACAATAACTGACTTAAAACTATGTCGTACACTTTCGTTTTTCTTGCAAAAGCCTTGTGTTCATAATTCTTTTCCATCTTGATAATTTAGCAATAAATTCTCTAAGCATTTCATGATGTAATTGAATTTTAACCAAATTCTGGGGCACTCGATCGAATAAAGATTAATACCGGCTTTGTTGCGAAAAACAAGAGCATAACTTCGGTTTATACACTGTAATTCATATTCTTTAAAAAAGGATCGTCGTGTTTGCCGACTATTTCCGATTTAAAAATGTATCCCTCTCACCAACAACATCAAATTAAATCTCCCCAGGAAGAAAATTGGTAGCTACATTTTCGTTGTATGGTTTATTGAAATCGTTTCAGAGTTTTACATATAACTCTTCACATTTCTGTAATCTTCAATAGCCTCAAGCTCAAAACGTACGTGCCGATATACAGTGGGATATTCCGCCATTTCAGCTTGAAAAATTAATAACTTCTGAACGAATAGAGATATTTTCATGACATAAACATAATTTGAACGGGAAATCTTTAAAATCTTTATTTTTTCGAGTACACGGTGCTAGGATATCTAGAAGATCTGATCGATTTGGGGCTGTATACACTTTTAATAATAATATTTTTTTTCTGTTTCCTTTTTTCAGCTTTTGAGGTTCTATCAGAGGCTGTGTTATTTTTATCACATAATTTAAGTATCTTTCGCCTGGTATTAAACTTTGCAATTCTGAAACCCTGATAAATGTAGCTATAAATCGGACCCAAACACTTTATAGATTAAGCTTACCGTATACCTGAGGCTACAACGCTCTTAAATTATTCTGACTGCTGCAATTGAAATGCTTACTGGTTCTGAATCGGCCCAGCGGTCTCGCAAGCCCGTGTTCATGGCTGATGCCGCCTATGCCATTCTGTCGACACAGCCCAAGCAATTTACTGGTCAATTCATTGTCGATGATGAAGTGCTTGGAGCAGCTTGGATCAAAGATCTCATTAGCGGCGCTGAGCAGGGAACCTGGTACTTGGACTTGAGGAATGGAACAGAGTTCTGCGACTATTATATTATTATATACATTATATACATTATTATATTATATATATTATATAATTGTATTATATTTCGTAGAGAAAACAAACGAAATGACAAGATAAATAGTTTAAAACACATTTTGATTGTATTGTGCAAAAGTAAAAAGTACTTAAAAATACATTCCTAGGATTGTACTAGGCTCACCTGTTTTTTATGTGTACAGCCATACCTCTGGCGGGTACGCTGCCGTTCGTAAATTGTGGGGAGGCGACAGATACTACCTCGAGAATGTCGGGATGGTAGCAAAACACTAGCAATTAGGGTCCATTGCATTGACAAGTTCACCAATGTCCGTGTTCGCAAAGAACAAAATCGTCGTCCGAAACTATATTTTAATTATTCCAGTTAAACAAGTGACTGGCCGGGCGCAGGCCTATTTGTGTCGCCACCAACGGCCAGTCGACACTCCTGCCCGGCTAATACCTTTCTTAAAAATGCTCCTTGATGTAGGAGAATGGTTCCTACGGAGAGAAAAATTAAAAACAATTGCCTGAAAAAGTAAAAAAAAACATAAATTTTCTGTATTCGCATACAAGAGATTCGTAATAATACTTACAAGTCAATTACAACTTTAATAGAATACCATAAAGTTTATTATTGTTATTGGAGGGGTTTCGGGAAAGCAAACAATTGGGTGACGTTAGTATCGTATAAATATTAATGTCAATATTTTTCAATATTTATTAGTATTTATAATGTATTTATACGACGGTACATTACTCAAAAACAAATTGTCTTTGGTAAAATGTAAATTTTCTGTGTTAAAATGTCACTTAAAATCTTTAAATGTAAACGTTTCTTTGCCCTGCATCCAAATTTAGAAATCTAAAAGCCACAAAATTCTATAAAATTAAAAAACTGTAAATATGTAACCATATGTAAATTAATTAAATTTCAAGATTCCAGATGACATTCCTGGCGAAATGAGGGCATATTAATCAGTTGATACGACAACTAATGAAGAGGATGTCGTGAACTATCCACCGGAATTTTTCAACTCACTTGATTTTCCAGGATTGCCGCCTCACAATCTTAAACTTGCCAACTTTATTTTGATATTAAAGGTTCAAATTTCCGTGTAAAATTTGGCTCACACGTTTCCTGGGGATTTTTAATCCGAGTTCTGCCTTGATTTTGTTACAGCTCAACATACAACAGGCAACATTCTGCATCCCATACCCTATTGAAAAGGATATTATAGAATTGCGGAAATATTTGTCATCTAGGCTCACATGAATGCAGAAACTAGTTAGGTTCATCTCATTTTGAAGACCAAGAACGAGTATCGGGATCAGGATATGTACATAGGAAACTAATCAAAATTCATGAATAGGGTCTAAGACATATCAATTTGAGAACATTTTATTAATTAATTACGGTTTAATTGGAAAACAGCATCTTTATGGCCACACTCCGCTGAAAAGCAACAGTCTTCAAATACCAGCAACATTGATGGACAACAATGCGACTGTTTTTTTGTTGAGCTTTTTAACCTTGTTTTAGTCAAAATACAATAAATGGGAGTACTTAAAAGTAGTTAATTTTGTAGAAAATGTATTCATCAATGCGATATAACAATGTGGGCAGGGCCGAGGGTTTTAGTTAGCCGCATTATTCAACGGAATATCAAAATTTAGCAACAGGAACGATCTCTCTTAGGTTTTTTTTTGTTTGACCATTTTCGCTAAAACCTCTTTTTACGCAAAATGCAATAAAAGCAAGTGTTTAAAATAAACCAGTCAATTTAAAAATAGATTCAATAATCGGATAAAATTATGTGGGCATGGCTAAATGTTCTATATAGCTAGTAATATTCCAAGGAATACAAAAAACGAGGAATATGTAAAATAGAACTTGAAGTCGTCAGTATATTTACGGTACATTTTTAAAATGAGGCGGTATATTTTGGTATATGAAAAGATGAGAAGGTATATTTGACCAATACGTCCGCGGTCACACTGACGCCAACGTCGCGCCGTGAGGTTGTTTTTTTACGTTTTAGTTTTAAGTTTAGCGCGTTTTTACCCGATGCCGGTGTCGCCCAAATAATGCTAGACACAGCATAAAGCAACGGTGAGAGTGGCACTTTTGCCGATTACCATACTCTGGGCTGTCAGTTATTCGTGTGACTTCTATTTAGGCATAACTTTAAACGTTTAAGAACCCGCAAACACACGCAGAAGAAAGTGTGGAAAAATGGGTCGAAGTCGCAGTCCCGCCTCTCCAGCCCACAGAAGACGTGAGAAAGAGCGCACAGAGAGAAAAAAGAGACGCGAACGCCGATCCAGAGAAAGAGAGGCGCAGAAAGAGAGCAGCAGCAGCGGTCGTCGTGACCGCGATCGTGAACGCGAGAGGAGTCGCAGCCGTGACAGAGATCGTGCGCGCGGAGGAGGACGGCGTTCTAGGTGAATAACAAAGTGTAGTGTACCAAAAACCAAGCCAAACGATAAGTATAAAAAGTAATATCCCCAATATTATTTATCCATACACATTATGTATTGGTAATGGGGGTGGTGGGGCATAAACACGGAAAAGTTACAAAATATCGATAGGGATTCAATAGTTTTTCCACAAGAGCGCTATCGAGCAGGTCATCGGTTCTTTTGCAGCTCTGTCGGCGCCCTAAAAAATTACCACGTGAAGTGAAATTTATCCGAATTTCATCACAACGTCGAACAAAATCACTGAAAATAGTATAAAGCATATCTAGAAACTAGGTAGATTCGGGCTCAGTCAAGCCGAATACACACCACTCCACTCAACAAACACAGAAGAAGAACCGACTTTAAAAGACACAGAAAAAATGGCGCTTCGCGTGCAATTCGAGAACAACGATGACATCGGCGTCTTCACCAAACTCACAAATACATATTGTCTAGTCGCCATTGGCGGCTCCGAGACCTTCTACAGTGCTTTCGAGGCCGAATTGGCCGAGACCATTCCGGTGGTGCATGCAAATGTGGGAGGCTGCCGCATCATCGGACGCCTCACTGTCGGCAACCGCAACGGGCTGCTGGTGCCCAACTCGACCACAGACGAAGAGCTGCAGCATCTGCGCAATAGTCTGCCAGACGCCGTAAAGATCCAGCGGGTGGAGGAGCGTCTCTCAGCCCTGGGCAACGTGGTGGCCTGCAACGATTATGTGGCCCTTGTTCATCCTGATTTGGACAAGGAGACAGAGGAGATTATTGGGGACGTCCTCAATGTGGAGGTCTTTCGCCAGACCATTGCCGACAACACCTTGGTCGGCTCCTACACTGTACTGAGCAACCAGGGAGGCATGGTGCATCCCAAGACGAGCATACAGGACCAGGACGAGCTGTCTTCTCTGCTGCAGGTTCCCCTCGTAGCTGGAACGGTGAACCGTGGTAGCGAGGTCCTCGCGGCCGGCATGGTGGTCAACGATTGGCTCTCCTTTGTGGGCATGAACACAACAGCCACAGAGATATCGGTGATTGAGAGCGTCTTTAAGCTGAATCAGGCACAGCCGGCTGCGGTGACAACCAAATTACGCGCGGCCCTGATTGAGGACATGTCCTAGGCGGACATTCCGTTTTAATCAAACCCTTATATATGTACTTGATCTAAGCGATATCTTTGTTATCTTCTATACAATGTCATTTAAGAGCGCAATGCGAAATACAAAAAAGCAACACGAAACACATTAGATCCGTTTAGTCAATATGTTGTTTATGCCCTAGCTATGATAGACATACGATTCCATACGACCCTTTAATGAAGTGCCCGGACTGGTTCTCGTTCTTCTGGGTATCATATTTCCTTTCCGTAATTAAATAACAAATTCCAATTGCACAGCCCGATGCAATGCGATTCCAGGCTGCCCCAATTAATTGTCAAGCTTTTCTCGACCCAAGTGTAATCATCTTTCACTGCAGAACGAAACTGTCACTCACCAAAGCTGAAATTCCCAATTTGCAGATCACGTTCGAGAGGCGGCGGCGGCGGTGCTGCTGGCGGCGGAAATAGCAGCAGCAACAACAGCAGCTCCGGACCATCAACGTCCAGGCGAACCACACGAAACAAAGCAGCGGCCGCTGCAGCAGCTGCTGATCGTCCCCAGATTAATGATGCCGATCTGGAGGGTAAATCGCCGGAAGAGGTTGAGATGCTCAAGACTATGGGTTTCTGCACGTTCGACACCACTAAGAACAAGAAGGTCGAGGGCAATGATGTCGGTGAAGTGCACGTAATCCTCAAGCGCAAGTATCGCCAGTATATGAACCGCAAGGGTGGCTTCAACAGGCCGCTCGATTTCGTGGCCTAGCTGTCGGAGGAGTCCTTTTTCGCTCCTTCGCTGCCCTGGCGGCCACTACCAACCAAACTAGTTTGCTACGATTTTTTACTTGTCCTCGTTGCACGCCTGCCTTCGTTGCACGCACGGGGCCGAGCGACGACGGACAAAAACCTGCAATTTTATGCAATAGACCGGTTTACAAAATTCTCCAATTTTTATCCCAACAAAAATTTCCACTCAATCAACCAAACCTCCCAGCAACAGCACTACACACACTCATACCTCAGTTAGTTATTTAGTAGTAGTATATTTAGCCAGAAGTGCGCCTTTGTTATAAAGTTACCACGTTAATTTTACAACAAATATCTGAAGCTGAAAGCAAAGCCCCACAAAAGCCCTATCCTATAACATAATGCAAAATGTTCGAGATTTGGGGAGTCTGCTTTCAGTTGCATTTGAGGCGCACGACGACGATTGATTTTTAAATATTTCAAAGTAATTAACAATTGTTCTTGTTGACATCACATCATTTTGAACGGAATACGAATTAACTGAAGGCCAGCCTGCGCCTAAAATTCACAACAGCAAAATTTCCAAACCACACACAGACAATTACTTAAAGTATTTGAAAACACACACCCGAAACAAACCAATCCCTATTTCTCCTGATCCTGATCCCAAAACTATCCCACAAAAAACTCCTCCATACGCTGCAATAGTACAACTTTTACAACCAAACAAATATATATCAAATATATATTTAATATATATGAAATTAATTATATACACACACACCACAAGTACCTTATCCTGATGATCCCCCAGATAAACCGAACAATAGCCATAGCAATTTGTTGAAAGAAACGTTATTTGTTAACAATCAAAATGTTGTAATTAAACCAGTTAATTCCGATTTAAATCACAAGTGCCAACGCAGATCAGGCAGATCAACGCTTAAGATGATTCACCTTTTATATAAACATATTTGTATGATCATTTTGTACTCTTTTATAGGACTATTAAATCTACACATATGTATTTGTATGACAACAAACAAACTATTATAAGCAATAGTGACAGTTTTTTTCTACTTTTGGCAAATACTATTTATTGGAAATTGAAAAACCTTTGGCCCACACACTCACTTATTTCTCCATTATCTGTAGCCCTTAACTATATCGAAATTGCAGGGATTATTTCTTATTTTATATTCTCCTACTATAAACTGAACGAAAATGTAAGAAAATAAAATCGAAACATTTATATCATTCAATATTTTTGTATTTATTTTTAAAGGAACAAATTACAAATAAATAAATTTACTTTAGTGGAAACTTTCTTGGATGAAAAATCTTAAAAAAGAAAAATGGATTTAAAAAAAAAGTCAATGGTTAAAAGGTAATTTCGATTATTGATCCTGACAAAATGGCTAGAACGTGTCTATACATATGTACATAAGTACATAGTATCCCAGCTTCGATATTAAGACCTATATTACCGGGATTGGCCATATGCACCTTTGGTTGAATGAGACATTCAGTTATGATGTTCACAAAAAATGAACTAAAAGTTACATTCGGTCATTACGGTTTGTGTTTAAATTTATTTTTTAATACATTTTAATACATCCTTTTTGAAATTTGATTTAAATTCAAATACATAATGAAATGCTTAGAGAATTTATTATTACATTATCGAGAAGGAAAACAATTATGAACACAAGGCTTTTGCAACAAAAATGAAAGTGTACGACTAAGGTTTAAGTTAGTTATTGTTAAGTTTCGTTTACAGTTTCCATATTTAAGAAATACATGTTAAGGTGCCATAGCACGTGGAAACTGGCTTTGCTTTTAATGCTGGTATTAAGTGTGGAAAATCTTTTTTTTTGTGCGCAGAGCAGAGGACCTGACATGCTGAAAGTATATGTGAAAACGATTTGCTTTGAAAAATGCGATTTTTTCTCGATTCTATTTCAGTTCGTTAGTCTTTTGCTGCTGGTCCAATTACTGAGACCGACTGGATCTAATCCGCCTTACGAGGTTTGCGCTTGCGCACTTGGTCTGTCTTTTCGAGTTTTTCTGGAACGGCATCGCCACCCTGCTGCGCTACTTCTTTGTCGGTCTTCTCCGGCTCACCATCATCATCGGCTTCATCGTCCTCCTTCTCGTCTTCCGGCTCTTCTTCGTCGACGCTGTCACGCTGCTGCTCCTCATCATCATCGTCGTCAGCCTCGCCATCATCTTCGATTTCCTCGGTGGCCAGATCTTCAACGCCCTCAGCTAGATTATCCTGAGACTCGGAGAAGCTCTGTCGCTGCGATTTCTTGGGTGGATACACAAAGTCCACAAGGCACACTAGCAGCAGTCCCAATGCAGCTCCAACGAAGATGGTGGCGATTGCAAACAGAGCATAGGAGCCCCATGTGGGCAGTCCATATTCCTCTTGAAGGCGTCCGTTGAAGTCCTTAAAGAGTTTTTGCGTGTGCTATTAGTATATGAACAACAAACACGAAGCAATGCAGAGAGCAAAGACCGGAATTATGAGTCAATTAGCAAATGGGAATGGAACGTAATCAGCTCTCAACACCAAGGGTCAGTTGGCGGTGATAAGCTTCCGCATCCCGCATGCAATGAACTGATGTGTGAGAAGTAGACATAAACACAGTGGATTGCTCATCGCAATTCACTTAAGCAGGTGAACGTACCTTCAGGGTGTGCGACAGTTTGAAGAAATAGGAAAGCACGGACATGTGTATGGTATCAGGCTTCTTCCAGGCGGATAGCGGCTCAATTTTCTGCCACTGCTGCTTCTTCACAAAGTACAGCAGAGCGTCCCCGTCGCGGGCTCCACGATACGGACGGAATTCGCCATCTTTGACGCTACAAAGGATCACATTATATGATACTGTTTTTTTGGTCAGTTATACGGTTAGATTAATGGCTCACTGATAGATGGTGGGCAAGGCTGTGACAAAGAAACGTCCGCTGAGGGATGGTGATGTGGTCACATCGATTTTGGCCACCTCCACTTTGACATCTTTCGCAACGCGTGCAAACCGCTCCCAAGTGGGTCCCAAGTTCTTGCAGGCCGGGCACCAAGGGGCAAAGCTGAAAATACATATTAAAACAGTTGCCTTGGAGAAGTGCGGGAGTGTGGGAGGGGTTGGTGGGAGGAACGGGCTCTGGAATGGGACTGCGTCACCAGCATGAGTCTGCACTGCGTACAGAAAGAAACAAAGAACGGTATGCAACATTCCACAAAACCAGCTTGCCCGGCGTGGTTGTTGTTGCAAGCTTGTTGCCGCATTTACACGCCGCATGAGGCCCACCACACACCGGACTGCGACTGCGTTACGTCAGGCGGGGAGCGAGGTGAGGATGGATGGAGAGCAGGGAGTCTCATTTTCTAACTCACAATTCAATCATCCATTCTCCCTTGAGCATCAAGTGCCAATTATCCTCGTCCAGTTCGATTATCTTGCCACCTGGCTGCAGTCCTGCCTGCGCCGTCGACATCAATACCGCTATGACACATGACGCGGCCACAAGCTGTGAATTACACTGCATTTGTTTATTTTCTTTTGCGGGCTATGTTATGCGTGGGACGTATTAGTCACACAATATGTAACACTTGACGCAACGAATTTAAATGGCTATTTTATTTGCTAAATTTTTATTCAATTTAAAATTCAAACAAAAGTAAAAAACTGCGACGCCGACCAGCAGTATGACCGCGGGTTTATCGTTAAAATATACCGTCCGACCCTCAGAAATATACCAAAATATACCGTCTCATTTAAAAAATATACCGTAAATATTCTGCCGAGTCCAAGTCCTATTTTACATATTCCTCGTTTTTGATATTTCGTGGTATATTACTATTAGCCCTGCCCACCTAATTTTATCCGGTTTTACTTGCTTTTATTTTATTTCTATATACCGTTGAAAATAAAATTTAATAGATTGATGAAATTTACAAAATTTTCCATTATATACCGATATACCGTAAGTATACCGTCGGTTCAATTTTGACCTCAATACCGAAAAATATTAAAAATACCGTAAGCGGTCACCCTGCCGACCAGTGCGACTGCGGACTTATTGATAAAATATACAGTTTGACCATATGAATTATACCGAAAATACGTCACAAATTTCGAAATATACTGACGAATTATTTGTATTTAAGTTCCATCATGTTGCTCGTACATTCTTTATCTGCTCCAGCTCCAGAATAATATCACGTCGATTTGGGAAATGCATCCATGTACAGTATATAAACCTAGCATGATTCGATAGTAGTTCAATTCATAATCGCCGCCCACCAGAACGAAATAAACCAGCAACTATCGATATACTTAAATTGCGACATTGCTAGACAGATAAAAATAAAAACAAAGAAAAACTACATCAAAACATTGAAAAACTAAATTTGCCTCTCGCTCGATTTGCTCGCGTAGTCTGCCAACAACATGGCTAATAATTATCTGCAGCCAGTGCACAATTACTTTGATGACGTGGACCGATTCGAGGATGTCGATGATGATTTGTTTCTGAAGAACAAGCGAACAAGTGCTAGCAGCCACAAACCACAGCAGCGCAGCACCAACCCGTTCGAAAACGATGATGACGAGGACTCTACAACCTCTTCAATCTCAGCTCAGAGGCAGGCGTACGCAGAGAAGAGACGAGCAATAGAGCAACGTACTCTAGACTCGACGGAAAAAAGCTTGGGTAATAATTTCAGAAAAGGCTCGCCAATTAAGAGGCGTTGTTAATTGATCACACACACGAAAACTCTAACAGGTCTGCTCTACGAAACCGAGGAGGTTGGAAAGGCCACGGCCATAGAGCTGGCCAAGCAACGGGAGCAGTTGGAAAAGACCTCACATCAATTGGATGAAATCAACTCGACCTTACGCTTTAGCCAGCGTCATCTGAATGGTCTAAAGAGTGTATTCGGTGGACTGAAGAACTATTTGTCAGGCAATCGAGATCAGCCAACCTCGGCCACGGCCTCGCCCACGGCCAGTCAATCCTCGCAGGAAGCCAACAGTAATGTTAACGCTGGAGTCTTCGGGGGATCATCCGCTCCCATGTCACCCTCTGAGCCCTACGATAACCATCCAGTAAGTCGGATCCGCGGAGAATCCAGCAGTAAATATCAGCCGACGACTCAGGCTGGCAACCCTTTTCAAGCTCAGTTGGACTCAAATCTTGAAGATATGTGTGACAATTTGTCGCGCTTGAAGTTTTTGGCAACTGATTTGGGCACTGAGATTGAATCGCAAAATGAGCTACTGGACAACATGAACTATAAAATCGAGGATGTCGACCTGAAGATGACCAGGCAAAACAAGGATATGAATAAATTGCTAAAAAAATAGTTTTAATCATCTTTATTGAATTCTTTATTATATTTATAACATAGTCATAACATATCTCTCGCATAATGAATGACCAGGCCATTGCAAATGCATTCCTCATTTTAGTTTTCAGCTTCACTTATTGAATAAAAAGTTCATATAAACGAAAAAAACAAACCTTTTTCTAAAAAATTGGTTGCCCAATGGAAAATATTCTCATTTCCGCACTGCACAAAAGGTAGAATTGTTTTTTTTCGAACTAGGTCTCGAACGGTCTGCATCACTGCAGCTGATCCGAGGGAGGGAGTCCGAGTCCGAGGGACTGGCGCTCCAGAAATCCAGGCAAAGAGAAGAATAAATCCGTTGATTCCACGTAGATTGCTTGCAGGGGTACATAGAACACTTGGCCGGAACCAGCACTCCCCACATAAATATCACTTCTATCCGTCGCCTGCGACTAGAAACGGTAAAAGATTTTCTAATTATACTAGACTACAAAATTAAATTTTTTAATTACTTTTCAAATACACAGATACATTTGGGCCGTTAGAAATGTTTAATGAATCATTGGTTTTTCTTGGTGTGGTTTTATCTATTCGTTCTATGAACTGGGACATCTGCATATGTACTCAGGAGTACTTAAAAGTAGCTAATCGTGTAGAAAAAAAAACTTTGTGGGCAGTTCGACCTTTTTTACATTACATTTTTTTGTTTATATAAAAAGTTCAGTAAAAGGGAGTGGCTAAAATTAGCATATCTTGAATAAAAATCGAGAAATACGGTTTCCCATCCTTGTCGGAACGATTAACCCATTGTCGCCCAAGGCGGTTTCTTAATATTCCACCAAAAATAAAGAAAATTGAATCATATTGGCGCTGTTCCAGCTAAAGATATCGTGTGTGTTTTTTTTTTTGTAATTTCAGAGAAAAGATTTATTTTCCGCGGTTTAGCTCAATTTGTTATCCTGTTTAAATAAAGAGGTCATAAGTGGGCTAAGGTCGTTTTTTTATCGGTATATACTTGGTATAGTTCTGAGGGTGTCACTGTCTAGCGCGCATTTTTTTAATTATACCAAACAAGTTAAAGTTGGGAAAAAGTGTGGAAAAAATGGAAGATAATTTTTCATATTGCACTCAAATGCTCAAGGAACCACTGCAACTTGGGTAAGCATCGAAATTTGACACATTTGCACAATCATGTGCTCACTAGACGCTGCCTCTTACTCTTCTAGAAAACTCGTTGGCTCTGGCTCACAATTTGAGGTAGAACAGTCGCCATTTGGGGCTGGCGATGATGATTTTAATGTCGACGAAATGGAAGATAGTGATAACGCTCCAGATGTTGATGAAGAAGAGCTCGCTTCTCCATGGACCCAATCGTTCGAGGAACTCAAAAAATTGATGGAGCCGATCAATGAGAACATTTTTAAGCGCATCACACGTGAGGGGCACCAGGGCCGAGGTCTGGTGCCAGACAAGGCACGTGTCGCTGTGCGCTATAGTGGTTATTGGGAAGGCGAGAGTTCTCCTTTTGATTCTTCATTGATGCGCCGCAATAAATTCTATTTTGAGACCGGTGCAGGTTGCGATGTGCTAGAAGGCCTCCAGGCTGCTGTACTTACCATGCGCCCATATGAAAAAGCCGAATTTATTATATCCTATAAGTTGCTATTTCACGAGATGGGCTGCCCGCCGCGCATTAAACCACGTTCAGATGGACTTTTCAAAATCGAAGTTCTTCACTTTACATTGATCGGGGACTCAGATGCCTTCGCGTCAATGGCCGCTGTGGATCAGGACAAGTTTGCAATAGTTTACCCCAAGGCATTAGACATGCACATGCATGGCAAGGACTGTGTGAAGCGCTTTCGCTACCGCAACGCCATCACTGCCTTCGAGCGGGCCGTAAGCTCTCTAAACTATTGCCGCCTAGCCAATGATGAGGATGAGTGCAAGCAAATCGCTCTGTTGATCACCCTCAATGTAACTATGCAACTTGTAGCGTCGTGGCTCATCCCCACTTATGTGTTTTTTCTTTTTTAAACTTTTCCAGCAAAACTTGATGATCTGCTACAATAAATTGCATAATCCCAAACGCGTGTGCATTACGATGAAAGCCTTGCGGCGTCTCACTGAAAATAAGCCTTCCTGTAAGGCCCTCTACCAGGAAGGTTGCGCCCTGTCCGCCTTAGGCGAATATGAGGATGCTCGGTGTATTTTTATGCAGGCTCAAGCCAAACAGCCCGATAACAATGAGATCAGTGCTAAGATTACTGACCTGGACAAGAAAATCAAAAAATACAAAGAGGCATCTCAGGACATTTGGACTCGTGCGTTGTCAGGCCAGAAGTTTAAAGAAGTAAAGGATGAAACCAAATGTAATCCCAGTCTTGAAGAACTTGTGAAGGTGCTTGAGACTTCCGAAAAATCGTCGGTGGAATTTTTGCGGGGTGCCTATATAAACTCGGACATTGTAATGTTATCCAAAATGGCCAAGGAGCACAAAATGAAACTAACGGTGTCTGCTATTGACGAGAATGAGTTGACGTTGTCCAAGCTAAATCTGCACTGATGTGTTTCCCATTGAAGGATTAATCCATATAAATAAAAGACATACAACCAAATTCAATATTTTACATTAGTTCTAGAAGAACTTAACGTTTATGTTGTACATACTGAAGAGTATGAAAATGAAATGTTTTATAAATACGAGTACAAGAATATATTTACTTTCTGTTGGTCAGAAAATGTCATCTGTTTTTGGAATATATTTTGTTTTTAAGCTGAAGCTCTGAGGACTATTTATTACTTATTTGATTGAATTTATATTCAGGTAGTCACATAAATGAACAGTTTGTTGTGTTTGGGCTGTGTACAAAGTGAGAAGAATGATTTACGTGTAGGAAGGTGGATGACTAACAACGTAGATATATGTAGGAGTAACTATTTAAAAATTGGAGGAATGACGATTTAGATCCTCAACCTTAAGATGTGTATCCTTTGGATTTTGCACTACCAAAACGGTTATCTTGCCATCAGGTGTTAGCAGGACCTCGTGGAATCTGGTACGGACTCGCAACATGGTCAGGAGCTGTGGTGGCTCCATTTTTGATAGAAATGCCTGACACTTTTCACGCAAATTCTCATAGAGACAGGCATGTTGAAGTGCGTCTTGGCGTTCCATTGACGTTTTGATCGGCACACCGGAACGATTCATGATTAGTATTTCTTCAACCCCTGGCTTTTCCTCTAAAAGTCGGTATACCTCATCAATATAACTCTTGGTACGCTTGGGCTGTGGAATTGGCGATTCGTTAGTTGAATTATAATACTTTGAGGTCTACATTTGATAGATAGGTATGTGCAAACCTCAGTTTCGGCTGCCTGCATTGTGTGTATTATATCTCAGAGCTCTACGCTTTGAGATCAGCTGGTAGCTCAAAAATAATGAATTTACTTGTTTAAATCAACTATCGCTAAGCTTGCTACATCATCTTTATTGGTATAATTTAACACTATAAAAAGTGCTTAGGCATACACTCCATCTACTCCATCAGCCCATCGTTTGGCACTGACTTTCGTCATAAATAAAACCATTGCTAGATTAATCAACAACAGAATAAATAACAATTTAAGTCTCATCTTAGCTGCTATCTTTAGTTACAAATATTTTCGTACGAAGTCGTAAACAGTTTTTGTATTATCAACAATTAGCACACACATTTTAAACCATGAAAATGGAATTATGACTGGATTGAATGGAGTGAAAACTCAAATTTTATTTAAAATTTAAACAAATTTTGGCGGCTAGTTTCAAATTGACCAAAATTTGTTAATGCAAGCAGTTTATTTAAGTGTGAACTGCTTGCTCAACAAAATTCACAATTTTCCGATTTCTGTGGAGTGACCTGTTTGGTGCTGCGCGTTGAGTCTCGCAGACTCTTTTGATGACATAGGTTCGAGACCGCCCGGAGACAAAGACTCAAATATTTCATTGCGTTTTTGAAATGAATCGCTGAGAGCGGTGCCCCTCTCTTTGGCCGGGTTAATTTTACAATAATTAATGCCGTAAATGCAAGAGGAGGTAGATTGATTGAACAGGTGGGAATTCGCCTTCGGTGCCCGTAACGGTTGTCAAATCCGTGGGAAAACTATCATCCTTGTTTCCCTCCACAATATTTTGAACATTTATTTACGAAACTCAAAGAGTATAGGCGTATAAGGGCAAGGGTGGGCTGGCATTTATATTTCTGACCCGATATCTGTTCTTGACGCCTAGTTCTCAGAGGCAGAGAAACCAAATTTTGTGTGTAATGGGTCGCGGTTTTCTAGTGTGATGGTTGCTGTGACGCGATTTACAAACTAGTAAACTTTTCTAGAGATCATGGCTAGCTATGGGGGATCTTTCGCCCAGGGCTATTTGCATGGGCTGGATCTTTTAGTTGTTCTAGTTAAACACATAAAAAAGATTTTATTTGCCAACCTGGCGTTACGGGTTACAGAAATCCAGTCGATTGTTTCATATGTATAGCCGCGCGGATTCAGGTGTTGTTATTTCGAGTTTACCCACCCAACCATGTAAACACTGCTCTTTTATTCCGTGTTAGTCCTTAAGCCTTAATATATTCTCCTCCCAGTACCCCATTGTAATTACTTTACTCCAATTAAATATCGACTAATCTTCATTGTATTTTCATTATAATAATCATACATTACAGCCTGTCAGCTTCTGGCGTTTTGTGAGGATATGCGCCATCGAAGTTACTGAGCCATAACTTGGGAAGTGTGCCGTCTCAATGATTGTACATTATTCAAAAATTCCGAACTTCTCATAAAACGATTTAACACGATAATAGCTTGATTCTAGGGGTTTGATCAACTATATGTATAGGAATAAGAATTTATGTACATACATATATGCATGGGTTTTTTCTTAATATATGTATGACGATGAGAAAATTTAAATGCAAAACTAAAATATTATTATTATCAGCAATCAGTCTTGTTGGTGGCTTATAATTGGTTCTCTATCGCTGCAACGAACCTGCATGCAAGTGGGGGTTATTTAACTGTAACTGTATGGAACAGTAATTAAATGTTGGGTCTTAAAACAGGGCTTAATTCTGGAGAGCACTTATAAAATTTCGGCACGCGAATTGATATATTGAGGCGGCCTTGGCATGTGCACCATGCCCCCTTAACAGAATTAACTGATATTAGCCGCATGTGCGAAAATTCATTGGTAGAGTTTGGTTACCTGATGGAAGGGGCTATGTAACTTGCTTTTATTTTTTTGTTCTTGCTTCGGTTCCCTCTATTAATATTATTCTTAGGGAACGCTCTAAAGCACAAGGGCTGGATAATACAACCGAGATAACCTAAAAAACATATCTACATATGTACATATATTCCATAGAAGATGAGACGGACACCACATTTTGGTTCCCATGATGTCACTGTCCTGTATATGAGCAATTGATCGATGAGCATCACCAAGTGATGGTCTACTCACAGATTCGCTTGGGCTTTCGTACTGTCTTCTGGTACGACGTTGTTGAAGGCTCCCTCGCTGGTACGACGTTGTTGAAGCTCCCTCGCTGTCGAGAAATAGAGATTACTTCATGGAGTGCCGTTTCCGTGGATGTTGTAGCCATGTAAGTATTTATAGGTGTTGTCAGTTTTAGCCTAGTTTTTTCCATGTTACACCAATTCTTTTGAGGTACCCCACCAAAGAGTTGCTTTTGAGAGGATCTTTTGTAGCCTAGCAAGTTCTAAAGTAGTTGTAGACTAGCTTTGTAGTCTGACCAGTGTTACTCTTAGTTATCACTTTTAACTCTGTTGAAAAAGAGTTCGGCATCTTCTGAGTAGGCCATCTACTTGTTTTGACCACCAGACTACCCTAGGTTTTGTTTCATACCTAGCGTTGTTTCATGCTTCCGTGAACCTGTTGTGTGTCTGGATATATTGGTGATTTAGAGGGGAGTAACTCCGCCAAGGTTGTGCTATATATTTTGATAAATATAGTCAACAGTTTGTGGCTCTCGAGGGATGGTATCGCCTCGACATACCTGTGTTCTGAGAAGGAGTGGTCCTCTAGGACTTTCCAGCTCTTGAAAGCTCGCCGCCGTGTTGTTGCCGGATTTTGCACTTATTTTGAGCTGATTGTAGCTTGTAAGTTGTAACTTGTAGCACAGGCCTTCTCTCCTACATTCTCAGGCTTCTGGATTAGTACTACTTCGCTTTTAACAGAGTTAAGAGGGTCCTTCCGGAATTTTCCCTACTCTGCTGGGAACTCCAGCGCTCATGCCAACTTGTCATAACAAATTACAGACAAAACAAGGTTGTAGACCCGATCTAGTAGATCTCCTGCCGATAATTCGAATTTGCAAAATCTTTAATCGGCAATGTCCTTCACCGGTACTTGTGACTCGCAGCGTCCCAACAGGTTGAGTTGGGAAGCATTCAAGCAACAGAAAAAAAAACTTTTACCAGCGAGGCTCGAGTTGCGTGTATTTATACCCGATACTCAAAATGAGTATTGGGGTATATTAGATTTGTGGTAAAAGTGGATGTGTGTAACGTCCAGAAGGAATCGTTTCCGACCCTATAAAGTATATATATTCTTGATCAGCATCAATAGCCGAGTCGATTGAGCCCTGTCTGTCTGTCCGTCTGTCCGTCCCCTTCAGCGCCTAATGCTCAAAGACTATAAGAGCTAGAGCAACGATGTTTTGGATCCAGACTTCTGTGATATGTCACTGCTCCAAAAATATTTCAAAACTTTGCCCCGCCCACTTCCGCCCCCACAAAGGGCGAAAATCTGTGGCATCCACAATTTCGACGATACGAGAAAACTAAAAACGCAGAATCGTAGAAGATGACTATATCTTCTAGAGTGCAAAATCTGAACCAGATCGTATAATTATTACAGCCAGAATCACGAAAACAATTTCACTCTTTCTCGCTCTGTCTCACTCTAACACACAGGTTTCATGGTCGGTTTTGCCAATTGCAAAATATGAGTTCAAGGATCTCAGAACCTATAAAAGCCAGAGCAACCAAATTTGGTATCCACACTCCTGTGATATCGGACCTTGACCGTTTCCTGTCCAAATTTCGCCACACCCCCTTCCGCCCCCGCAAAGGACGAAAATCTGAGGCAACCACAAATCTCAGAGACTATTAAGGCTAGAGTAACCAAATTTGGTGCACACACTCCTTTAAGATGTCACTATAAAACGTATATCTCAGAATTTCGCCCCACCCCCATCCGCCCCCACAAAGGACGAAAATCTGTTGCATCCACAATATTGCAGATTTGAGAAAACTAAAAACGCAGAATCATAGATAATGACCATATCTATTAGATTGCTGAATCTGGATCAGATCAGACCATTTTTTTTAGCCAAAAGGAACAAATCAATTTGCAGTGGCTACGCAGCGCCCGACGTCACGCTCAGACTGATTTTCTGTCTCTCTCGCACGCACTCTTTGTCGTGTCGTTAAATATTAGCGGCGTCTGCCGGAGGAGAGCCATACTGACTTAGTATCGGGTATAACCGTAGAGTTGCGGTGTCCGCAGCAACTCACAACGTTCCCCCTCGTTTGTTTTTGCATTCTTTGCCCCGAGGCTTTGCGAGGCTCGAGTTGCGTGTATTTTGTTTTTGCATTCTTTGCCCCGTGCCTCAAGGACACTGCTTGTACATATTTTGTTTTTACAGCCTTCTGCTTGTGCGCCTTGACCCATTAACAGTTTTTCTTTTTGTTAAAACCCATTAATTTTTATTAATTTTCATTATAAATTATATTTTTCGTTTTGGTTTGGCATTATTGGAGTATATGTATTTTTGCTTACACTTTAATCTTCGTATAACATATATAATATATATTTAATTACCGAAACAGCAAAATATAGGATACATATGTGTATATTAGTTTTAACGATGCACATTTTCAAGACCCTTTCAAGATATTGTACATTGAGCGGGTGGGATGTTACAAATGTTACACGTTTTTCTGTGGGTACGTCGATATCGATATGAATATTTCGAATTTACTTGTATTCGGAACGCCATCAAGTTACATGCATTTCAATATCTATTCTATTCAATATCTATTCTCTTGATAGTCAAAAAAATTGGTATAAATATGAATATACTCTGTTTTGGGAAGTAGCACATTTTTTTTCTTACATCACCACATTTTCTACTCATAATGAAAAATAATGTACAAACAATGTATCTGAATTGACAGGAATTTGGTTTTTCTTTCTTCTTTTTAAGATTCCAGCAAATTGCTTTTGATTTTCGATATTATCATTTTAATTATGTAATGTATTATTTACAATATACATAATTGCCTTTTCATATTTTTTGACAGCCATTATGCATTTCAGTATATGTATACTCGTATGTATATTATTGTTAATAATTCTACTCTAATTTTAATCTTGGGCTTTGTCACAGGTACACATCCATGTCAATTAACAAACATGCAACATCAATGTATTATTCATCTGTAAACACTTATAAATATAGACATATATTCTCTTTATGTTATGTGTCTGATAAAAATACGTTCTAGGTACATATGTATGTAGGCTTGGGTCACAGCTACTGCGCTAACAAAACAACAACAACAACAACAAAGGATCCAAGTAACAAAAATGTTTACTTTAATATTCCTGTTTCCATGACTTACGACTAAAATGTGTTGACATAGTAAAATCGAAAACTATGTTGAGCTTGTTCAAATTATTTATCACACATTTTTTTGGGATTTTTCGGGTAGGGGTATTTTAATCAGTAAAATTATACATTGATAGGCACACTTAAATAAATTGCTGACTTTTAAATGATATATGTATTATTAATACAAAAAGATGTCTGTCACAATTATATAATGGATAACACGAAGATTTCAATAATATCAGTACATATATAAAACAAATGTAGCGTAACGTAAAATTTTTTCCATAAATAGCTGCAGAGGCAGATATAAACACATGCAAATGTTTATATAATATTCATATATGTATATAAATATATAGCTATGTATATGTGTATATATTTTTCTATTTATTTTGTATATTTTATTTAATATATCGTTTCTTTGCCGTTAAATTGGGCAACTAATAAATTACATTTCAAACATGAATACACAACAATGGTTATATAAATTCTTGAATTGTAGTAATAGTTATTGTTTTATTTTTGTTCTGTTTTTCTATGAGCATTTTGATTTTAGTTTAGTTTCTCTAATTCGCACACATAAAACATTTATAACTATATTTTTGTTTCTTTATCATTCAACTGCACGCAAATCGATTGGATCTGATGCAACTTCATTTTCATTTAGGTACATGAGTCTCTCATTTGGTTACGCCTAAGAAAACATTGGGTACAGCGAGTGTATAGTTAGATATACATTTACAGAGATTATGAGATATATACGAGTATATATATGTACAATGTGCATACATATACAATACAGGAGCTCTGTATATAAAATACAAAGTTACCCTTTCTACTCCGTCTGATCGCTCTTTCCAAAATATTTTTAAAAATATTTGTGGTATAAAACAACACAAACAAAGAAATGCTTTCTTATTTTTACATTATTTGTATATTTTTATATAAATTGTTTTTGTTTAAAAACTTTAAACGTTTGCTTTTGCACATTGCTATTAATTTCGTTTGATTTCATTATCAAATTGGGTTGCAAATTCGCACACTCATATATTTGTATGGATGTATTGAAAGTGCATACATATGTACCTCCATATAAACATACATATAAACAAACTACAGGACATTCTCATCTCATCTCCCTCATCGAGCCTACTAAATTCTACGTTAACTTGTTCGTAATGGCAATCAAGTCTTTCCAATTCCACACCCACATCCATCTCCGCTCCATGCTATTATATCTTCATTAGGTATGCACTAAGGAACAGAATTCTCATAAATAGGTACTCATAGGAAACATGAAGGTTTTTCTGTTTTGTCTTTCCCGTTGGAAATCTCCGTTCATATTCATCCTAATTTCTGCCTGTCTCCCGTAAAATTAAATCCAAATTAAAGATTCCTAAAATATTTTCTTTCCGATTATCTACGTACATATATGTATAAACATCTAAACGCATAACAATCATATATGGTTAGGTTGCCGTTGGGCTAACAAAATTTGTTTGCTTAGCTCGTTAGATATATAATACTTATAAAAATAGTATTCGATATTGGGCAATAGTATGATCTCAACAGATTCATTCTATCCCATTTACCTATTTTTAGTTTTATGAGAATACGAGATCACTTCGTCTGCTTATTTCCTAGTTGATGCTGATAAATTTGCTTTCGCTTTGCCGCTGCTAGTGGTCTTACTGGTAGAAGCTCCTGTCTTACCAACGGTTCCCACTGCTCCTGTGTTAGCAGAGGTTCCAGGTGAAGTTATAGCTTTTCCCCTTATTGTTTTCGTGGGACTGGTTGATACTGGATTTATTGGCTTGACTGTCGACTTCGTAGGACTTGTAGCCATTGGCTTCGCAGTGCCTGGTTTCGTGGTTTTGACTTTGTTTTTAGCTTGTGGGGCAATATCGGAAGCAGCAGGGCTGCACGTTGTTTTTAGAGCTATGTCCGATTGTTTGACAGATGATAGTTCCCTTGGGTCGGTTTCAGAGCCCGCGGGTAGCTTGGCAGTTACTGATGAAGAAGGAGGTGCTGTTTTTGGCGTGGCTGTTGTTGCACCTGCAGTCGGCTTTGAAGATAATCCCTTGGTTGCAGTGCTCTTGGCAGGAGCTTTTACTGCAGGATTTGATTCTGTGGGAGTAGCTGCCACTGTTGCTTTTGGGGCTGCAAATGTTGCTGGTGTTGTGGCGCCTGGTATACTACACGCTGGTATAGCCCTTACTGTTTGCGGTTTTGATGATGCAGCTGCTGTACTCGCTAAAGTTGTTGTTGTTGAAATCACTGAAATCGGCATTCCTTTGGCAGAAATTGGCGATGGCTCCGCTCTCTCATTGGCAACACAAACAGCTGTCTGTGTAATTGTCGTCACAGTTATACCGGCAGCTTGCGTCTTTTGATCGTTTGAAGCTGCATTTGCATTTATTTTGGCATTGACTGTTGTGGTGCTGGCCGCACTAACGTTTACTGTCGATGAAGCTGTAGTGTTTGGCTTAGACGCTGTCAAAGATGCGGTTGGCTTCGTTCCAGTGCGATATATAGTTGGCCCAGCTTTAGGCTTGTCCTCTGATACACTACCAGCAAGAGTTGTTTTAGTTGTTTTGAGTTTAGCTATCTCTGTGGTACCAAGAGTTGATTGTGTCCTTCCTGAGACTGAAAAAGCACCCATCGCTACTGATGAGGTCGTTTTGATCCGAGCTCCGTCCTCTTCACAGTATATAGCTGCTGTCGGTGATGCCCTGACTTGAGGTACAGCAGCACAGACATTTCCAGGTGGAGATGTGCGAGATGCAACAGTAGAAGCCATGGGCTTCAAGGGAGGTCCACCAGATGTTATGGACGCTTTGACCGACCCAACAGCTCCAAGTGTCGGCTGATTTACTTTCTTTGAGTCTTTCTCACCAGCCCCTGCGAATGTGGACATGGTGATGCATTCACGTCCGCTGCTCATGGTGCCAGTAGACAGAACCTTGGTAGTGCTAGCCAAATTTTGTTCACCTTTTTGATTGTTCTTCTTTTTTTCCGTATCTGTTACGATGAGTGGCTTCTTGCTAGAACTGGTCTGAGTCTGGCCCCTGTGCTTGCCATTGTCATCTACCGCCTGTTGAATGCTGCTGTATTTCGCTGAGGACTTCAAGATGCTTGGTCCTGGCAGCTTGCCAACCGTTGCCAGTGGCAGAACATCAACATCCACATCAACGGTCACCACCGTCGACGAGGATGCCTTCACCCGCTCTCAGAGTTGCATGGCCTCGTCGCAGTAGCCGTTTTGGGTGTTATTTCCACTGCCACTGCCATTGGCAGTAGCTTCGGCATCCTCGTATGCCAGCACATCGGAGGGGCCGCCATGGACCAGGATCTGTGCATTGGTCACACCATCGTAGTTCTGGGTCTGATAACGTTCGGCATGCAGGTTGACGCAGGGTCTGCCTGCCGGTCCCCATTCGGCGGTGGGCTTAAGAAGAAACTTGATACGCTCCAGGAAGCTGAGGTGCTTGGGAGCCTTCCAGATCTGCTGAAAACCTACCAGGAACACAATAAACACGGGCAGAAGTCCGATGATCCAGCCCACAGTGTCAGCCCACAATGGATAGACGTAGTGCCCATACTTGGCCGGCTTGTATTCGACCCAATTGAAGAACAGGATAAACTGAAATCGGAACAAAGCTCAATAAAGTTTCGCAGACCGAACGCTAATAGAAGCTCACCAAAAGAGTGGCTGGGGTTATGTAGCGCCACATGATGCCCCAGAAAGTGTTCCACAACCAGGACCTCTTGCCAATCATGCCCTGAATGTCGTTGAGGAAACGCTGTGATCCGTACACCCAGGAGATAAGAATGCACTCCGAGATGGCAATGAGTAGGACAGACCAATTGGCTGCATATTTGTCCATCAGCTGAAGCCAATACATCCCGCTCTAAAAACCAATAAAATCAAAAATATTAGATCCTTGAGATGATAGTCGACCAGTTTGATACTCACGTTGGTGGTGAAGCCGAGCCCGCCGATATACCCAAATATAGCAACCGACAGTACCACCCAAATCTTGGAGTGACGCAGGTTGGGAAACTTGTCCAAAATCGCCGTTGTCACGGTTTCCATCAAAGCGAACTGCGAGTCCAGGCCCAGGGTCAAAAGCATTACAAAGAAGAGTACCGACCACACCGGGGAGATTGGCAGTCGGGTGACGACCTCCGGATAGACAATGAATGCCAGCCCAGCACCCTGGTCCACCACTTTTCCCACATCCACATCCAGCTCGTGAGCCAGAAAGCCAATGATAGAGAAGATCACCAGCCCAGCAAAGAACGACGTGGCAATATTGCAGAAAGCCACGATCATGGAGTCCCTGGCGGGATTGAATATTCCTCTTCATGCTTTAGTAATGAAATGGTTTACTTACTTGTAGCAATTGTTGGAGAACTTGTTGTAGGAGGAGAGGGTAATCAGTCCACCCCAGGAGGGACTGAGGGCAAAGAATATCTGCACCGCCGCATCGCCCCACACCTTAGAACAGGAGACAATGAAGGTCATGTAAGTCCGTGCTATGGATCAATACCTACCTGAGCATTGGCCAGCTGCTTCCAGTCGGGTGTCAGATAGAATAGTATGCCAGTACTGGCGCCGGGAAGGGTTACACCCCTCACAAACAGTATGACCAGAACGACATACGGAAAGAGAGCGGTGAAGTATACAACCTTTCCGGAGGACTGCACACCCTTGCACAGGCAAAGGAACACAATTACCCAGGCCATGAAGAGGCAGCCCGCCAAAGAGGGCTTAATGCTACCCGTCTCCTCGATGCCGGACGACAGACCTAGCACAAAATTGCTGCAAAATCCAAGGGAAATCACTTTAAAACAAGGAAGAGAGAAATCCTGTTAGGGGACCCACTTAAAGTATTCCTCGGCTGGTGGACGCTTCAGAGCATGCAGGGCCAGGGTCGTTATGTTATTTTCCTCGGCCACGGTGGAATTGTAGCAGGTGCGTAGATAGTAGGTGCCGTTGGTGGCCTCGCACTGATCCGCCTGGACATACGAGAAGCAATCTGGAAGAGGCTTAAGCTGTCAACAAGTTGAACAGGCGGGATAGTCATCCCCCATCCCCCAGCTCCCATCCCACCATCCTCCCATTGCTCCAGAATTATGCATGAAAAGGGCAAAGGCGTTTGAATATTTATGAACTATTTGTCGCTGGCAGAGGAAAAAGGAACAAGGTCCAACTTTTTATGTTCGGCTACATAATTAAAAGGACAAAGTAGCAAATCAGTGAAAAGCATGCAAGGGACAGTGGCAGTCCCAACAACATCAGGTCAATGAATGACTTACCCCACTGCTCGTCCGACAACAATGGAAACATAAACGAGGGGGAACGTTTTGAGTTGCTGCGGACACCGTAACTCTACAGTTATACCCGATACTAAGTCAGTGTGGCTCTCCTCCGGCAGACGCCGCGAATATTAAACGACACGACAAAGAGTGCGTGCGAGAGAGACAGAAAATCAGTCTGAGCGTGACGTCGGGCGCTGCGTAGCCAGTGCAAATTGATTTGTTCCTTTGGCAGCAATCTGATAGATATGGTCGTTATCTATGATTCCGCGTTTTTAGTTTTCTCGAATCTGCAATATTGTGGATGCAACAGATTTTCGTCCTTTGTGGTAGCGGAAGTGGGCGGGGCAAAGTTTTGAAATATTTTCCTTCTGGACGTTACACACATCCACTTTTACCACAAATCTAATATACCCCAATTCTCATTTTGAGTATCGGGTATAAAAAGCACTGGGAGGGTGAAAGGGTTTGTCGAAAAGGGATGACCTTCAGGCTGTAACCACAGTCCGCCCAGTATTCGACCCTTGGCTTTCATTTTCCACATGATTTGAACTTGAATTTGGAAGGCTTTGGCTTGGGAATTTTGCTAAGTTGGAGAGTTGCCATTACGGGAGTCTCTCTGCCGAACCTCGAACGGGATCATTTCTATCCAAACTCGAACGAATTTGTCTGTAATTGTCCTTCTTATAAAAGCTCTGCTTAACCTGGAAAACATAAGCCTTTTTATACCCGATACTCAAAATGAGTATTGGGGTATATTAGATTTGTGGTAAAAGTGGATGTGTGCAACGTCCAGAAGGAATCGTTTCCGACCCCATAAAGAATATATATTCTTGATCAGCATCAATAGCCGAGTCGATTGAGCCCTGTCTGTCTGTCCGTCCGTCCGTCTGTCCGTCCCCTTCAGCGCCTAGTGCTCAAAGACTATAAGAGCTAGAGCAACGATGTTTTGGATCCAGACTTCTGTGATATGTCACTGTTACAAAAATATTTCAAAACTTCGCCCCGCCCACTTCCGCCCACACAAAGGACGAAAATCTGTTGCGTCCACAATATTGCACATTCAAGAAAACTGAAAACTCAGAATCATAGATAATGACCATATCTATCAGGTTGCTGAATTTGGATCAGATCGGATAATTTTTATAGCCAAAAGGGATTTGTTCCATTTTCAGTGGCTATGCAGCGCCCGACGTCACGCTCAGACTGATTTTCTGTCTCTCTCGCACGCACTCTTTGTCGTGTCGTTTAATATTCGCGGCGTCTGCCGGAGGAGAGCCACACTGACTTAGTATCGGGTATAACTGTAGAGTTACGGTGTCCGCAGCAACTCACAACGTTCCCCCTCGTTGGTTTTAAAAATGTATATTTAACACAAGGCTTGCCGGAGAAATGTCGCCATAATCATATGCACTGAATGCATACTCGTCGTATATTCTGTTCTCGGGCTGTTCACGATCTGATCTAAATTCGCTCCATATCCAAATTTAGTTTTGGTCAATTTTCCCCAATTTTTCCTCTTAACAAAGTTGTATCCGCATGGCATGAGCTCTCAAATTACATATCAAGGCTCTGTCAGCTGCAGCACCTGACATTTGACTTCTGTGTGCGGTGATGGTGCAAAAAAGGTAATCAACCAAAATAAAAGTGCTGCCTGCGTTGGGCCCAGGCTGCAGGATTGGGCAACACGAGATAGTCCAAATGGCCCCTTTTAACCCGCTGTGTGTGATGTGCTAATGCGATAAGTTAGCTCGGAGCGGAGCTGCAGTTGACCACAGAAATGAGTAGCTGAGCGCACGGAGGCCTGCGCAGTGCCATGCGTGGGCCATTGAATCTAATTTGGAGCTTTCAAGGTTCCTCCCTAACATTTTAGGTTTTAAGTAGCTCCAAAATACAACATGGACTGGACTACTTTCTAAAGTAGCTTTACTAGGACCTTTCCAGCTTTCAGGCATTCAACGTTACTCATACGCAATGGTGTCACCAGATACGTCTAGATAAAGTGACAAGCACGGACCTCAAACCAAAACTTGGGCTAGAGCTAAAAGTTTGATGGATTTTCAGGTCTTCCACTCCCCCCCCCCCCCCCACCAACCACACACACACACACGAACTTGTATTCATCAATCCATCAGAATCCAGAATAGAAAATGTGAACAATTTCTTCTTGCGGCTTGGGTTGGGGTAGCTGGCAGAACTTCAAAGTGTTTACAAGCCGTTTAATTTTGTTTCTGTCTGAATCTGTTTGCTCTGCAATTAATTTGATTACACACTCACAAACACACACACACACATACATACGAATCATGTAGCATTTTATTTGAGTGAGGGAAAAAAGGGATGCAGGAAACGTCGAGTTCCAAACAGTTTCAGTGTCTACAGTGTCTACATGTGTGTTGGTGTGGCACACCCACATCCACATCCCTTATTTACACGCCAGAATTTCCTCCGCATGTGGCACTGAACGTTGGGCTCAAATTCGACGACCTTTAAGCTTAAGGGCCACTTGGGGGGAGAAGCGATTAGTGAGGATGTCGTAAGAATAGGGTACGGAATGGTAAAGAAAGAAGTCTTTAGGATTCAGATATTGGTAGCTTCATTTTCATCTAAGCAATCCTCCGCTTCAATTTAAAGAGATATTATCAGGTATTCCAGTCAAAGAATTATCCCCCTACTCTACTCTACTTCAACATAATGTTATCCCATTCACGTTATTAGGCAGATCTACTACACCATATACTCTAGACAAACATAAATATGTATTTGTATCGAAATATTTACTCAAAAGAAGAGAGACATGTTTGGAGAGCTCGACAAGAGGCGGATCATGAGTTTGAGACTTTCAATCATTGGACAAACAAAGTTAAACACATTTTAATCATGACACCAAACGTAAACATTTGTCATCTAAAACAGACTTGAATGAAGACAAAGACAACAGCGACAAGACAGCCAGAGCTCTCTCGAGCAGGTCAGAGATGCTCTGAATGGATGACAGTGGGGGGAGTGGGTGGATGGATGCGAAAGCGAAGGCGAAGGCGAACCCGAAGGAGACGCGAAAAGTGTCAATAAATGAAATCCTTAAGAAATTGCGTGTCTGCTACGGCACTCTTTCTAGCCTTCTCCCCTCCTGTGTCTGTGTCTGTGTCTCTGTCTATAGTCTCCCTCTCTGCACCATTCGACTTTTCCTTGCTTGTATCTCAAGAGCTCAAGCGAGAGAGCCCGTACCAAGGTTTCCCCGTACGTTCTTCCCGAGCTGCCGATTGAATGTCCAAAACAGTTAAGACATAATTGTGTGTCATTTTAACGATTTCAGCTGCCGTTCCATGGAGAACAGGACGGCGAATAGGACCGAGTTGGGGGAGAACAGGAGAGATTAGATCCACTTTCTATCGATTCCTAATTTCTCCAGAGAAATGTTAGTCCTCAGCCCGACTCAGATTCTCAGTCTCTGAAATAGCCCCCAGTCACCAGTCCTCAGTTCCCAGTTCCCAGTTCCCAGTCCCCAGTGTCCCTGTCTCAGGCAAACTTGTATTAAATCATCGTTCTTCGTGTGTGTGCACATTTGCTTGTGTTCGTGTCCTCTGCTTGTGTGCGTATGATGTGTACGTGTAAAACTTTCAATGGCATCGGTCGATGGTTATTGTTGTTCCTGCTGCCAGGTAAACAGATACAGCCAGTTGAGTTTCTGTGCGCTCTATGTACATACATATACATATGCATATACATATATATATATATATATATATATATATATATACATATACATATCCATATACATATACATATGTATACTATGCTCAGGAATACACGTATGTATATGCTTGCATGCACTTGTGTGTGTGCAATGGCCTGGGACTAAGGCGCATAGAAAGGTTAAACAAGAACACGCAAAAGAAGCGAACTGAATAGCTGCAAAGCGAAAGATGAAAAGCGAAAGTGGAGATTGTCAGGAATATTTCATACCCGGATCATAGATCAGGAACCAGTATATAGATAGTTACTTTTTCTCCTTTTCTCAATGGTATATTTAAATTATATAAAACTGTGTGTTGTTTCAGGATGTTCAGGAATGTTTGTTTGGAAGAATAAACGTTAAAAATACTATCAGAAACTTAGAAATAACACCCAACCTATAAACCAAAGTTCCAGAAAATGTCTGCTTATGCTCTGTTCTTCTCCATAAAACTCCGATGATCTCTCGGACTCTGCCAGTGTTCAACTCTCGTGGAAGACTTATGCGTTTCGTGTGGCAGGATGGTTTAAACATTCTATCTGAGAGTCTATGTCGGTGCAACAAAATCAAACGTTATTCGCAATGATACATATGTATGTAACTATTCTAAAGTCTCACTTGAATTTCTTGTGTTTGTGTTTAGCTCTACGTTTATCTCTATCCGTACGCACAGTACATACTATATGTCATACCCATTGTCTGTTATGTCTCCTGGATACGCACCTCCCTCAATTCCCTTCCCCATTTTCAGCTGCCCCGAAGCCATGTGTTTTTCCAGCCAGGCCACGTGCCAGCAGGAAAACGAAATGAAAAAAGAAACAAGAACAGAACTGAGGCAAAACAAATATAAAGTTACACTTTTGACAGCTTGCAATTTGGTTAATTTATTACCTAAATCGTAACAAAAGATGAGAACCTGTCACTTATTGTTCCATTTGTTATTGTCTTGAGTGGCCTGGGCTATTAATTAATTGTAACCATCGTATTATCCACTTACCCGCCGCAGTCCCATCCCCAGCCCCAGCCTCAGCCTCAGTCCCAGCCCCAGAGGGAGTTTAGATACTCACGTTTCGTGCTCCATGCCGGCTCGCAGTTCTGCCAAGGAAGCGTGGTGCCCAGGGATGCAAACATATAGAATATGGTCCAAGCAATGATTAGGTTATAGTAGAGCATAACAATAGCCGATACCAGGATCATGCCAGTACCTAGGCCGCGGAACAGAGGGCAGAAGCGCCTGTATACGGCCACTGGTCCCAAAGCAGCGTATTGGCCAAACGACAGCTCCATGAACATTAGGGGTAGCCCCGCAATCACCAGCATTATGGTGAAGGGAATCAGAAAAGCACCTGAAGAGGATACAACAGATAGATGTGAACAAGTACGATCAAGGAATGAATGCGCGCTTCGGCTGGCCGAAACCTTTAATTAAGAAAGAAGACTTTCCTAATTAACAATCCTTCGAATGGTATGGCACTTAACTTATGAGAGCTTTTCACTCAATCTTCAATTGGAAAGAACCATACATTCATTTTATTCTTCTTTTCCATTTTAACAGTACTTTACAATACCTGGTTGGAAATGGAGTATATCCTAACGGTGATAATTATAAAAATACTAAAAGTAGCAATATGTACTCCCCGAAAGGGGACGGAGGACAAGAAGAATGTTACATATGTGTCAGCATCGGTGACACTTACCTCCGCCGTTGTTGTAACAGAGATAGGGAAAGCGCCAGACGTTTCCCAAGCCCACGGAGTAGCCCAAAAGCGAGAGTAGAAAGTCGAAGCGACCGCTCCAATTGCCGCGCTCCGGCTCTGTCCCGCCATCGGCAGCCTCCACGAGTGCGGCATCGAGTGTGACCAGAGCAGTGCCAGAGGCGCAGCCAGCAATGCTTAACGCTGTGGGGGTGGTGCTCATTTGCGCGGCTGCTTTGGATGCCTTCGGTACTGAGACAACGTCCTTGGCCAAGGCCAATGCATTAGATGGGCAGACAACCCCAGAGGGCAGAGCTCCCACCGCTGCTCCCGCTACTGGTGCGTTTCCTATTCCTCCGCCACCGCCTCCGATGACCGCTTCTGCAGCGCTCTTCTTGCCCAGTGCCTTTGGTCCCGGAATGTCGATGGTGGTGAAGCGATCTTCGTTTTGCTGAAATGAACAGCACAAAAAATAATATTTTTGCAGAATTGGATTTGGGGGTGAGGGACAGTCGAGGGAACAGCCGCCAACTGTTTGGCCCGCCGCCAATTGTCGCAGTTCATCGGTTTCAGTCTTGCCTATTGATCAATCATAAATATTAACACTCTATGAATGAAATCGATAGACTTTTCCTGATAGACCTGGAGCTCCAAATATAGAAAAAAAGTAAATATATACTCCGAACAGTCATAACTTGAGTATTTTTCAGCTTGCTGTGAAGGAACTTGCAATTTTGATAAGTCTTTAAGTTTACGACTAGCTGTTAATATAGTCCAAGTCTATCAGATAAAAGCAGTTTTGTTTCAGAAAAATATAGTACTGGTGGTGCACAATTTAAGTACCATCCATTCAGATCAGTTGCCAACAAAAATAGCTTAAACGAGGGGGAACGTTGTGAGTTGCTGCGGACACCGCAACTCTACAGTTATACCCGATACTAAGTCAGTATGGCTCTCCTCCGGCAGACGCCGCTAATATTAAACGACACGACAAAGAGTGCGTGCGAGAGAGACAGAAAATCAGTCTGAGCGTGACGTCGGGCGCTGCATAGCCACTGAAAATGGAACAAATCCCTTTTGGCTATAAAAATTATCCGATCTGATCCAAATTCAGCAACCGGATAGATATGGTCATTATCTATGATTCTGCGTTTTTAGTTTTCTCGTATCTGCAATATTGTGGATGCAACATGTTTTCGTCCTTTGTTGCTCTTTATAGTTCCTGAGATCTAGGCGCTAATGTTTTACTCTAAGCAAAGCCGCCTATGCTACGTGTGTGTTAGAGAGAGAAAGGGCGAGAAAAAATGAAATTATTTTCTTGATACGGGCTATAATAATAATACGATCCAATTCAGATTCTGCAGTCTAAAAGATATGGTCATTCTCTACGATTCTGCGTTTTTGGTTTTCTCGTATCTTTAAAATTGTGGATGCCACAGATTTTCGCCCTTTGTGGGGGCGGAAGTGGGCGGGGCAAAGTTTTGAAATATTTTTGTAGCAGTGACATATCACAGAAGTCTGGATCCAAAACATCGTTGCTCTAGCTCTTATAGTCTTTGAGCACTAGGCGCTGAAGGGGACGGACAGACGGACGGACGGACGGACGGAATAAAGAATATATATACTTTATGGGGTCGGAAACGATTCCTTCTGGACGTTACACACATCCACTTTTACCACAAATCTAATATACCCCAATACTCATTTTGAGTATCGGGTATAAAAATATAAATTTATAATTTTTAAATTAAAATATTCATATCTTAGCATTGGCAATTTTTGAGTCGGAAAGTTTTATCTGGGATGGATCGGGCTGCAGCTCGATGCTCTCATCATTACTAAGAGCTTGGGCAATGATTATAGCGAAATGTGGAATAATTGCAGCAGGCAGGGTTATCGGCTCCAACTGCCACTTACCTCCCACAGATCCACATCCAGCATAGTGCTCGACTCCTTGTTAGGCTTTAGACCTTTCATTTTAGCTTTACTCTTCGATTTCTTGTCCATGGTTTACTGCTGTCCTTTTCGAGTAGTTTGCTTTTTCGCGTAGAGCTGCTTAGATGAATTTTCTCAATGAGCTTGTCGATGCTGTGGAAACTGCTGCTGCTTTTCCTACTGTCTCTTCGGGCAAAGCTGCCGTTAATTGCATTCTATTCTCTGCCCCAATTTTGCGCTATTTCCTCTTGCTGATGGGTTTTTGATTTTATAGTCCGTGGAAATTTGTATCTCGCTCTCCACTTCAGCTGCTAGATGTTCCCTGTGATTAATGCGATTTCCTGCATGAATTGTAACTTTTAGGCAAACTGATGCCTTTGCCTTGCCTTGCGGCGAACTTCCCCGGGCAGATTCTCTCGATAAATTGTTGCAGCAGAGCTGTACGAGTAAAAATTCAGCAAAGTTATGTGAGGGAAACTTTCATTACTGAGAGAATACATCAATCTGAATACCATTTAAAATAGAAGCAAGTTAAATAAATTGCATTAAGTGGCGCGATTATGAGCGACAGATGATGGGAATAATAAACACAAAATATTTAACACACAGCTTTCGTTGATTCCAATAATAATAAAGAATAATGAATAAACGAGGGGGAACGTTGTGAGTTGCTGCGGACACCGTAACTCTACAGTTATACCCGATACTAAGTCAGTGTGGCTCTCCTCCGGCAGACGCCGCGAATATTAAACGACACGACAAAGAGTGCGTGCGAGAGAGACAGAAAATCAGTCTGAGCGTGACGTCGGGCGCTGCGTAGCCAGTGCAAATTGATTTGTTCCTTTTGCCTATAAAAATTATCTGATCTGATCCAGATTCAGCAATCTGATAGATATGGTCGTTATCTATGATTCTGCGTTTTTACTTTTCTCGAATCTGCAATATTGTGGCTGCAACAGATTTTCGTCCTTTGTGTGGGCGGAAGGGGGTGGGGCGAAATTTTGAGATATACGTTTTATAGTGAGATAATTATACGATCTGGTTCAGATTTCGCACTCTAAAAGATATAGTCATCTTCTACGATTCTGCGTTTTTAGTTTTCTCGTATCGTCGAAATTGTGGATGCCACAGATTTTCGTCCTTTGTGGTAGCGGAAGTGGGCGGGGCAAAGTTTTGAAATATTTGTAGCAGTGACATATCACAGAAGTCTGGATCCAAAACATCGTTGCTCTAGCTCCTATAGGCTTTGAGCATTAGGCGCTGAAGGGGACGGACAGACGGACAGACAGACATGGCTCAATCGACTCGGCTATTGATGCTGATCAAGAATATATATACTTTATGGGGTCGGAAACGATTCCTTCTGGACGTTACACACATCCACTTTTACCACAAATCTAATATACCCCAATACTCATTTTGAGTATCGGGTATAAAAATACTAGATAATGAAAAAATACAAGTTAGATTTTGATTTTAAGAGTTTTTAAAGGTTTCTCGTATCGTCAAAATTGTCCTTGCCACCGACTTTCGCCCTCCGTGAGGGTTTGCTTCAGTGCGAGTCTGCTCTTAGAAACTCTGAGACCTAGGTGCTCATCAAGACGGACAGACGAAGCCCCCCAAAGTTAAAGCAAGGATCGTATTTGATTGAACGGTATCCACCTACATACACATGTACACAAGTCGGTGTACATTTTATAACGTTAATCAACGTTAATCAAAATCGGAGTCACGTCTTAGCCACTGCACAAATTTTTGACAAAGCGCTCAAAAAAGTAACGCGTCCTCAATGGCATTTGCTGTTGGTCACCCACGCACACATTTACCGGGACTCATACAAATATGAAAGTGCCACTATATACATATATGTACATATGTACATGCAGGCGAACTGACAAATATTGCGTATACGTATATGCATAGTGTGCACACAACAACAGCGTGTTTCTTCGAGATGAGGATGAGATGGTGTGCTTTTCCACAGTATTCCGGGTATTCCCCTCGGTCACGTTTCTTGTGTGTTTCTTTTTATGTGCCATTTTCTTGGCTGCAGCTGTCTGTCGCTACTGTTGTTGTTTCCCCAGCACAATTTGTTGACAGCCTCGTAATTAGGCCGTCGAATTTATCTTTAACCTAGCTAGCTGGTTAATGGCGTTAATGATGGTGATGGTGATGGTGACCTCCCGCAACTTGCCAGACAGGGCATAAAAATAATAACACAAAATTCAATTTTCGCAGGTTGAATTATGGTCAGTGGAAAACTAAGAAGCCTAGCCGGTTCTCTCCTACATTTCGCTTTATTCGACCAAATTCTAGTTCTATACTGATCGTTTCCGTTGCTTTTGGAATTTGCTTAGCAAATAGTTTCTAATGAGTCCTGTAATGACCGGAGGCAGTTTGAGGCATGCGATGAAGCTACAACACAAAAACAACTGGAAAACATTTAGCTTTGTGTTGATTTTGGCAGTTGAAACATTTGGCAGACAACTCGCCACTCGAACTGACAATGAGAGGTGGCAAGCGGAAGAGAAAAAGTTACTCTTTAACGTGAAACGTGGGACGTGAAAGGGGAAAAGTGAAGTGTGAAGTGTGGGAAAAGTTTCTGCCAGAGCAAAAGGGGTCAACGGCGATGGCCACTACGGCGAAGGTCGAATTTGGGAAAGACCCACGTATCTTATAAAAAACGTGAATATTGGAGTTTAAAGGGTATAAGTTGGGCGGCGAAGTTTGCTTCCTTTCTGGTTTTTATTACGGTTTTGCTTTGGTTTTACTATATGCTTTTTTGCGGATACATATTTTCAAACAAGTTACAGTTCGAATCTTTTGGAAAATCTAAAAATCCTTGCAGGCAAGGAAATCAGTGTTGAACTATTTTACTCTTGACGTGTGCGGGGAAGGGGAATCCAATCCTTCCCCGCTTCGCCCCGCCGCTCTGAATGCGGTCTGTTAGTGTTTGGTCAGTTCGAGTGTGAAAATGATTTCGAGCTTCCGCTATCGCGCTTATTTACACTTGATGAGAGCTCGGGAGAAGGGTAGAGGGGCGGGCTGCTGGTGGAAGGGTGAGTTGCATCTAATGACCTTCGCAATGTGCAATACAGTCGGGGCTGAAGCTGTAGCTGTAGCGAACATTTAACATGAGCAGCGTTATAAATTTTCCGTCCCACTTTTTGCTATTCGCCCGCAGCATTTGCCGCCTTTTTTTCTTTTTGATGTTTTGATGCGAAAGTTACATTTTTTTCGGCTTGGCACCCAAGGCGAGGCACGAGACGCGAGAGACCTTCATTGTCATCATCGTCACTGCTGTTGCTGCCCAAGTCTCGGCAATTATTAAGGGGCAAGCCCAGAGCACTTGAACTTGATCCACACGAAGGTTGCCCACAAACAGCAAACAAGGAGAGGGGGAGGGACATGCCACGACCCTGTGCTGGAGAGGGTTGAGGACTGTTCTGTTATGATGCAGTGGTTGGCCAGCATTTGTAGTCATTCAGGCCTGGGCACGTAGAGCAAACTGTTCATCTTTTTTTCTCTGTAAGCATTTACCATTTTCTGTTGCATCTGCATCTGCATTCAGCAGCAAAACGACAATTGAGCAATCAGTGGTGCTATTTGCTCGGGTAAGTCTTTTGCAAGTGTTGGTTGTTGAATCGCCGTATTATTTGACAACCAAGCCTCCAATTGTCGTTTCGGGAGCTGCAATACTCGTACCGAGCTTGGTCTCACGCTGCTGCCATACCTGGTGTCAGCCAACGACATCGATTATTTATTTGGCCAAGAGCAGCCTGACCATTGTCAGAGCCCAGGGGATACGTGCAAATGTACCGCATCTACTCCCGTCCCTCTAACCGGATAACATCTTCCTCATTTGTCAGGCAGCCTGACTCACACCTTGGATTACCCGTCGTCACCTCATTAAATATTCATCGCCTTCTTCATCTTCTGTCGCCCTTCGCTGTCATTTTCCTGGTAATCGCAAATTCAGCGCTAAATCACAATGAAAAAGGCGTTATGTGGCATTTCAAGTGATTTTCTCTTGGGAAGATGAAATTTGAAATCATTATTTGATTAAATTGTGCAAAATATGAGAGCAATGGTGAGCCGTAAAGTTTCGTAAGTTCTGATATTCAGATATTCCGATAGTTTCAGAATTAGCATTTACACAGATTTCTCATTAACGGGCTTTCCACAACTCCTAAAGGGATAAAGATTCTGCTTATACTGAACCTTGAGGACTCCAAATGCAATTCATTTGAATTTCTGAATTTAAAACGGAAAAGCTAGAGGAAAACGTGGAGAAAATAAGAAAATACTCATAGAAAGCCCCGAAGAGTAAAGATGGGATTGTGATGGGCATGGGGATGGGGATGGGGATGGGGGGTTGACAGCGAAAAAATGAAATAATGTCTGGAAAAAGCTTCATATCTCGGTTCGCTGTTTTCACTTAAGTTTCGGCACCTTCTTTTTGGTTTTCCCCTTTGCATACATTCACATAATTTCGAGTCTGTCTGTACCTGAGTGGGTTTTCCTCTGCATCTGCATGCGCATGGCTGTTTGTATTTTGCTCAGCAAATGCGAGTGTACTGCTCGCACTCGCTCGAAATTTGCAATTGAAATGTAATCTCTCAGCACCAGTGGTATAGTTTTATTTGGTTTACGGCAAATGCAGCAGGGCCCAAATGGCAGATTTAATGCTTTCAGACATCCCCAAAGGGGCAGCATGGACATCAGACCGGTGCTTAACTTAACCATTTAAAAAAGAATGAGCGTTCGCGTTGTGATTCAAGAAGAATCACATCCCATTAACACAATGTCCTTGGGTTTTGCATTACGGCACGATCCAGGCCACACTACATAGGTCGGAGTCGGTATGGGCCATACAATTTTGTGGTGGATAGCTGAAAGCGGATAGCCCTTTACCTGACTGTGCGGGCAATGGGCTTTAGTCCCTGACTTTTACTTTTTAATTGATCTTGCAATTTGTGTAGCGAGCGTTCGAAAAAGAATTAGCGCAACTTGTAGGGACAAAAGTTGGAGTAAGCTGGCGCTTTGTTGGGCACCTGGAAACAGTTTGGATAAATTTGTTTTAAACGCCTTGTCTCTGCGCAGTAACAGCTGTTTTAGATGTAATGGGCTGCGGCTGGTAGGCCAGGCCAGTACTGGAATGGATTAGCGAGTCTATGGGTCGGTTAGTAGCAGTTGAACAGCAGAATGAACAAGGATGCCACGAAGACTGCCAAGTGGGTGCTTTTGGTGCCCTTCATCCTGTGTGTCCGACTGTGCAAGAGCAAAGCCAGTGACAACATCACGGGTAAGTTTTCTGGGAATCCCGAGAGAAATGTGTTTGAATTGGTTTGGTAGTTTTCCTTTTCTATAAATTCCTCGAAAGACTTTGACTGGCTAAATGAGACGCAGCTGCTGCAAGTGGATGGCTCCGACAATGGCACAGATTCCACCGAACCCATCCCGGATTTGCATTTGCAGTTGCACAACATCACTGTCAATTGCCATCCGTGCAACAACAGCAACAGTGGCAGAAGTACGGATTCCAACGTCCCGCTGGAGCAGCTGGTGCATCATCAGCAAATTGTTCGACTTGCTTTCATGGCCTTGCTGCTGCACATTCTCGTTGTGGGCGTGGGTGAGTATGCAGCACGGCAGAATCTCTTTCCTAACATTCCTTACCCTTCCCCGACCCTCGCTTTGCGCTCCAGCATTCATCATCTACAGCTGCGTGTACTGGAAGAGCCGGGCCCTAAAGAGGCGCCACAGACTGAACGCCCAGGGCACCCTGCAGCTCTCCGCCCTACAGCATCGGCATGTACCCAGCACTCAGAGCTGTTCCTGCCACGGATGCCAGCTGTCCGGGCGAATACTGCACGGCCTGATCGTTCAGCAGTTCCAGGAGATTGCCGAATATTGAGCAAATGGACAAACACTTTGAAAACCACCTTCTGCTACATACTATATACAAGTTATATTCTTGGTTAGGAAACATTGTTTCTGCATAATTTGGAGTCAAGGTCACAATATATATTTCCCAATGCAACATTCGCTTGGTAGTAGTTGTACATAAAGATTTCGTATATCCTTGCATACATGTGAATGGATGAGTGATTATGGATTTGAAGAAATGGCTGCTGCCCCTTGTCCCCCTTTACTATCGTCCCTCTGCCTCGAACGAGACACGCTTCAAAGGACATAATGTCAATGCAATGTCAATAACTAATTCAATCGCACACATGCAGACATTCATACTCGTACTGGCACAGATACTGAAACAGACATGTCGGCAGTTGCATTGTCGTCAAAATGCATCAACATCTGACGATGGAGACAGAGGGATACAGAGAGAGTCGGAGGGGAGCGAGCGGCCCACTCCACAAAGGTCAAAGTTCATCATCATTTACAGCAGGCTACCCTACCCCTTCTTGGTTCAACATTTCCTTCGCTTTCCACTTCTCGAGTTCGTCTCTACTTTCCGCACGTCCGCATTAATGAATAAAAATAATCCGATTAATAAATTTTCCCTCTCTCTCTCTCTCTCTCTCTCTCTTTCATACACACCGTCCAATCGAAATAATGAAAATAATATTTTGTTGGGTTGAACTTTATTGCTTCTCTCAATTATTATTAAATATTAATTATTATTATATGTATATGTACATATATTATTAGATATTTTTATTATTGCACTTCCTTATACATAAATAATAAATAATAATGTACGATGTACTATCACATGGCATTAAAAAGAACAGCATCGTATGAGTCGCTTCAAAGATGGACGAACGTTAAATTACATAATAAACTGATTGTGATGAATATATATGTATATGTAAATGTATATTGTTTATGTACATACATATGTACATATTTAAGGTAATGTATAGCCATATCATACATAACTAGGTATGGTTTTTATTATTTTTGATTTCCATTTGCATAAATACGAAAAAAAGTAAACTTGAGCTCAAGTCGAAGCAAATACGCACAGGACGCCAGCAGGGACTGGGACAAGGACAGGGACAGGGGCAGCCCAATGCCAGAACAGACGCTTGCGAGAGAAGGAAACAACGCACGTTCATGTCGAACAGGAAGGAAGCCAGGCGGTACGGCACACAGGAAGGGAACAAAAGCCAGAAGAGGAGATGAGAGCGCTCAGAAGCCAAGGGCAAGGATGCTAAGGTAACAAAAACAACAACAACAACAGCAACAGTAACAGCAATAACTAGTACAAAAGTCACGACAACTACAACAATAAACACAAAATCCCGACATAGACATTCCAATAACAATGAGTAACAACAAAATAAGGGAAAAGAAAAGGTAGAGCTAGAGCTAGAACGACAGAGAAAGATAGAAAAAGGCAGTAAAACCGAGAAACCGAGCTTCTTTCAGAAAAAGCCGTGAACCCACTAGGAATTGAGCGGGTGGAGGGGGAGGCTGGAATTAATTTTGCGTTCATTCAGGCCACAGCGAATGGCCCGGGGCTAGGGGCGGACTTTGGAGGATGCCATTGGGGGGGCTGGGCTGGGCTGGGCATTGCATTCCCTCAAAGCGATAGTAGGGAGGAGAGTCAACTTGTGGCAAAAGTTTGCAGAGCCCGAACTATACATTTAGACCGAAATGGGATGCAGCTGAGGGCGGGCCTATAACATGGAATTCGCCAACCTATTGAACTACAGGGAACGTTAATGGATATTAAGGGAAATTAATCAAGCATGACAAAAAGCACGAATTTCCGTTTAAAATGAATTTACAAATTTTTCTGAATAAATACCTGACTGATTAATTATGATTCACTCGGATCGATTCATATGTTCAATTTTCCAAAAAGTATACTACAGAAATGCAGAATTGTTGTGCGATATTTCATGTCCATTTGGCCATTCCTGGAACCTGCCTCATCCATCCATGCCTGAAACTGGCCAGTGTAGCAATACAATAATAAAGCTGAATTCGAATTCCCAGATAATTGACCAGACAATGAAGTTAGCTGGGAACAAAGAATAAAGGTGAAGGGTGAACACAATGGCCCGGCTGCGCAATTCGATCTCATTTAATTAGGTTTGGCAACGTCAGCCCAGGACCGCGAACCGTGCACCGATGACCGTAGCTCGGACTGTAGCTTTCATTACGCTCGTTACGATTTGTTTGTTAATTGTTTTAAATATTTTTCTGGGTTAAGCAATCGCACAAAAGGCCCGAAGGACACACGCACCAGAACAAGCTATGGCCCACTCTCACAGTTATACAAATACGTATACGTATACGAGTAAGAGTACGAGTATATACAACTTTCCATTAAACGCTACTTACACAATTAAACTTTTCGGTCTTTTTTTTCTTTTCTAAGCTTCTGCTGGCCTGTCCAGTGGAATCTTTTGCTGCGAGCTTAAACGATTTTTGTTGCAACGCTGTTGCAGTAGAATTTGTGGTTCGTGTTGTTGTTTTTGTAAGACTTAGTTTCTCGTTTCTCGAAATTGTTATAGCAACAGGGAAAGGTCCAAACAGGCGGACCGTTCAAAAGCGACTTAAATCGAAACGGAAGCCCCAGCAGCAGCCAGGACTAACGACAACCCAACTACTGGCATTGGGCAAGGTGGGCTCGCTCTCTTTCTGGCAGGGAGAGAGCTTTTGTGCATTTGAGAGGGAAAGCTCTACGCTGCTCTCACTAGCCATAAACATGTATTGCTGCGGCTGGGCGGTGCTTTTGATTTGCAATTCGATTTACTGCGAACGGGGATCGGAGCGGGTAGGGAACGGGATTGGGACTGGGACTGGCAGTGCCGCTGGAGTGCGATGCAGCGCTAAGCTCTCAATTCTCTTTGTGGGTGGAAGGGGCTTTCCACTGAACTGGTCCTTGAATAATAATTCACTTAATTATGAATGTGTGGGCGGGGGTGAATCCGTGCGCGTGGCACGTTGCAATGCCTCTTGTTGCCGCGTTTTGTTGTGGGAGTTGCGTCCCTGAAACGTTAAGGCAACTCGCTCCGGCACAACAATGCGTTATTTTGTGAGATTGGACAAAGCTACTACGCTTAAACGCTAAGAACAGTAAAAACATGATACCTAACCATAGTCAAATCATCTGATCACTGTTGTAAACACGAACCCAAAATCATCTGAAAAGGTAATATCTTTATTGAATGTCATGCATTATTTGTAGTGGGATGGTAATATAACTAGCAGCTACCAGCAAATGAGCTATGATCCTCACACAGTGGTCGTCATCCCTAGCATAGTTGGGTATTTTTGCTGGAAAGGCCAATAACATAACTATTTGACGGCCTCCGAAAGAGGCGGCGACCTTCAAACACAAACACACACACCCACTACGACGATAAGGCTGCCTCGACCTAGGCACTGAAAACGCTTTGCCTCCGGGAGAGTGAGAGAGAACCACGAGAGAGTACGTCCCATGCGTTCCAGCTTAGCGCAAATTAGAAACAGCTGAAAAGCACTGCCAGCTACAACAGCCTATCAAAGCAAAAATGTATGGAAATAGAAAAATAAAACACGAAACAGGAGGAATCATGAGAAGCTCAACTCTGTGGAGTGTGATGCGCATGAATGAAAATGGGCCGCAGATGAATCTCTAACTGCGTAAGCCGATTACGGAAGCACATACCTCCGTGGAAGCAGAAAGTGGCAAAACAATAGCTCAGTTTCATATAGTTTATATACTTACATCCCCCGCAGCTGAGTCGCACAATATTTTTTCCCATTTGAATGGGCGACTTATCTATAGAAATTTTCAAAGTACCGACATACGAGTATTTCCACATCGCTCCATTGCAGCAGGCGGCTGCTGCGTTTGTTGTCGTCGTTTTGTGTCTGTTGCCGGGTGTACTGTTATGAATGAAAAGCTTTTCCTATTCAGCTTCATTGGACCCTCGGGCTGTTTTCCGATTGGCTGTCCTGTCGCGTGTGTCCTTAGTGCTCTCCGCTCTGGCACTTTTTTCACTTGCTCATTTTGTGTGGGTGCTAACTGAAAGACGAGGAAGAAACGATAGCAAGAGAGTGAGATACAGCTGGTTAAGAGAACCTTGACCATGACTCTTGTGCACTTTTCAGAAGCAATACAGGGAACGTATGCACGATTTATATTGATTTCTACTCGTCTTTTAGTCTCAGAACCTGCACCTTGGGGCAAGTTTAATCTGGCAGCTACAGCTTGTGGCGCACAGGAACTGAAACTTGGAGGGAACAACGGGAGAATCGACCTCACCTTTATAAACTTGAAGACGGCGTTGTAGGTTGAATTAGATGGTTTCAACGAACAGAAAGAAGCATTTCCGAACCCAAACACTAAGGTTTGTATACAAAGTATATGCTACCTGCATATGTAATATATTCAAGACTAAACAAACTTTTAACGGATATATAGGATTTTCTAAGATATACTGCATTCGTTTCTTGAGATTGGCTCTACTACTTACATCATTTCCACTAAAGAGAGGTCCCTGATTAGAAATCATACTAAAGCCATTATATATAGCTGGATTCCATATTCTATGCGGTTCTATTTTGTTAATTTCAGTTGGTTTTAGTAAAAACGAGGGGGAACGTTGTGAGTTGCTGCGGACACCGCAACTCTAAGGTTATACCCGATACTAAGTCAGTATGGCTCTCCTCCGGCAGACGCCGCTAATATTTAACGACACGACAAAGAGTGCGTGCGAGAGAGACAGAAAATCAGTCTGAGCGTGACGTCGGGCGCTGCGTAGCCACTGCAAATTGATTTGTTCCTTTTGGCTAAAAAAATGGTCTGATCTGATCCAGATTCAGCAATCTAATAGATATGGTCATTATCTATGATTCTGCGTTTTTAGTTTTCTCAAATCTGCAATATTGTGGATGCAACAGATTTTCGTCCTTTGTGGGGGCGGATGGGGGTGGGGCGAAATTCTGAGATATACGTTTTATAGTGACATCTTAAAGGAGTGTGTGCACCAAATTTGGTTACTCTAGCCTTAATAGTCTCTGAGATTTGTGGTTGCCTCAGATTTTCGTCCTTTGCGGGGCGGAAGGGGGTGTGGCGAAATTTGGACAGGAAACGGTCAAGGTCCGATATCACAGGAGTGTGGATACCAAATTTGGTTGCTCTGGCTTTTATAGGTTCTGAGATCCTTGAACTCATATTTTGCAATTGGCAAAACCGACCATGAAACCTGTGTGTTAGAGTGAGACAGAGCGAGAAAGAGTGAAATTGTTTTCGTGATTCTGGCTGTATTAATTATACGATCTGGTTCAGATTTTGCACTCTAGAAGATATAGTCATCTACTACGATTCTGCGTTTTTAGTTTTCTCGTATCGTCGAAATTGTGGATGCCACAGATTTTCGCTGTTTGTGGGGGCGGAAGTGGGCGGGGCAAAGTTTTGAAATATTTTTGGAGCAGTGACATATCACAGAAGTCTGGATCCAAAACATCGTTGCTCTAGCTCTTATAGTCTTTGAGCATTAGGCGCTGAAGGGGACGGACAGACGGACAGACGGACGGACGGACAGACAGACAGGGCTCAATCGACTCGGCTATTGATGCTGATCAAGAATATATATACTTTATAGGGTCGGAAACGATTCCTTCTGGACGTTACACACATCCACTTTTACCACAAATCTAATATACCCCAATACTCATTTTGAGTATCGGGTATAATAACCCGAATCTGCGTTCTGGTTGTGGTCTTTGCTTGGCTGCAAAAGCTTTCTTTCTCTAAAGTTGCGCTCACTTAATGTTGCGGGAGAAAAATAGCCCACGCGCGGCACAATAACCGTTATGACGGTGTCGTCGGCTAGATCAGCTGTTGATATTGCTGTTGTTGTCAATAATGTGACGAAGAGCGTTGCCGAAAAAAAAAGAGAGCGAATTTGATCGGCCTGCATGTGTGCGTGTTGTGATCAGTGCTGCCAGAATTTAAGACTGACTAAAAGGTAGATTCGAAAAAATATTTTATACAGCAAGCCTTGCTTGGACATTTTGATTTACTAAAAACAGATAAAGCTTAATATTTCCGCAATATCATCTGGAAAGAGGATTAAAAGGCTCGGAAGCTGAATTTCTTTTAAAAAATGCTAAAATGCTTATACATATATATGTACATACATATGTATAAGCATTGCTAAAATTTTATAAGCAATTCCACGTCGTAAAGCTAGATGTAGCCTGAAATATGCTAAAATAGCAGCACTGGTTTGGATCGTCGCGATCGGGCAAGCGCTTCTCATAAATAAAAGCTGTTTTTGAACCACTTGCTCAAATCAAAAAAATTTTAGGTGCGATCGGCGAGTGCCTCTCTGTTGTCCGTGTAGTGTGTCTCTGTTATTTTTTCGTTTGTCCCATCGATAGAAAACTATAACACCGATCGCGTGTTGTTCTTTGTTAAACAAATGTATCAGAAACGCGCGTATTAAATCGGGGCTGGAAAAGTGCAAGTTACATAAGTACATATTAGAAAGAATACCACTTGTCCGCCAAAATGAGCGTCGAAAGGTAATACAAGCCAAACACAACAAAAGAATATTGAATATACAAATCGATTGTGCCATGCATATTGCATATTCATCAGAACTATGAGAATTTTCTGTCTGGCCAGCTAAAAATACATCATTCGACTTTAAACCTTTACGCGTATGAAACAAAACAAGTTTTCGGTTCTTTTTACCGGGTATAGCCTTCACCTGTTGCCAGGTTCAGGTAGACAGACGGATGGAGGGCCAGGTCTGAGATTACTCGTATTTTGTTCCACCATTGATAAGGTTCTCCTAACTCAGAGCTAACTCATCGAATGTGGGTGGCGTGGCCCTCGTGTGTACACACATACATATGTGAAATCCGCCTCCGACGAGTAGTCTTATCGATCAAATTCGCCGTTTCCGTCGGCCAGATGCGATTTTTGGTTCTTGGCTGATCAATGAAATAGTCGTACTTCAGAGGGACAGATCTCAGTTCTACTATACCCTATCTATTGGCTCAGCAATGATTATAAACAATTATGTTTGCTGTACATTTTAGCCAATGCGATAAGATAGTTGCGTATTTTACAGACAGAAACACGTGCTAAATGGTTCGGTTATCCATAGTGATAAGTAAAGTACTTCCCAGTAAACTATTCGCTTAAAATACTTCGAATTTTCCATAACATTAGTAGTATGTAAAACGAATCGTGTCTGCCTGGTGTTATCAAAGCCTGTTTCGATCGGGAGATTGAACGATTACCAGATCAATCATCTGTCACTATACTAGAAGACGTTATCACGGTATAGCCGTAGGAGTTTTGTTGCTGTAAATATACCTTAAAAACCTTAATGGGCTGGCTTCCTTTCCTTTAAAGATAATTGATAAAATAAAATTATTTCAGAATATTGTGCAATTCAACATCTGCACAAACTTTTTCTTTCCCCTTAAATTCCTTTACTGGTTTGGTGTACCCCAGAAATTACTCGCATATAATTGGTTGATAAGCCCAGTGGCTTCGTTTAGAATTTCATTTAAGAAAATTAACGAGATTCCCACGCTTCTGGCCCGCCTTATCTTATCTACCCCATTATGCGATGCAATTTAATTATTATTACGCATACGGTGGGTGGGTCGGATCCGTGCCATGGCTACCCGAAGCTCAAATGACGATGATGAGGATTGATTTCCATTCCTGATTGAGTGACGTAGCATCATCGAATGGCTTGTTGTCCCAATAAAGCAATAGCATAGTAATTTGCTTGAGCTTGAATCGATTGAATGGCTGGGCTGCACATGTCGCGACACGATTTTACTGCGTGTGAGCTGTTATCAATTATCTAATTTTCGGTGTCAACAGTGGGCGACTGTATGTTTTCTATTATTGGCTAACATCGTACAGAAACTTTTTTAATTCACACATCCAAAAATCGATAACCAAACAGACCTGACTGACTGCGATTTAACTGGTTTACCTAGAATAGAAAGTCCATCATCCGAAGCTTGAAAAATGAGTTTGTTAGCAAGAAGCTTCTTTAGGTGTCATTGAAACCAATTAAAACTAAAAGTGTTCTGTTTTCCTCTCATATGTGGTGTGCTTCAATGTCTGGAGTTTGTTTTGGCACATTGAACCTTCGGCTTTGTCGACACTTCCTCAATCAAAGTCAAGTCTGACGATTAACCCTTCCGATAATGCAATATTATCTGTACACCGAAAATTTGTTGCTTCTTGCTCGTTATTTTGGCGAGAAGGTGCTGTTTCACTTATATTTTTCTATGCCTATCACGAAGAATTGTGAATTTTATGAAAAACTATCAAAAAATAAAAGAAACTGCTACGGCTTAATTCTACGTGACTTCATAGGGACCTTGGCACCAGACACTTATTCGATCAAAAAACAATACCATACCATGCCATACATTCAAAAGAGAGCGAATAATAATAAACACCAATCCGAGTTGCTATTTATCGTTTATTTTGCATTATCAACGCGAAGCAAGAGTCAAAACAAACTCAAACACTACATTTGTGACGTAGGCGAGCCATGAGTCGTTACACTCGCACTCTCTCAAGCGAGCTTATCTCACCAGCTCTTCCTCTCTTTGGTCCGCTCCCTTTTTTCGCGCTGGAAAGAGATAGCGACTGAATGATTAAACAATAAAACGTTCTGGATTAATTGGCGAACACAACACAAATGAAAAAGGTGGAAGTGCAACCTGATCGATTCGAGTGGCGTGTAAAAAGCGTTCTAATTACCATGGCCTCGATTACAGACCATACCAGACGGTCGTAGGGCTGTAGGCTGTCCCCAAGTGCCCATGAAATTGCCAATAATTGCAATTGTTATGGCAATTTAAGCTGGAAATGGAAAATGGGGGACCATGAACAAAGGGACCTGAGAATACTATATATTAATGTGTAACCAATTGTTTAGGCTTTGTATTGCTGCCATAAAATCTATAAAATAAATTATAGAAAACTCTTTGCTTTTTCGGTCTGCATTTCAATAGGGGCATACAGACAAATCAATTGGTAATTGAAGTCTGAACATGTCTTTGGAGAGAGTTGAAAGATACTCGGACTTCTAAAGATACTTCCGCTTACCCTATTTTTTATCATCTTACTTATGTATGTACATTGTACTGATATCTGCACTGAATTCAAATCTACGACTTTCGTATCCTCCCTATTTCAAAAACAGGGATGACGAATATAGTAAATTTATGCCGAACAAACTGGCCTATCATGTCGTGCCTGGAGCTGATTTCCAGTACAAACTGGCCCACCAAAACTCTAGGAAGCTGTCTACCATCGATGAGCAGGACTACGAGCAGGCTAATCGAAGGGGGATGAGAAATCAGGTGAGTTGATTTAATAAAGACTGTGATGATGTGACTCTGGGTTTCAGAGGGTTGAAGTTTAATGAACAAGCTGAAAGAGCAGGCCGTTATAAATGACAAAGTTTGGATGAGTTTACACCTTTTTATTTTATTCCTGATTTATTTTATAATCTTGTCAGTCACTTGTCAAAAACCATTTCGGCACGGCCTAGACATGCGAATGCTCGGCAGATACAATATATTTTCTGAAGGACAAAATGATAAGATACGCAATTGAACTGAACTTTCTTCACTCAATGATTAGAAACGCTTTTTGTGGGGGCCACATGTGGCGCTCATGTGATGAAGGCGCTCTAATTGAATAGAATCGATTGGGACTGAAATGCCATTCAATTTCAGCGTGTCCGTGTTTAGCGTGCCCGCATCACAATTGAGTTGAATATGTAGGTTCAAAGGCAATCAAGAATCAGCTGAGAGATCGTTTATGACTATCACCAGAAATCAAAAATGCTGCTCATGCTCATGCAACAGCAGCGCCGCTGCGTCAAACGGCGTGTGGCGTCTGTGGGGCAACTTCCATTGAAGCCAATTGTTGTGCAAGACGTTTCAAGCATGGGACACTGTTGCATTGATGCCCTGACCATCTGAGACCTTGATAGAATGATTCCTTTTTGGTTGACATTTTCCTTGGATTCATTTTTCCACCAGGTTCTGGCCACCTGCGCGGTCTTGTTGCTGTCCGCCGGCTGTGGTATGCCCATTGGATTCTCAGCGGTATTGCTGCCCCAGCTGAGTGATGGAAATACCACAGAGATACCAATAGATGTCGACACAGGCTCATGGATAGGTATGTTGAGTCGAAAATCAGCCGCACAAGCTGCGACAAGATATTTGCGATTAAAAAGATGACTATTAATCGGCAAAGACAAACAAAGTTTTGGCTATCTCAAGTCTGTCTTTCTATTCGGGTTACGATCTAATATATTTCTACCTGTATCTCCAAAACCTCAGCGAGCGTCCATAGTTTGGCCACGCCCTTTGGTTCGCTGCTGTCCGGGCCCCTCGCTGACTATTTGGGACGTCGCAAGACTCTGCTGGTGTCGGTGATTCCCCTCTTCCTAGGCTGGAGCACGCTGGCCACAGCCAAGAGCGTTAAGATTATGATCTTTGCCCGCTTTCTGTGCGGCTTTGCCACTGGCATTCTGGGCGGACCAGGACAGGTGAGTGATCCATTTATGTATGATTCATTCAGACTGCTCTCTTGAGTTCATTCACTCTTCCCGGTGATAATACCTGACACAAGTCGAGCATGTTCGACTGACCCATTAACCGTAAATGGCTCATCCTTGAACCCCACCCCACACATACAGCGCGAGAAGACAGCTGCTGACAAGTTGTCCAAGTTTGGCTGTCAATTGCTCACTTAGCGTCTATTGTCGCGGATTCTCTGGTCGGTTCCCCATTGTGTCTATGATAATGCGATGTAAGCCGGCTGTTTATTTATTTACTCGTACCTTATGGATATGTCCGTGACTTATCTTGCGGCCAAAATGATAAGGATAGTCGGACTCATAAACGCTGACGTTGTTGCCATCATTCCCATTCATCATACTCGACTTGAAATGGCGCGCGCATCATTTGCATTAGCAAAATCTTTCCGCACACACAACCGCTGTAGTTCCGGATTCTTGACCTTAGTCTACAATAATGCTTTTGTTGTCATCGGAGTGGTGGGTGGGCGATGGGGAATGGGATGGATGGCTCTTGGGCGTCGACTGTTGCGCGTGTGTGTCGTCCGAGCGAATTTCATTTTCATTAATGGTTTGCTGGCATGATTTACGATTTTATGATTACCATCCCCATTCGGAAGATTACGATTGAGATTTAGATTCAGTTATTATTATACTGATGCTTTTGTGACCCTCAATTTGATCAAATTGTTTGCTTGTCTTCGACCTGCAAAAGTTTTTCTTCTTGTGTGGGGTCAGGGTTTATTTGTGTCACGTCTACAATTTAACAATTGGCATTTTTGTTTTCCTTTTGTGTTGAAAATAGAATTATTGTCTTCTAAGTTGCGTAATATTAAATAACGGTCAACTCCACTCCACAGGTCTACATAGCCGAGACAGCGGAACCCAATCTGAGAAGTCTGCTTATTGGAGCACCCTATGTAGCGTATTCCTGCGGCATACTGCTCGTCTACTCGCTCGGTTCCATTATGTACTGGCGGAATGTGGCCTGGTGTGCCAACGTACTGCCGTTTCTTGCTGTGGTCTCTATCTACTGCATACCGGAGACCCCGTCCTGGCTGCTGCGCAACGGGCACGAGAAGAAAGCCCTGCAAGCCCTAACCTTCCTTAGGGGCAGCGAGATTAGTGCCCAGAAGGAGGTGAATGATATGAAGCAGCGCCTGGACAAGGAGCGGGCCACCACCAAGACCAATGAGAATATCTTCAGGCTGTGCTGCCAGCGAGTGGCTATTAAACCTCTGGTCATCGTGATTGTCTTCTCGCTACTGCAGATGTTCTCTGGCACTTTCATTGTGATATTTTACGCCATCGATATTGTGTCGGAGTTCGGGGCCGACTTTGATTCTAAACAGGCTGCGATCTGGACGGCTGCTGTACGGGTCGTCTGCTGCATGATCTTCTGTGCGATCCTAATCTTTGTGCGGAGGCGTCGCATTATGATCCTGTCGGGCATCGGCTCGGGCGTATTCTGCCTGGCTTTGAGCGGATTCATGTATGCTCGGATGGGTCACCCAAAGATGTCGTACGATGTATTGGTGGCTGGTGGCTGCCTCCTGGGCTATATCGTCTTCAACACAGCGCTGATGGTGATGCCGGGCATCATGATTGGAGAACTGTTTCCGGCCAGGATTCGCGGTCGGACGGCGGGCGGAGTGTTTGCCTCCATGAATGTGGCCCTGTTCATCTTTGCCAAGGGCTTCCCTGCTCTGCAGTCGTTGTTAAAGATGCGAGGGGTTTTCCTGGTATTCGGCTTTTCCAGCTTCCTGTTAACCATCTTTATGTGCCTATTTCAGCCCGAAACGAAGGGTCGCAGCCTAGAGCACATCGAGGACTACTTTAATGGCAACAACTGGCTGTGGTTCCGCCGGGACCGTGGCTACAAGACGGTCAAGCTCCTGCCCTTGCAACCACTAAAAGAAAACGCAGCGGAAAGTGCATAGGTCACCCCTAGGGGGGCTAGCTTGTATACAGGGCTGTTAAGATTACAATTAGTTTGCTTAGATAGTATTTGGCGTACTCTTAGTTCTATCCTTAGTGCCTCGTAGTTATTTAAATCTATCGATTTTCCAGTGTTCCTCAGTGATTCCAACACGGTAATCTTCAGTCTTCACGGTATCCTTTCAAGTTGTGATAAATCTGCTTTAAATTGTATCTCTTTTGTAATAAATCATATATGATTAGAGAATAAAGTTCGTTTTAATGATATCGACTGTTTTTCTATTTCAAGATCAGGAAATTTAATTTAATTTTATTGACCAGATATATGTCGATTGATATTCAAATATTCACATTGTCTGGCAATATTGGAAAATATTGTCAGTATGGTGTTCCTCGGTTTACCTTTGCAACGAATTAGGTAGTGGGATGTTGACTGCGGATGGAATGCAGAAGGAATTTTATTTCTTTCTAGTCATCAAGCTGACTACTGTATGTGTTTTGGAAGCCTATCGGAACAAAAAACATAAGAAATACACTTGGCGAGGAAAACGGCAAGATGTCAGCGGCACAGTGGAAGCTGGTGCACGCGCGTCTCGTCGACGCACTTTTTGCACAGATGGAGGAAGACCCCGCGGCCCCAATGCCCACGTTCGAGGGTGCTGGGTGGCTAAATGGGGTTAAAATCCTGAAGTGCAATGATGATCCAACCCTAAGGTGGCTGACGCGTACGGTCTGCCAACTGGAGGCGATGTGGGAGGGGGCCAAGCTGGAGGTTGTGGACCGGGAGCTTATCCCGTCCAAGCCTAAGGCGAAGGTACTCTTCCCCATCACAATCCAGGGGGACCGAGCGCTGAAGCTCCTTCAGCGGCAAAACGCGGACGTGCCAACGGCCGATTGGAGGATCCTACACATTGGTAGCCCACTTCCCAACGAGGGGGGCCAATGTGTGATCCTCCAAATAAACAAGGAAGCAGAGGATCTGCTATACCCCAAGTTCGGGAAGATGGCGTGGGGCATGGGTAGCGTCTACCTGCGCCTCAAAAAGCGCCACCCTGAGGACAAGGACGCGCATACCCTGCAGGCAGGCGAGGTGGAAAAGGACCTAGGTCTCGAGTCCATCGTGGAGGCCGCCCAGGGTCTTGCGCTTGAAGACGAAGAAGAGGAAGACGGTGACCTGACGCTGGTAGTCAACCCGTCAGGTGCAAGTGAGCCAGCCACCCATGCTGAGTGTGCTGCAGCTCACCTTGCATAAAAGCAAGGTAGCGTCAGCGGAGCTCCTCATCGCCATGGGGCAAGGGCTCGCCGACATAGCTCTAGTCCAGGAGCCCTGGATTGCGACAGGCAATTCAGTGGCCGGACTAAAGTCCTTAAATCATAACCTGTTCTACTCAACATCGGTAAGCAGGAACAGAACCGTCGTACTCGTACGAAAGGGAATCCATGCTTACCTTATGTCTCATTATAGCACGGATGACCTGACGGTTGTGATGCTGGCAAGTGAGGAAAAGCGCCTTCTGGTGGCTTCCTGCTACATGGCTCACGACAGACCCGCACCACCCGACGAACTCAGGAGCCTGGTGACAGAAGCCGGCACCAAAAACTATCAACTCGTCATCGGAACGGACGCCAATGCCCACCACAATGTGTGGGGAAGCACCGACATCAATAACAGAGGTGAGTCACTCTTAGACTTTATACTAGCAACTAATCTATATATAGCAAACGTTGGGGAGGAGCACACCTTCGTAGGTCCGACCTCATCCAACGTGCTAGACCTAACACTTGCAACGGGAAACAGTACTACGGTATCTAGCTGGAGGGTCCTCGATAGACCATCCTTCTCAGACCATAAGTACATTCAGTTCAAGTGCGAATTCAAACACCCTTCGAAGACAACAGTCTATAGAAACCCCCGGAACACAAACTGGGCAAAGCGAACGAAGAGATTGTCAATGAGGAATATAAAATCCTACTTAGGAGCTACAAGAAGGAAATACGTAAGGCACAAAGGAACTCGTGGAGAAACTTCTGCTCCAACATCGAGAAAGTGCCCGAAACCGCTAGGCTTCGGAAGCTGCTTTCAAAGCAGCCCACAGTACAGAGCCAACTAAAACTAGACAACGGACTGTGGACAGAGGGCAGCAAAGAAGCCCTAACAGCACTAATGGAGGCGCACTTCCCTGGATGCACCGAGGTCACTGACGCCAAGGAGCATCAGGACCTAGCAACCGAGGAACAGCACCCTCCAATAGGTCTGTTAACCAATAAGAGAATCCACTGAGCCATAGACTCCTTCGCGGGCACAAAAGTACCAGGATTGGACCGGATATTCCCAGCCATGATGCAGTTGACCAAAGAGGTTATTACCCCATGGCTCCTCGCAATATACTCAGCATGCCTAAGTACGGGCTATATCCCCATCCAATGGAGAACCTCGAGAGTTGTCTTCCTCCCTAAGGCAGGAAAGTGCAGCCACGTGAGTCCCAAGGATTACAGACCGATAAGCCTTACCTCCTTTATACTAAAAACACTAGAAAAGCTCTTCGATTTGCACGTCAGGAATGAGGTAGAGGCACTGATGTCAACAAACCAACACGCCGACACTAAAGGGAAATCAGTGGAGACGGCACTACACTCGCTAGTAGCCACCATCGAGAGCGCCCTTCACAACAAAAAGTATGCTTTGGGAGCATTTGTGGACATCTCAGGAGCATTCAACAACGTGGCCACAACCGCAATAACAAGTCGCCTAGAAGCGAATAACATACACCCTGCAATCAACGTCTGGATCAAAAACCTCCTAAGTTGCAGACGGGTGCAATCGGAGTGGCGCACTGCTTCCATGGTAAAGGGGGCACACAGAGGCACACCTCAGGGTGGAGTCCTGTCGCCACTACTGTGGAATCTGGTGGTCGACGACCTCATCAAGAGATTTGAAAGGAAGGCCCCAAAGATAACAGCTTATGCAGACGACATAAGCATACTTATTACGGGTGTATGTCCATCGATCCTCAGCTCCTTAATGGAACGTACACTCAGGGAGATACGTGAGTGGGCGGAAGAGGTAGGACTCAGTATCACGCTCGCCTGATTGCGGGAAAGGCAGCACAACGCCTCATAGCATCAGGAAATCTATCTCCACAAGGATACGGGCATAGTTCAATCGGCAGGGAAATGACCAGATCAACTGATTACATGACCCCCCAAACTTGCCTTGACGTCAAAACAACCACATCTTTGGGACCTGAAGACTGGAAAATTGGAAGGGACCAAACTGAGCACCTCAATATATACACAGACGGCTCCAAGATGGACGGAGGAGTAGGGCGGGCCTATGCTGTACAGACCCTGAGATAAGGCTGTCGTATAAGCTACCGGACCAATGCAGCATATTCCAGACAGAAGTTTTTGCCATCGGGAAAGCAGCGGAGGTCGCTCTCCTCACAGAACGAGCACACGATGCGGTCAACCTATTCGTCGACAGCCAAGCGGCGATAAGATCCATGCAGTCGTCTGCGGTCAGTTCCAGAAGTGTCTTGGCGAGCAGGGAGGCATGAGGCATTGGGTTCCCAGCCACCAGGGCATCGAAGGAAACGAAGCGGCGGACGTACTAGCTAAGGAAGGCGTCGGGCTGGAGAATAGGAGAACCGAGAACGTGCCTGTCTCCCTCAGAACTCTGCAAGGCTATCTAGAGAAGCAGGCTAGAGCACAGACTGATAGCAGGTGGAGGAGTACCACCACCTGCAGAACCTCGAAGATAATGTGCAAGGAGCGCAACGAGAAACTTAGCCACTACCTACTGCACCTACCACAAAAGGACTGTAGACTGATAGTGGGAATACTAACAGGTCACTGTCTGGCTGCTGCACATGCATCAAAGCTAGGCATCACCAACAGAGACAGTTGTAGGAAATGTGAGGAACCTGGGGTTATAGAAACCCTGGAACATCTCATCTGCAACTGTCCGGCTCTCTCAAGGGCAAGGAGGAGATACCTGGGCGCCCCAGTGTTGGCATCACTGGAAGATGCCTCCAAAAGAACGCCACAGGAACTGCTGGCCTATGCTAAAAACACCTCGATTCTCGGGGACTTTTAAAACCACATTAACACTCCCGCGACGGTTCATACACCCCCCCATCCGGATAACTAAGGGCCATATTGGCCTATGCGTGGCCCCGCTGAGGGCCGTCCGGGTTAACCTAACCTAACCTGTTACGAACCTTTGTTTTCTTCGGGGCAAGGCCGGCTAGCCAGTCATCCCAGGGCTGGGTACTTCCCAAGCCCTCAGGTCGCACAATATACCAACTATTTGGACATCTCGAACAAATTGAAACAACAAAAGTAACCGACAAAAAAACTGCAAACGGACTCTACTCGACAAACAACATTACAGTAACTTCCTTCAACACAGACGTGGACCAGGTCGAGGTGTCGATGTTTTTACCTCTGATGTACCCACCCTACCTGAGACCCGAATCACGACGTTCTGGATCTCCCTGCCATGTGCAGCAGCCTTACCCTCTCGTTGCTGTGGCTCCTCTTCCCCCCATATGAAACGCTTAGCAATTCATTTTCTTCGTTATAATTCTCACTTCAATTTCCTGCTTTTACACGTTATCATCGCTACACTAAGCCTGCCTATTCATTCCCCCCTCATCTTATCATTACGGGCAGTTAATAAATAAATAGATAAATAGAAATAATTAATATAATAAATATAAATAAATTACATATAGATATAATATGGGCGGACTTAAATTAGGGGATTAACATATACATATAAATGGAGACATCTAACAAAATTAAATAATGGGAGTAAATAAGTTAATTGGTGCTTTTTTTTCTCCCTAAATGAGCGAGGGACCCGCACTACGTGGCCAGAAGAGTTCCTTCGAGACCAGCAAAACCAAGCCAGGATGGCGGAGCTGTGGCCTATTCCCTATGGATTTGCCAACAAAAATAATAAATTTGGGGTTTCTTTACTCCCCCTTTGGAGCGGACTCACTCTTGTGCTTTTTGGGTCTACTTTCCGTCCCGCTGGTCAGCTCTAGAATTCCTGGTGTTTCACTGATCTTGATCCCCTGGAATCACAGATTTATTTATCTTTTATCGGGTGATGGCCACTACTCCATCCTCATCCCACTCACTTTTTCTTTCAAACTAAAAAAAATCACTAGATCACAATGACCGGCGCGCATGCTCCTCCGTTGCGGGAATTTCTTTCTCTGAACCCCCTCTTGGCTTAGCTGCTCTGTTTAATGCTCCCGGGCCGCTGATCCCCCATCGCTCTCTCTTCTATCGCCCTTGAACTAGGTTCAAGGGCATGGACTGATTCGGGCTGCTGGCGGCTCTCTTTCTGTGGGGTGTGGGTGAGTTGGCTTCGGGACTCCGTTATGGGATGAGATCGGAAATCCTTTCTCATAACGGCTCCGGAGAGCGCGCGGAACTCTCACTCTCCAGGACCAGGTGGCGCCACTCTTCGCTAACCTTTTCCCCTTAAATTTTGGCCTTGCCACTCTGTTCAAACATCTTTCCTCCCTATCGATAACTTCGCATGCAACAGCTTGGCATTTGTTTCACGATTTAATACAGCCACTAACCATATAGTATATATACTATATATATATATATAATTCCTACATATTGATGTAAGTGTTTTCGATGCCATAAACTGGCCACACTTAGCCAATACACATGCTTATTGGTATTTTTTGAGGTGAAAATTGAACTGATCGTATATTTACGGTATATCGGTATATAATGGTATGCTTTGTCAATTTCATCAATCTATTAAATTTAATTTTCAACGATATAAAGAAATCCAAGAAAAGAATATATTTAAAAGACGCCAGACAAGTAGAAAATTGATTCACTAATCGGATAAAATTATGGGCAGGGCTGAGGAAATATGTATAATAGATATTGAATTCGTCAGTATACTTACGGTATATTTCTGAGACGGACAGTATATTTTAACGATAAATGCTTAACCCCCAAAACACCTAATTGTACTAATAGAAACAAGCTAAAAAAGCAACAACAACAAGATGAACAACGTAAGACTGCGCCGGCTATATGTAAACTATTTAAATAGTAATTGACTAATAAATCTGTTTGCAGGAACTAAAGATTAAAGTTGAACGTTGTGCTCACACAGCCGAGGATTTCACGCGCCTTTACTACGCTTCCTTTGACAATCGTCGCCATGTAAGTTCAGTTGCTCACGCATTTCAATGCCATGCGAAATTACCAACAAAAATAATGCATTGCAGCAATTAGGACGTCTGTACCTTGACAATGCAGTCTTTAGCTGGAATGGAAATGGAGCCAATGGACGTCAAATGATCGAGCGCTATTTTCTGGAGTTGCCTTCGTCTAGCCATCAGATGAACACCCTGGATGCCCAGCCCATACTAGATGCTGCAGTGGGCATTCAGCTAACGTACTTGGTAATGGCCAGCGGCACTGTTAAGTATCAAGACCAGCCGACTCGTAATTTTCAGCAGGCTTTCATTGTAACTGCCGAAGGTGACAAGTGGAAAATCGCCTCGGACTGCTATCGATTGCAGGAAGTGACCCTGTGATCAATCCAGGTGCACCTAGTTCATAAGTTTACACAAATAAAAGTTAAACTTAACTTGAAATATGGAAGGTTTATTTACATTACTTAGTAACTAATTAATTGTCCACCTCCGTCTTGGGCTTTTTTGTAGACGGCTCTGTGTCTGTGGGCAGTTTTTCCGAGAATATGGCCTTAGGCTGAGTTTCTTTATAAGCAGGTGCTATCCAGTATGGATTTTCAGCCGCATCCTTGGCGTACTTAAGAATGGCCTCTCTAGGATCCTGATCATCATCTACTCTCTTGCTCAGGCCGAGATTGCGAATGACATAGGAGGAGAGTGTACCACCAGAGCTTGCCACACGACCACCCTGTCCGCTGGTGATGGGCAAGTCCGGTCGTTTCGACTTTACAGGGTCCATCCGGGCCTTCTCCATCTTCTTGCGGGAGGAACGGGATTTCTCCTGTCGGAATAGAGGCAGAGCGTGAGGAGTGATGATCTGCGAAACGCCCACCATCTCCATCTGCTGCCGCTTTCGGTGGGTCTTGACCACGCACAACGTTGCGCCTCGTATGCTGCGTTTCTCGTCGTACAGGCACTTAATAGTGCCGTTTCCACAGCTCACAAAGAGCTGGTTTAGCTTTGGATGCCAGAGCGTCTTAACCACATGCGAGTTCGACACGGGAATGCGTTGAACTTCCTGGAAGCTTTTGGTGCTGTAGAAATAGAGATTAGCTTCGGCCTGATCCTTCGGAAGGGACTCGCCAGTGACCAACAACCGATCGTCTGGGCTAAAACAACAATCAGTGGTGTCGTAGCGAGAGTACAGATTGTTCCAAGTGTTCAGAGGCTGCTTAAATTTTCGCAGATCCCACAACTTCATGGTCTCGTCGTTGCTCCTGGTGGCCAACTGTTGCCCCATATATGAAAAAACAATGGAGGTAATTTCAGCGCCTTTCTGGTGGGCCCCTCGTACGCAGTGGGTTGTGTTCACAAACATTTTGCGTGTATCCCAGGTCTGAATGGAGCCGTCCACGCACCCGGCTGCTATCAGAGTCGCATCTCTATTGAAGTTGCAGGACGAGGCGTTGGTTCTAAGGCCTCCAATTGCCCTCGTCTTGATAACCTGACATTGTTCTTTGGCCTTCAAGCCCTGCCAAATACGGAGTGTTCCATCTAGCGCAGCCGTGAGGAACTGCTCCCGATTAAAGGGATGCCAGCAGCCCGAGGTCAGCTGCGCCACATGGCCTTTTGTGCGAGACATGTCCGATATGTATTGATCTCCCTTGCAACACTCTAGTTTTTCAAACCCATCGCGATCCAATACCTTGGCCTGAGCATTGCCAGAGATGACCAAGATCATCTCCCCGGTCACTGAGTATTGTAAGGATCGAATTGGATGGTTCTCGCATGGCTGTAGTTGCCGAAAGCTCCGCATGCTTGAGTCCATGCCAACAAAGTCCCAAAAGCACATATCGTAGTCTATGGAACCGGAAACCAAGCGGGCACCAGAAGGATCGCCTGCCAGGGCCAAGACAGCCCGTGAGCCATGCTGCATTTGGACCTCGTGTGTGTATGGTATACGCTTGGAGAGGCTTTGCTCATCATCGGAATCCTCATCAGAAGAGCAGTCGTCATCGGAGTCTTCGACCTTATTTGTGGCTTCATCCTTGCAGCCTTGTTTTGAATCCTCGACTGCTGCCGGTGGCAATGGCCCGATCACATCTTCCTCCTGCTCGGCCACCTCTCTCTTCTTCTCCACACCTGGACGTGTGATCTTCGCCTTGGCTATCTGCTCATTAATGTCAAACACTTGGGCTGCCTTGCGTCCAAACCCACTGATGCCCATCACTTCCTTCAAGTGCTGACTCTCCAAATCTTCGGCGACATCTTCAATTTGTCGAATCATTTGCTGTTTGTCCATTTTCTTGAAGCCGCCTCCGCCACTGCTGCCAGATTCTTTTCCGTCTTCATTCTCATCTGCATTTGGCTCGTCAGGAGGTTGATTGATGTTTAATTGGATTTTCCCAAAGGAGATTTTACCACGTTGCATGGCTGGGAACCCTGGACTGTTTTTTTTTCTAATTTAATATTAATTTTTCGCAAGAGGCGCGATGTAAACAATGTGAGCGTGCAACTATCGAGCTACCATCGATACTACTATCGATGCAAGATATAGGTTCACATGAATAACTGGGAGCTACATCATTTTAGCTCTGACTCGGTATTGAACTACCATGAGCAGGTACAATAAAATATAAATAGATTTCGTTGAAAATTAGTAGACTTTCTAACATGTAATCCATTCAATAGGCCATCGAATTTTCCTGGCATAAACAATATTTGTACACACAGTGATACACTTGGATATTTTATATAAGCGAACATGTCATATTTAACAAGCGAATTCACGCATCACTGTTTCAAACTAGTTCGCTGATAGCGTCGTCTAACCTAAAATTGAGCGCGTAGGTAGTAGTGTTATTTGTTGCCGGCGGCGTTTGCTCGTGTTAGATTTGTCAAGAATATAATTGTAAGAATTTCCCCTGCTGGTGTAATTAGTTTGTTGTTTTAAGTTTATCGTGCACTGGGAATCAAACATGACGGATTCCTTGGAGTACAACGACATAAATGCCGAGGTCCGCGGCGTCCTGGTGAGTCGCAAAAATGTAATAATTTTTTTGCACATTTCGTCTGACCTGTTAATCCCTTCCCATGATAGTCATCTGGTCGTCTCAAGCTTACCGACCAGAACATTATCTTCAAAAATAACAAGACGGGCAAGGTGGAGCAGATTTCCGTGGATGATATTGATCTAATTAATTCTCAAAAATTTGTGGGTACTTGGGGACTACGAGTGTTCACCAAGAGCGGTGCTCTGCATCGCTTCACAGGCTTTCGGGACAGCGAGCACGAGAAGCTGGGAAAATTCATAAAGGATGCCTATTCGCAGGAAATGGTAGAGAAGGAGATGTGTGTCAAAGGCTGGAACTGGGGCACGGCTCGATTCATGGGCTCCGTTTTGAGCTTCGATAAGGACTCGAAGACCATATTTGAAGTGCCGCTCTCTCATGTGTCTCAGTGTGTGACTGGCAAGAATGAGGTCACTTTGGAGTACCACCAAAACGATGATGCCCCGGTCGGTCTCCTCGAGATGAGGTTTCACATTCCAGCTGTGGAGTCAGCAGATGATGACCCAGTTGAGAAATTTCATCAGAATGTGATGAGCAAGGCCTCGGTCATCTCAGCGTCTGGCGAGTCCATCGCCATCTTTAGAGAGATTCAGATTCTAACACCTCGCGGTCGTTACGACATCAAGATCTTTTCGACTTTCTTCCAGCTGCATGGCAAGACTTTTGACTACAAGATACCCATGGACTCGGTGCTACGCTTGTTCATGCTACCACACAAGGACAGCCGGCAAATGTTCTTCGTGCTCTCACTGGATCCTCCCATAAAGCAAGGACAGACGCGGTATCATTATTTGGTGTTGCTCTTCGCACCCGACGAGGAGACCACCATTGAACTGCCGTTTTCGGAGGCCGAGCTGCGTGACAAATACGAAGGCAAGCTGGAGAAGGAGTTGTCGGGGCCAGTGTACGAGGTGATGGGCAAGGTGATGAAGGTGCTAATTGGCCGCAAGATTACAGGGCCGGGAAACTTTATAGGCCACTCGGGCACGGCAGCTGTGGGCTGCTCCTTCAAGGCTGCCGCTGGTTATTTGTATCCCCTTGAGCGTGGCTTTATCTACATTCACAAGCCGCCCCTGCACATCCGTTTTGAGGAGATTAGCTCAGTGAATTTCGCTCGCAGTGGAGGATCCACGCGTTCCTTTGACTTCGAAGTCACCCTGAAAAACGGAACGGTGCACATATTCTCGTCCATTGAGAAGGAAGAGTATGCCAAGCTCTTTGACTTCATCACACAGAAGAAGTTGCATGTGAGCAATATGGGCAAGGACAAGAGTGGCTACAAAGATGTAGACTTTGGTGATTCTGACAATGAGAACGAGCCCGATGCTTACCTAGCCCGTCTCAAGGCCGAGGCCAGAGAAAAAGAGGAGGAAGATGATGACGGCGATGATTCCGATGAAGAATCCACCGATGAGGACTTTAAACCCAACGAAAACGAATCGGACGTGGCCGAGGAGTATGATAGCAATGTGGAGGATGATTCGGACGACGACAGTGACGCTAGTGGCGGCGGAGGAGATGGTGGTACTGATGGTTCGACCAAAAAGAAGCACAAGGAAAAAAAGAACGAGAAAAAGGAGAAGACACATAAGGAGAAGGAGAAAATTGTAAAAAAAATTCACATCTTAATGCGAACGGTATTCAATATTTGTCTATTCCCCAGAAAAAACCCACCAAGAAGAAGGATACCGGCAAGCCCAAACGAGGGACTTCCGCCTTCATGTTGTGGCTTAATGATACCCGTGAAAGCATTAAGCGTGAAAATCCGGGCATCAAAGTCACCGAGATAGCCAAAAAGGGCGGCGAAATGTGGAAGGAGCTCAAGGACAAGTCCAAGTGGGAAGAGGCCGCTAACAAGGATAAGATTCGCTATCAGGAAGAGATGCGCAACTACAAGTCCGGAGCGGGTGGTGGCAGTGAGGACGAAAAAGGAGGCACCAGCAAGGCAACTAAGAAACGCAAATCTGAGCCATCGCCATCAAAGAAAGCAAATACCTCTGGAAGTGGCTTCAAGAGCAAGGAATACATCTCCGATGATGAATCCACCAGCGACGATCAGGAAAAGGTCAAGGAAATCCCAAAGAAGAAAAACAAATCTACCGCTGAGGACAAGGATAAGAACTCAAAGAAAAGCGAAAGCGAAGGGGGGGATAGCGACGACGCAAGCAATGCCAGCGAGGACGATGATGAAGAGGAAGATGAGGGCAGTGATTAGGCTCCCAGTCATTCAACACTATTCCATAATTCAGTCACACAGCCACACAAACCTAGTTTTTAAGTTCTCCCTAAAAAATATGTTTTTGTTTAAATAAACTTTCAAGAGCAAAGCAAAGCTCATGTAATTATCTGGTATGGTTTTAATAATTGCCCATAATGTTTGATTTGTATCAGCTTTATTTTTCGCATGAATTGGTTTTCGATGGCACATCACATTCGTTTTGAAGACTGATTGGTTCAGTCATAAAGAGTTTTTCCCTGTCTTCGGTTATGGCCACTTTGTGGGGCCACCTCTTCGTTTGGATTGGGCTTTGGCATATTCTCCAGGCAAGTTTGGAGCACTCACCTCTGGTTATGTTTCGATTTACGAATCTGATCTTCTTAGGTCCGTGGTATTGCCAAGTTCACCAATGTCCAGTGCTTTGCTGTTGATGAAAAGTTCGCAAACTTTTCGCGGTGCCGTCTCTATGCAGTAAAAAGGGATGTGGTTGAGATGAGCCTGATCGCCAAGGTATTACATTGGCCTAAGCGTCCAGTTTCGGTGAGTTTGATATTAGCTTTTGATTCAAATTGTGTGTTTCTGCGTAGTTGAGTTTTTTGTTTTGGTTGAATGAGTACCGAACATTTTGACGACGATTTGATCTGAAATAATTGTGTACAACGATTGAACGGTGTGCGGAAATCGACCATTAAAGGTATTCAACGGCATCAACAAGTGACCCCAATAGCGGTCAGATGTATTTTCCGTGCTTAGTTATACCCAAAGAGTATATAGTATCGAGTGTGTATGCTCACCTTAGGTACTGTACTTGAATAGCGTAGAAAGTTAGGACTGATTAAAATTTACTGCTTCGAGGATTCAAAAATTGTCTGAATGTCCAGCCATTGCCCTCCTTTTGTGACTTGGCTAGCAGATCCTCTGTTTCTTCGTTATCTTCTTCCTTCGGAATTGGTACTGCCGGTAGATCCTCAATTTCATTCTTCGTATTGGAGGAACGCAACAAACGCTTGCGGTGGCCGCGGCTTAGAGAGGTCCCGGATGATTCCGTAGGCAAGCCATTTTTCTTATCCAGCTCGCCAGATGAATCCTTAGACGAGTGAGCCACCGGTGTACCGGCTACGGCTACGGCTGACGATAAAGTCAGTTTTTCAGCATACATTTCGGGGTCAGGATATATATTGGGGACAGCTTCCCGGTTATTTGACAACTCGCATTCCTCCAGACCGTCTGCATCAGTGGCCTCTTGCGACATTCCAATGGAATTCCCAGAGCGTTTAAAAACGCCGCAGATAAGGGGCAGTACAGTCTTTCGGCTTCGGATGATAATCTGCGTTGCCCAAATGAAGAACTCGTTTAGCATCTGCTGCTTGCCCCGTTGCAAGAAGTGATCGATCTGCTTCTGATGCTTAAAGAGCAATGGACCCAGGATCGAATTAAAAATCCACACATTGGCAGCTGGCGCCGTGTGACCAATCCAAAATATCAACGCCATTTTGGTGATGCCATACAGTGGAACCCACGAGATAAACATATCGGCCAGCACCTCAAAGGTTGCAATGAAGGCATACACAATCCAATACTTAGCCCAGGGCGTGAGGTCCTTTTGAGTGCCATTCGACACAGCCTTGAATGTGTAAAAGGCCGGCAAAATGGTCCCGTATATGTAAAAGAGAACCCACGCTGCACAGCTGAAGACACACATCTTGCGTTTCTTTCCGTTGTTTTTATGCTAGAAAAAATTTATAAAGACGATTTATATGATTGAATAATTTTGACTTGTGTTTGCTTGAATTCAGTGGCGTTTGATACCTATTGAAAAATGTGTTCGTTGAAAATTTTAACAAGTATATGTATATTTTACTCCGGCGGAATCAAATAAACAAATGATTTAGATATACATATTACATATGTTATTTAGACAGTTCTGACATTACAAAGCCTCGCTGATCTGTGTATAAGCAAAATAAATTCAATTTTCATCAATATTCATCAATACAGATGCGAATACAGTTGCTGAAGCGGGCCAGTGGGTATAAGCCATTCCTGTACAATATCTGCCAGTCGGACCTGTGCGAGTATCTGGAGAAGCGGAATCACCCCTTTGTCAACATCATATTCAACAGTTTTACCAATCGAACCAATGTGAACCGGTGCCCGCTTCCTGTAAGTTACTTGATTCCAGTGATATATTTACTATTTATCAATATATTGTATTATACTTTGACTCTACGTCGAATGGCCTATCTGCAGGCTGAAATTATGCTGGAACACTTTCGTTTCCCGGTCAAAGCCTTGGAACTGCTGCCCCTGCCATCTGGGGACTACGCCCTCTTCATTACATTCAGTTTTGATAGCCAGGAACGGGCCTTGGTCAAGGTTTACTTCACTCTGACGGAGTATCGTTAATGTGGTGAAAAATATGAGTTGGATGCAAATTGCAATAAAAATCGACGGCAGTGCATTAAACCAATTTATAAATTAGCCATAAATTCGTTTACATGCGGGAAAAAATTAATTCGTAATTTGATTGTCTCTTTGTATTGATAATAAAATTGTTTCCACTCAAAGTATTTATGAGTTCTTCTTGGGATTAGGTTTGTTGGATTTGTTTGTATGTACATAGTACATATGTATGTATTAAAGGTTGCGACTCGTGACAAATTTTTATAAATCATATAAATCTTAAATGACATTTTAAATGGTTCAGAAAGGACTGTAAAAATAAACTCTTCCAATTTGATCCAGAACAAAAGGCCCTCGATTTAAATTATTCATTGCCCGTGGAAATTGATATTATTATTCGGTAATTAATCGTATATGTATATGTATATGTATGTAAATATCAACAAAAACAAAAAAGGTTCGTTTGGGTGTTTGAAGACATTTTCAGATTTTGGCTGAGCCTTGGCCCACCGTTGAACGCTCATGACATTTGGACCGTGTATTCAAAAAGAAATCAGCAGTGGTTCCCATAAAAATCAAAGACCTTTCAGAAATTGAAATCAACTGCAAATTGTATCTAACGAACGAAATGAAATGTTGACGGAAATAACACAATCATAGAGGGAGCGAAACATTACGTATAGATTACAATTACCAGCATTTTGCATGCATAATTAATTTGTGGGTCAATTGCAAAAACTTGAACCTCAATTCAAGTGGCTTTGGCTCTAAGGTGATCCGGGCTGAACCGAGCCGCGTTCGAGAGGTGTCATCTTTTTTGGATCTGTCATGTGCCCGCACATTGCCTAGGAAGTGTTTTTCTGTTTTTTTTTGTTTTTTGTTTTTTTTTTTTGCATGCCGCCAATTAATTTGATCATGCAAATGAATGACGAACAATTAGCAGTGCGAGACAAAGCCGATTTATTAATTGAAGATTCTTATTTGTTATTGTTATTTTTACAAGATATGTAAATGTAAATATTTATTTCGCACTCTGTTTGGCCGGTTTTCGATGCTGGCGATGGCAATGCGCGCTTTATCGCTGATTAATCTAAATTTAAATGAGTCTTAGCCGCTCGTCCGATTCGGCGAAAACTCAGCCAAAAGGCTAAGGAACTTCGGTTTGAAGTTAATGACACTTTCGGAACGTGGGTGCAGTCATCTGATTAAATTAGTTTGTAAACATGAATATCAACCATTTATACATACATATGAACATATGTGTGTATCTGGTTTTGGTCTCTTTAGGGCTAGGAGTATGTTCTGATCACTGAAAACTACGCGTTGCCAGAAGCAAATCTAAAGCTGTATGGGTTTTGTGGCTGCAAAAGTTGTCTTCCTGTCAATCAACAATTGAGCAAATTCTTTAATTTGAATTAAATTGTTGCTAATGAAAGGAAATGCATCAACAGGAAATTGTTGGACGCAATAAATTCCAGTAATGTTGACTGAATTTGCTTAGAGAAGGAATCCTCACAGCCAGATCAGCTTATAAAGTCCAGCTGAGCTCAATGATCGATAAACAAAACTGAAACAAATCGTTTTTTGGTGAGGATAATGGGGGAAAGGTGAGGGAGTGGTGACTGCGTTATTACCTGCCCAGTTGTTATGGCAAGTTCGTTGGATATTCGATTCTGATCAAGATTAATAGTGTGCTAATTGCGTTAAAATTGTTCCAGCAGCATTCCGTTGAGTGCAAATCATTGTCCAAAGCCATCACACGCGTCCGCCGCCGCAAGTTCGTTGCTTCAGTCTTTTGTTTGAGTGTGCATTTTGCGCTCTCGACTTAATTAATCAGTCGATCATTGGTAGGGGAGAGATATGGGGTACGAGGGATGTGACACTTCGAGCAATGTATGTTTTCAGCTTTCAACAAATTTCTCAAACACAATTTGGTTGTCCAATGTGTAATTACATGATAGGCCATTGGCCAACAAATTGCTACCGATCATCATCGGATTGGGGCGCTGTTTCAGGAATCAATTAGCATACGGCGCCTCGTCCTGCCAATGAACTTTTCTCATTGAAGATTAATGGAAAGTCTCGACGGATGGCAGCTGCTTCTGTAAAGTCCCAAAAAATGAATCATGGACGAGCACTCCGAAGCGACTGCAATGGCCTCTGAATATTTTCTAGGCTGGTCCCTAACTCCCTAAGCATCATCCGAGCTAAAAAATCATCAAGAGCCATACCACAATCCTCAAATCTGCCATGAATCAATGATTTTCCAACTGAAAATAGTTTATAATGATTGCATGCGCAATCGAAAAAAGAAAACAATCAAATAACTCCTTGTCACTTCCTAGAGCTCTGCACTAAGAGCAATCGAATACTGCGGCCAACACTTAGCCATCAGCTCCGACGCGGAGTGGTAATGTAATGGCTCCGATCTGGCTAAGTGCCTGGAGCAGTGCCTGGACTAGTGCCTGGAGCAGTGGTTGGGGCTTTCGCAAGACCAGGAGCCAGGCCAATCCATGTGTGTGTCTACCCTCAGCGTACTTTATGCATATTTATAGATTTGTTTGGCAAACTAACAAACCAAAACTATAACCAAAGGCGCACGCGACGGAGATATGGAACACAGAGAGAGAGAAACAGAGGTTCAGACCCAGTTTGTGAGCCAGATTATACGTATTAGTGGCGGCGCCTTTTTAACCGAAACGCTTTAGTTGGTCCATTGGGCATTTGGCAGTCAGTAGCCAGCTGTTTTCTACCCAACATAACGGTAATAATAATATAATCGATTTTGTGTGCAATTATTTGTAGTTTGGTACGGCTGCCTCTGAAATTCAACAATGAACATTTCAACGGACTGCAGTCCGCTGCACTTGCTCGCTATTCATGCGTATTTTTAGTTTGATTCAAGCGATTTTGTTCACAAACCTGATTAGTTTGCTTAGTTGGCTCGACTAGTATTACATCATTTAACTGAAGCTAACCTTTTGTTTAAAGATTTCGTAAAATTTTTCGTCGGCGGATTCGGATTTGTTTCCAAACCTATATCCCAAAAATACGTCGCTGTATGAAATGTTGAAAATTATGCAAATTTTTGTGTCGCTTTTCTTTATTTGTTTTACTAGGGAACAGTCATAAATTTCAGATTTGGATGAAATTGGTCTTTAACAGATTTTGGTTTCGTTGTTTTTATACCCGATACTCAAAATGAGTATTGGGGTATATTAGATTTGTGGTAAAAGTGGATGTGTGTAACGTCCAGAAGGAATCGTTTCCGACCCCATAAAGTATATATATTCTTGATCAGCATCAATAGCCGAGTCGATTGAGCCATGTCTGTCTGTCCGTCTGTCCGTCCGTCCGTCTGTCCGTCTGTCCGTCCCCTTCAGCGCCTAATGCTCAAAGACTATAAGAGCTAGAGCAACGATGTTTTGGATCCAGACTTCTGTGATATGTCACTGCTACAAAAATATTTCAAAACTTTGCCCCGCCCACTTCCGCCCCCACAAAGGGCGAAAATCTGTGGCATCCACAATTTTCAAGATACGATAAAACCAAAAACTCAGAATCGTAGAGAATGACCATATCTTTTAGACTGCAGAATCTGAATTGGATCGTATTATTATTATTATTATATTATTATTATATTATATTATATTATTATTATGGCCAGCATCAAGAAAACAATTTCATTTTTTCTCGCCCTGTCTCTCTCTAACACACACGTAGCATAGGCGGCTTTGCTTAGAGTAAAACATTAGCGCCTAGATCTCAGAGACTATAAAAGCTAGAGCAACCAAATTTGGTATCCACACTCCTAATATATCAGACCGAGACGAGTTTGTTTCAAAATTTCGCCACACCCCCTTCCGCCCCCGCAAAGGATGCAAATCTGGGGATATTCACAAATCTCAGACACTATTAACGCTAGAGTAACCAAATTTGGAATCCGCACTTCTCTTAGATCTCACTATAAAACGTGTATCTCAAAATTTCGCCCCACCCCCTTCCGCCCACACAAAGGACGAAAATCTGTTGCATCCACAATATTGCAGATTTGAGAAAACTAAAAACGCAGAATCATAGATAACGACCATATCTATCAGATTGCTGAATCTGGATCAGATCAGATAATTTTTGTAGCCAAAAGGAACAAATCAATTTGCAGTGGCTACGCAGCGCCCGACGTCACGCACAGACTGATTTTCTGTCTCTCTCGCATGCACTCTTTTTCATTTCGTTTAATATTCGCGACGTCTGCCGGAGGAGAGCATACTGACTTAGTATCGGGTATAACTGTAGAGTTGCGGTGTACGCAGCAACTCACAACGTTCCCCCTCGTTTTATGATCTTTTAATGCTGTGTATGTTTCATTTTCGGATGTTCACGCCTTGTTGACTCTTAATATACATATTATTTGATGGCGATACTACGGGCTCAGACATCGAGGGAGAAGGTGTCAACAAGTTGGATCTCTCATGAGTTTCCCATCTGCGGTTGCCCAATAACTAGCCCCCGCTCCCTCCCTCGCTTCGGGTTGTGGATGGGAGCCAATTGACATTGACCCCATGACTTGACACGGACTAATGCCCGGCTGGAGGCATACAAAATTGACAGACCAGTATTAGGTATATGTATTATGTTTCGGGGCTAATGGACCTTTAGGAATAAGCGTGCCTGACTGGGTGTTGCTTCTGTAAAGTTCCCAGAAGAGAACAGGGAAAGACACATGTACAGGTTGTTATTCTTTTATCAGAAGGCCTATTCATCCATAGAGAGTTATAGCACATGGGCTGTGATGTTTGGAGTGACATGGGAGTGATGTTTTCTCTCTGTTTTGGGTCCGTTGTGGGTTTGCTCTACTCATAAACCGCACATTTTTCCTGATTTAGTCTCAACACCCAGCTTCCTACTTCCCACAACAAAAAAAAAGCCGCCGTTTTGGGTTCAATAATTCGGAGACCCACAAACGGAGGGAGAACAATTGCTCAGAGCCTGAAAATGTGTCAAGTAATGTGTTTTATGCAATGGAAATAAAGTCAAATGAAATGTGATGACGGGCTGTGAGAAAGGCGCGATTAGGCCAATAAACACCGTGAATTTAAGACAATGCCAACGAATGCAAGGTAATTAACACGAAATCCACATGAAAGTAATGGGTTCAATTGCCAAAACGAAACCTGTTAAACCTTTGGGGCTGTGGTGTTGATGGGGGAGGAATTCACAGCTCATTAATAGATTCGTATCTTTGTCTCCGCGGTAAGTGTCGCCTGAAATGTTATACCCGAATTTCAGCGGAGATACGTGTTCTGCTTGGGTTCGTATAATGTAATAATGGTAATAATGGTGGATTTTTGCATGCAAATGAGGGGTTACTGGAGCAGCTCGTGTGCATGCGGTCAGACGTTGACGTTGAGTCATCTCCATTGTTGTTATCGATCAAGTGATCGGTTCATTGCCGTTTCACCTAAAATGGAAACACAGCCTTTTGCTTCTGCTGCTGCCGGTCTTACGTCGCGGCGTCGAGGGTTCACTGTGCCTGCAGTGCACTCGGAACTGTGCTCATTGAGATCTTCACATCGATCTCTCAATGTGTGACAATTACCTTTTTAATTGGCCCACTTTGTATGCCTTAGCTGTTGATCTTTACGTGGGAGTCAAATGTGTTTTTTCATCAATGTAACCATAAATAATTTCACATCACCTCTGTCATTGAACCTGATTTGAATGAAAAGACTTCAGAAAAAATGCTTTTTGTTATCGATTACCTTGGTTATTAATCATAATTAGATGGTTTCTCAAAGAGAACGGGAAGTGGCTTGAATGGGTTTTTGTAAGGAAGCCCATTATCTATCCAAAAATATAGGTTGAACCTTGATTATAGAACTCTCATTGGAACATTTTTGTATATGTGGAGGCTTTATGTACATATGAATGAATATTCATTTGCCATTTCTTCAGATATGACGCTCTTATTTTGATACATATGTACATATTTACATGTACATATGTACATGTACATGTACAGTACTGTACATATGTACTCACTGGTTCTACCGTTAGCCGTAGAGCACGACTGGGATGTTCTTCCTGGATTAGGTGTCAGAGATGCCAATGCCTTAATGGCAGTTTTTGAATTAATATTGCTTTTGGTTCACCAATTAAACAACGTCAACTGTTTTGGAGTTCAATTTTCAATGTGAAGATTCCCCAGTAAAGATTAATTGAAACAAATCTTTACAACATTAATCATGCAGCAGCAACGACAGCAGAAGCAAAAGCAACAATACGCTTAACTCAAAAGAGAGAATGACGAGTCTCACTCAAGACTTTGACTCAAAAGCTAAGCCAGAGTCCAAAGCTTGAACTATGGAACGAAAAATGCAAGTGTTTTCTGTTTTCGCTTTCATTGAAAGCTTTCAAGGCTTTTGGCTTGAGCCAGCGTGTCGTCTAGCCCCATTCCAGCCACGATCAACGGTTTGGCCCAAAGCTCCCCACCACTCTCAGTTTCTGTCTGTCTCTCGCGTAGCGGCGTAGCTATTGCTGTCCCGTTTGCACCGTCAGCTTTGGATCAATTTTGGACTCCGTCGAGCGGCCCAAGCGAACGTTTACTTCAGTGTGCGCCGACCAGTTTCCGAGACGGCCACAAACATTTTAAGACAAAATAACCAACAAAAAAAAAAAAAAACAAAAAAATTCAACAGTTAACGGTTACGCAGATCGCTGCTGTACGGATACTCCCGAAATCCCATTCAGAATCCCATTCAGAGTTCTGTTCAGTGCAGTGACAAAAGTGACGTCAAGGGAGAGCTCTAAAGTGCAGTTCAGTCCCCGTCCAGCAGCAGCTCCGCGTCAAGCTCTCTCCCTATCTCTGTCTTAGCACCCGTTTTCGTAATCGAATTGTGCAAAAAAGCATACAAAAAAGTGAATCTGCTTTTAAAGTTATCTTAGACTCCATCTCGCTCGCACCCAGCTTTTAATTTTGCGTCTGTTTCGCTGCCGTCGTCGTCGCTCTCACCGCCGCCGCTGTCGCTGCTGAAGTCGCGGCTCGTATTGTTTATGTTTTTTTGTGTTCTGAGCTGCTGCTCTGCCTGCCCCGCCCCAGCCTCCTGCTTGCTCAGAAGGTTGAGAGGTAATAATAAAAGCAATACAATCACAATGAAACGAAATTGAGTGAAAAATATATTTCGCTTACAGAAAGCAACAAAATCAAATAAGTTAACAAGAAAAAATCCGCTGGCGAGCGAATTTCACGCCGTATTTAATCTTTGCCCACTGACCGCCTCCAGCTTAATCGCTGCTCGTCTTTCTTTCCGTTCCGTTCGCGTTCGCGTGTGTTCTGTGCTCCGGCTCCGGCTCTGGCTCCAGGTCCAGCTTCAGCTACGGCCACGGTTCCGTTCCGACTTTGATTTCGATACGCTTCCGCTGCTGTCTTCTGTCTATCTGTCGCGCGTTTGTCCTATCGTTTTCGTAGCAAATTCGTTTTCAAATTCAACAAAAAGTAGCTGTACCACTGCCATTTCTTTGGAAGAGTTCTTGAGTCAAGTCAACCAGATAATCACAGTGCTTAGTGGATGCATATGAGAGTGCTGCAAAAACTTAGAAATTAAATAAAAATAAGTTTGGTTCGGAGCTCTGGTTTTGCCAGAAATAAAACACAGAAACAAACTTAGGTGAGTTTAGAGATACTATTAAATAATATAGTATATGACATAATATGATATAATAGGCTGTAGTATACAGTAAGTTATTGGAAAAATATTTCCCAGTTCGATCTGTTCTGAGAGATAGCCAGGGAATTTATGACCAATAGAGAACAACCATTCTGGTGAGATTCGACGACCGGATTCAAAAATGCGGAAATCGAAGTGAAATCGATTAAAATAATCGTACAAATTTTGATACTTTTATTCAGGAAAATGTATTTAACCCTTTACCTAGTATGTACTTTTTGTAAGATCCATTTCCATTCATCACATGATCTTCTTCACTGTTCTCAGACTTCTTACCCTCCTGGACATCTCCTCTGGCATGTCACAACGCTAGATTAGTCGAAAGGGGGATCAAAATTTGATATATGTACATATAAGAAATATAATAAAAAGTTGCCTGGTTGGATTTTACTAATTTACAGACAAGTTTTGGTTCAAGTTATTACTTCATACGTGAGCTTCGATTCCAATATGGACGGACCTGCTAATAGTTTTGTCAAACAAAAAAAGTTATGGTAACTGTTAGAAATACATTTCTTCGGAAAGGGCAATGGAACTTTTCTACATCGAGAACATACCCATACACTCGTACTATCTTTAAGAACAATTCCAAGGGGATTCCGAATGGAACTCCAGAGATTCATACGTTAATCTATACATATGTACATACATATGAACATGCTTGTATCTGTGCAACGCAGAGGGCGAAACAACAGTTCTGGTAAGCAATCGGCATGGGAGGGTGGGATAAACAAGACCTCTAGAGCAGGATCCGGCTCCGGGGAGGGCAGCCCAGATATACCATATGCATGTACATATTTATGTATGTATGTACATACCCAGTACATGTACAAAAACTTTTGTTTTAGTTGGGCCCACAAAATGGGCTTGTTTTCCAGTGGAGGTTGAGTGGAGCTGGTTTTGTTTTATATATTTTTTATTTCGCTGAAACAACTTTTCGTGCCACACTGTTGTTGTAGGCTTATTATCCCATTGTCGGTGGTATGTGTCTGTGTATGTTTGTGTGTGTGTGTATTTGTTGGTGTATGGATTGGTATTTTGGTGTGCTTTTCGAGCCTCGGACCAACGCGATTTTGTAATATTGCTACAGTTATTATTGCCCGCTACGCTTTGCTCTCCTTAATGTTGTTTCTGCTATTGCAATTATTTCAGTTTTTGATTTCAACAAAGAGAAAGACTGTGCAAGAGAGTCAGCTGGAGAGTGGCAGAGCGGGCGAGCTCTCCAGCTGGAGAGAGAAAGAAGCTTTGAGCTTTTGCCTCCGCCTTTGTCTGCTGGCCGTCGACCACGGGGGATTATTGCAACTTTCTATGCTATTGGTATTCTTTGGAAGTCATTCAAACAGCCCTAACACATCTATATATAAATCTGTTTCTTGAGACATATTCCATATAAATATAATATACATATGTACATATGTACGGTATGTTTTGAATAACCAGTGCAGGTCTCATTCATCACAAGGGGTTAAATGCAATTTGTTTCGGGCACTAATTTACTTGTGTTTCGAAGACGAAACTCGAGTAACCTGTTGGTTCGTATTTTTACTTTGGTTGCCACTCAACATTCATTCAGCAGTCAGTGGTTGCTGCTACTCATATTTGCTTAACATACATACATATGTACATGGAATAGTTGCTGTTGCTCCGCTCCGGGTAGTCAATGTACTCAAGTTTGTTTGTTTTGCACTTGCACAGAAAGCATTTGTTTCCCCCCCCCCCCCCCCCCTTCCGAAGGGTTTTATGCAATTATTTAGTGGGAGATGTATTTATTGTAGTCTTGTTCAAACGGTTCAATAGAAACTGAAGAAATTAAATAATTTAATCCGCTAAAAAGCTTCGCGTTATATTCGATATATTATTCTTTGTTCAAAGCCTAAATTTATTTATAATTTATTCAAGTTTAAGACAGGAAAATGCCAATTTTCCAACTTTAAAATCAATTAAAAATATACAAATATAATATAAATGTGTAATTTTCCGTAAAAACCGTTCAGCTTACGCTTACGTTAAAAAATGTTCAAAATATAGACAAAATGGAAAATGGAATAATAAAAAATCAAAAGCAAATTGAAATCAAATCTAAACTTAAGTCAAACATTTCGGGCAACGTCTTCTTCAATTTCAATTTCACTTTCATTTTTATGCGGCTTACAACTTTTCCGATAGTTGCCGGCTTCAACCGCAGCAGCGACGTTGGTGTTGACGTCGACGTAGCACGCAATCAGCTTAGGCTGCTGTTGTTGCATGTTGTAACAACAGCTGGAAAATTATAGCAAGAGCAGCGGTAGTTGCAACAGCAAGCGAGAAATGCAGCTCGAAACATAAGCCGCCACAACAAATTTTTCATTCAGAAACTCCGACAATTTTTGAAAGCGAAATAAAAAATGTGCGAATTATGTTGGTGCCAGTTCTATGGTCACATAATTGATTTATGTAGCATGTTGTTCTTTTCCTTTTTTTATTAGTTTTTGCCTCTTTTCTGCTGTCATTGCCTGCGCATCTTGAAATTTAATTAGTTTTGCCATATTATGTATACGCAATTTTCCCTCTCTCTGCACGCCTTCTTCTTCTTCGTCATTTTTTCATGCAATTTTTCAATATTTGCACATTGTTTTAATGGCCCCTTAATGAGTATATCTTCAAACAGGTTTAGGCATTTATTTACTGTTATATCTCTCTCTCTCTTGTCTTTTGAATTAATGGTATTACGTATACGCACTGTATGGTCCGCTATGCGTGAGCCCATGCTTACGATGCTCTCTTTGGTGGATTCTCTTGGCTAGGAGCATAATCTACATAAATTAATAGTTTGCCTGAAAACAGATGTTGCGGCCAAAAGTTTTCCAAACATCTAAAGCCAAGGCCCTGAAACAGGTTTGGAAGCCAACATCTTTGATGACTTCAGTCAGCGAACTCAGACTTTAGATAGTGCTCAGAAGAAACAGATTCAAATATTTTGTTAGCATATATTTTAAGGTTTCGCTTTTTATACCCGATACTCAAAATGAGTATTGGGGTATATTAGATTTGTAGCAAAAGTGGATGTGTGTAACGTCCAGAAGGAATCGTTTCCGACCCCATAAAGTATATATATTCTCGATCAGCATCAATAGCCGAGTCGATTGAGCCATGTCTGTCTGTCCGTCAGACAAAGAAATGCTCAATAATGCTCAAAGACTATAAGAGCTAGAGCAACGATGTTTTGGATCCAGACTTTTGTGATATGTCACTGCTACAAAAATATTTCAAAACTTTGCCCGCCCACTTCCGCCCCCACAAAGGGCGAAAATCTGTGGCATCCACAATTTTAAAGATACGAGAAAACCAAAAACGCAGAATCGTAGAGAATGACCATATCTTTTAGACTGCAGAATCTGAATTGGATCGTATTATTATTATAGCCAGCATCAAGAAAACAATTTCATTTTTTCTCGCCCTGTCTCTCTCTAACACACACGTAGCATAGGCGGCTTTGCTTAGAGTAAAACATTAGCGCCTAGATCTCAGAGACTATAAAAGCTAGAGCAACAAAGGACGAAAACATGTTGCATCCACAATATTGCAGATACGAGAAAACTAAAAACGCAGAATCATAGATAATGACCATATCTATCAGATTGCTGAATTTGGATCAGATCAGATCATTTTTATAGCCAAAAGGAACAAATCAATTTGCAGTGGCTACGCAGCGCCCGACGTCACGCTCAGACTGATTTTCCGTCTCTCTCGCACGCACTCTTTTTCGTATCGTTTAATATTCGCGGCGTCTGCCGGCGGAGAGCCATACTGACTTAGTATCGGGTATAACTGTAGAGTTGCGGTCTCCGCAGCAATTCACAACGTTCCCCCTCGTTTTTCTTGCTTCTGGGCAACAATGTAAAATATTTGCACAGCTGTTTCTTCAGCTTCTGATGTTGTCGGCAAAAATTTTCAACACCCGACTCAAGGTACAAGTTCCCAAAGCACACATCCATTGTCTAATAAAAATGATCAAGACAATGGTCTAAAGATTCGCTCGCCCTTATCCAAACACACATTCACAAAAACTAAGATAGGGAAAGAGAGAGAGAGAGGGAGAGAGAGAGAGAGAGAGAGAGAGAGAGAGAGAGAGAGAGAGAGAGAGAGAGAGAAAGAGAGGCTGAAAATGTTGATCAAATACAAAAAGTTCAGGTCACAGACATTTTGCGTAATCTCCGCCTCCATCTCCGTCTCCACCTCCACCTCCACTTAATCGCCGTCTGCAACTTGCAGCGAATTGTGTCTGCCAAATACATACGTACATAGCTGAGAAACATATATTATCTGTTGTGCAAAATGTGCACAGTTGAACTTTGTTTTGTCACCTTTGTGGAGTATGCAATGGTTTGGGTCTAGATTGAACTGCGGAGTGCGCTAATTCCGATCAGCATTGCTCATCCGCCCTGCTGGAGGGCGGTGTTTCTGCCCAGACCCAGAGACAGAACTAGTGCGAGGTAGCAAATGATAAATTAAGTTCATTATCAAGCGAAATGCAGAGCTAATCACACCAGGTAGACGTCACTGGCCCTGGTGCTCACCATTGAAACGATGGCTATCCGCCAACAGAAGCAGCGGTGGCAGCAGCCGAATTAGCTGAAAGTCGGCTGTCTATTGGAACAGGGGAAAAAGGTGGCGTGGCCCAGAGAAAGAAAGGGCCTGGAGGCGAGAGGTGCTGGCCCAGTCCGACTGTCAATGTCAATTTAAGTAAAACGCTGACGCCCCTTAAAAACAGAAACAGCCAGCGATGGACTCACATACATATGTACATATAACAGCCCCGCTGCAGCAGTGGCAGCGTTGGCCAAACCAACTCAGATTGTTGTGTCAGCAAATTCATTAAGAAAGCAAGGGAGCTGAAAGCAAAAGCAAAAGCAAAACCAAATCCAAAACCAACACCAAAACCATCAACCACACGAAAAAATTCCCATAAAGCCGAAACAGACGCTGACGCTGACGCTGGGGTAAAAGCCAGCCGAAAAATTAAAGTGAAAAAAGACTGAAATATATGGCCGAGTGCTGGCCGACTCGTAGTCGGTGGCATAATTATGCGGAAGCTGACGGTGCAACTTGCTTTCTGCCGCTCGCTGCGGCTGCTGTTGTCTCTTTCAATGGCCTTTGGCACAGTTCCAATTCCATTTCCATTTCCACACTCTTGGGGCAGGCTGTTTCTGCTTCTGTTTGAAACTGGTTGACATTTGATGATGCGTATCTTTTCTTCACTCCGCCTTTTGCGGAGCTATATGCCAGCAATTATATAAAAATATGAGCGGCAATTATGCAAGATTGAATACAAATCAAAAAATAGTTTTGCCATAGCCATAACCTTGAGCTGGCTGCGACTCAGCTCGATGCATGCACGCATATGGCGAATGATTCGACCCTAATCGACCTTAATTATGCAAATGATCGACTCAATGGAGCTGCCTGCCATCTTGAGCCGCTTCTGCAGAGTACCTGCCTTTGTTTACCCCATAACTGTTTCTGTTTCTTGTCTTATTTGGATCTTGAATACAGGCGAACACTGTACTGGTAAACGTTACGTTTTGTCCTCCGGCTTAGTCACAATAATTCGGTGTTCATTAGCTACACTTGAGTTGACTTCCAGCATGCCTTTAAATTGTTTTAATTTTCATATTTGCACTAAAGAAGTTTGCTTCCTGAGTCTTTTGTTCTTTCCTGTTCCTTTCTTTGCTGATCAACAGAAATAATACTTAAATACTTGGGAAATTGCACTTTTTGTTGCAGACGAGTCGGTCTTTGGCTCCGACTCTTGCTCTAACCTTGGGTTGGAGCTCAGAATCGGAAGAGCAGTAGCCTGTGGCAGTCTATGTCCAACGCCACTCCGTTTATCGTTTGTGTTTTCTCTGGTGAAGGGCAGAGGGGAAAATCAAATGATACTTGGGCCCACACTTTCTTTGTATTGAATTCGGGCCATGAGAAATCTTGCATCATTTGCATGCAAGTTGTGCAAAACCTTTAGGGGGAAGCGGGCGAATAAAATGTCATGCAATTTGTCGTAAATGCCGCCGAGAAGTTGCAACATGAAATCGCAGTTGCTGAAGCAGTGCTACTGCTTCTGCTGCTGCTACTGCTGGTGCTGGAGTTGTTGTTGGTCAGTTCTGTTTGTTTTCTTGGTCGGTTTGTCAAAAGGTTTGGATAGGATGGCCCGGCATGGCATGGCATGGAATGGGATGCTGTTTGCCTCCTGCCACGCATCGCTGCATCATTACTGACAATTAGCCGCATTTGATGCCGAGGCGGATGTGCAAAGGCTGCAACAGCAGCATCATTAGCTATCAGCAGGGCCGGACGATTCAAGATTGTTTTACCGTCACGAGGCTGCTTTTTGCTTCTTGCTGCTTGCTTCTTGGCTTTATGCAACCATTAATTACTCGGCCAACGGGTCCGAAAACTAGGTTTTGCTACTAAAAATACAATTATTAAGTGAACAGCCATACTCGTAGAAGCGATGCAGTTGCAACAGTTGACGAACACTGTCGATGATGGCATGTACTTACTGTACTTGGCTTAATGCAATAATGTCCATTTGAGCATGACCAAAAGGTGTGGGGGTGGTTCCAGAGAGCAGGGGTGGTGGAAGGCAGAAATGTTCAATAGGGTTTGCATGCCGCAATCGGTTGAAGAGAATGGATAAGGTACGAAAAGGGAAGCACCACTTTAAGTAATTACAATATGAGAGAGAGAAGTGCTCTTCCAAAATGGAGGGAAAGAACAGGAGGAGAAATTGTAAGAAACCAACTAGATTACGCCCCTTTGTTTATTCAGTTTATTAATGGATTTTACCACTTCTTACATTTTCAGGTTAGCAGTTTTCAGGAAACACTGTAGCACACTCTAGGCGAGCTGCCCAGCAAAATGTCCTCTACACTAGGCCTCATCACAGCGCTACTCCTGGCGAGCACGATATGCCAGGCCCAGCCAGACGTAAGTACAGCAAGACAGTACAGCAAGCACTCCCAGTGCACACCGAGTGCCTCGGATCACGTTCAGGCCGAGTCCCAGAACTCATCAATCAATTCAATGCGATACAAATAACCTTTGGGGGCACTTACCACAGTCAACAGGCTAACAAAGCGAAGAAAAACCCCGCAACAAACGGCCCCCAGTCGGCGGCTTCATTGTCATTCGCATTGTGCGTAATTAGCATTTCAAGAAACAACAAAACATTTTCTGTGCATTAAGTCAATTACAAAACAGAGCGGACCCACCCGAAGAGAGTCTCGTTCGCCAGCTCGCCAGCTCGCCAGCTCGCCCGCCACCAACACAACGGCAGCGCGCGTCTGTGTGAGTGTCTCATTGAAATCCGACTCAGGTCAGCGCTTTTGCTTGTCTCAAAGAAAAAGCTTTGCCCACAAAACGGTATCTCAAGGTCAAGCGTAAGAAGTTCTTGTAATTATTTCAAGTATCTCTTTTCTCTCTCTCTTTCTATCCCCCTCTCTTTCCCTTCAAGCTTGTCTGTCTGTGGTTTTTGTTATTTCGTTCACTTTTCTGCTGTCGTTGGAGTGTTTTTTGGAGGTAGAAAGCCCTAGCCCTATGGTTATTGACGGCTCTCGATGACTCATCTATCGCCTTGCTGATCTTGCTGAATGGACCCGATGGCTGATTGCTTTGGCAAAGATTTTCTTAATCATTTCGTCTGGCTAGTTTTCCGAGCAAGTTCGTGCTTGTGGAGACATCGACCCATAGCCTTGCCGTAGTCACATAAACGGCGCTTGCAACATGATGCCCCATAACCGACTCGGTCTCCGTCTCCGTCTTCCACTGCAATTAAAGTTGACACGCTACAGCTACAGCTACAGCTGCAGCAACAGCAAAAACTATGACGAGGCCCTTCAAATGGCAGCCAAGCATGGCCAGGAGGAAGAACAAGCTTCGGCTGCCGAAGCACGGCATACCCTTGCAGCACGATCGTTTCCACTAAAATATCGAATAAAGCCGTGGCCCATGTGTACATATCGTATGCCAAATGCAGAAAAAAGAAAGACGCTCTCTCAGCCAAATACTGCAAAGCTGACTATTAGTATGTTTTCATAAGAATCGTACTCTTGTTATGGCTTTCCCTTACAAGTTCGTGAAGAGTATTCAAACTTATTCAAACTGAAGTAACGAGACCCCCAGCCAAGCAAGGCAAAACATGCAAATCACAGCCCGAATATCGGAGCAAAATGCATGAGTCAGCCGATCTGCTGCTGCAGATCTTGTTAATGTTTCATGTGCTGTCAGAAATGAGGAAAAAAGTTATGAGAAACCCCATTCCGCCTTCCTCCGTGGCTATCAATGGCCGGCCAAATAAATTAAGCCTTTAATTGTGAAATAAAGAACTGTTTGCGTCGCTTGCTCCATCCAGGGCACGATTCGCTGTGCCTGCTGCAGGATCGTTGCAGTTAGTCTTTATGAGAGTACCCTTGCAGAGGGTATTACGATTGTGATATTTACCACGCACAGAAGGAAGCTTTACCGTACCGAACACTGAACTTAGAGCTTAGATATTCTGTTGTCTGTCTGTTTCTATGGAAATAAGTCACTAGTCACCACTAACTAATCGGAGCAGCTGGCAAGGGAACCAACAAGGAAAATACATCGCTGATAGTACTATCATACAAATTACTTATGTATTTAGGTGTATTAGTTGGCTTAGCTCTCAGCTCAGAAAAGCTGCAGCGATATCGAAGAGTAGCTACGGATCCGCAAGGATACTAAAAGCTCCAGCTTCTGCAAGGATGTAGCCTTCCTCCTGCGATTCTTTGCTTTTGGTTTGTTTGTTTCCGCTGTCACTGTTTCTTGCCTCAGTCTGCAGTTGTCTGATACTTTTCACGGCTCGAGTTGCGTTTCGGCTTTGGCTTGTCTGTCTCCGCCTCCGTCTCCGTCTGTGTCTGTGTCTGTCCCGTTCTGGGGTCACGTTCTCCCCCACTGTGTCCGTGTGTGTGTCTGAGTGGAGGTGGGTGGAATGCCAGGGCATGAGTAATTGCCGACAGATAAAGAGATTATGCAATCGCAAGCGGAACGTCAAATATTCGATTATGAGAGGCAGCTTGAACCGAAATTTGTACAAACAATGAAGTTGATGGAGTTTAAGTTGAATTACTTGCTCTACACAGCGGACACTCTTACGTTCCTTTTCTGTAGCTATAACAGGCCAAGAATACTTATCCAAAAACTCAGCACTCTGTCGATCTGGCCTACAGTACAGTGTGCAGTATATTTGTAGACACAAAATTGCCATCACTTTCAGTGTGCGCTCCCCATCCATGCCGGCGGTGTCGTAACACCCTGAACTTTTCACACTCTGTTGATGTTTGACATAAGCATAAGTCCCGTAACAAGGGGGGGGAAACCCGAAAGTACTGAGCATTTAGCGCTGACAGAAGCAGTTGCTAATTTCCGCCGCTTGTCAGCCGTGGCGGCAAGGTCAACACACCCAAGGAAATGGAAAGAAGCGAAGCCCAAGCACACGATCGCAATTTGGTGGATGGTTAACAGTTCCCTCAACCCTCAACCCTCTACCCTCAACCCTGCGCAGTCCTCGGATCCATCTTCAAGCTTTTGCTGTTGCTGTTGCTGTTGCCGTTGCCGTTGCTTTTGAAGTGAATAATTTCTTTGTGTGCGACTATGCGAAAGGTCGAGTGACACTCTTTCGTGCGTCGATCGGTTGTTTGATTGTTTTTCGAGTGGGGGGTTGTTGCTGGTGCTGTGGTGTTGACTTTGACCGGGTAGAAAGAGAGGAAAACCATTGCAACAGACTGAATGTGGCTTTTACACCAACTCTAGCCGGTGCTGGCTCTGGGGCTGGCGCTGGCCATATGCCATATGCCATAAAAAGTGTATTGGCCTCAGCCAGAGCCAATTTGAAGCACACTTTTTGCGTTAATATGGCGGCTACACCTTTTACTTTGGCTTGACTGTGATTGCACTTGGTCGCCATCGACATCGCCATAACCATCGCCGTCGCGGCGTCATCGTCGTCATGCCGGTTATATGCGAGTATCGCTCTTCGAGTGGTCTGCCGGGCGTATGAGTAATCTCACACAATTTCAGTAATTGCCGGAGTCAGCCATCGCCATCTCTTCGACCGCTACAGCCAGCCGTACAAATTACGAACAGCAACAATTTCACAATATCCGTCATTGCACTCGGCAAAAACCGAAAATAAAATCAAACCTATGCCTGGACAAATCGGTGGATAAACAGCGCCTGTCGGTGGCGTTGCCGGTGCCGGTGCCGGTGCCGCTGACTGTGGCATCTACTAAATCGTAAATCGCAGATCGCAAATAGCAACTGAAAAACTGCCAGCTAATCGATTCGGATGACAAGTTGCAGTAGGGTCTGCCACCATTCTGAAGCGGTTGCTTCAGTTATTTTTGAAAATGATAGATTTTATTTGAATTTATTTGAACATGATCATTCGAGTGTATGGGTGTTATGTATGTTAAGTACCTGTAGTGCAGGACTATACAAAAATCTTCACAGCTCCTTCATTGGTTTCCTCAGGCTCCCCAGGGTTCCCTTTCCAGCTGAGCTCCGTCCCTGGCTCTCTAATCGCCGCGGCTGATCTTGTTCATTGGATGCCGCCTTTTTTGCATAATTCGTAATTGCTGATCGAAGTTTTTCTCTGGCTCATTTGTTTTTAATTGCAATTAATTGGCCACAAGGGCCAGAGCTAAGTGTTGATTGGTGTCTGGGTGTGGTTCCCGTTGCCGTTGCCGGTGCCGTTCCCCACAGCGGGATTTGCATATCGTTTAGCGAGAGCACTGAAGAATATTGGATAATTCGTTGCAGGTGCAAAACTTTCCACATCTTTTGGTTGTGCTGGCCAAGAGCCCTAGTGTCGAACGGTGCATTCAAGACCAAAGATTGCACTCGACTCGATGCAACAATCACAATCTCACTCGAGTGGCAACGAGTGGCTCAACGCGTCATCGTTTTTGTCTGCTGTTTTCCTTTTCCAAGCTTCAGTTTCACTTTCAATGGGCCAACAACGACGACTTCGCCAGTACCGGCCACAGTTGCTTCATTTGCAGCAGCAGCTGGCTGGCTGGCTGGCTGGCAGGCTGGCTGGCTGGCTTGGCTTCGGCTCCTGGCCTCATGTGCGACTGTTGTCTGTGGTCGAAACACGTTCCAAATGAAAGTAAAAACTCTTTGGCATTGTCTGCGTTTGCGTCCCCTGCGTTTGGTTTTCTTCTGGCGTTTGTTCACCTGCCTGCCTTAAATGATGCTTCCAAGTGGAAGCCCACTGCGGAGGTTCGCGTTTCAATTATACAAGAATCATTATGCTGACCGTACCGTTATGGCCAAGAGCAGCGGCATCTCAGCGAACGAGTAGCTGTAGAGTCTTATATCTCGTTTACCTTGTCTGCATCTTCGCTTTTTGTGTCTGCATTCGCCGTCACTTCAGCTCCATTTCTGACTCATTTTGGGCCATTTCGGACAAAATAAATGCAAGAAATTTGGCCAAATTACGGACCGCTTGCAGCCCAGCCAAGAAGTTCGCTGTCTTGGACTTTTGTCATTGCCGGGCCGTGCTGACCGTTTCTTTAAGGAAATATCAGTCCCGCTCTGACCCTGTAACAGATCTGATTATTCGCAGATTGTAGTCGCAGGTGAGATGCAGATTTGGCAGATAAATAAAGCGGGAATGCAGTGGAGATTTGCATAGCTCTGAGCGAGACTCCATTCGGATTGATTGAGTTGGAATTACGCTATAATCACGTTGGAGCTATCTTCGGTCGTACGGCAGGGGAACTACATATGTATCTATAGGATGATTCGTCTCGGACATGAATGAGTATTCATTTAGCAATAATAATTCAATAATTCTCTCAGATTTCCAACAGAAAGGAGAACTATCCTCTTTCAGAATGAGTGCTCTGTGAATGCCAGAGACAATTCATAGGCAATAACAAATGGCCACAAATTAAAAATCCATTAATAACAATATGAAATTAATTTATATTTAATTGCATTTCGCAATTTCGGGAAAACGAGAAACGAGGGGGAACGTCGTGAGTTGCTGCGGACACCGCAACTCTACAGTTATACCCGATACTAAGTCAGTATGGCTCTCCTCCGGCAGACGCCGCGAATATTAAACGACACGACAAAGAGTGCGTTCGAGATAGACGGAAAATCAGTCTGAGCGTGACGTCGGGCGCTGCGTAGCCACTGCAAACTGATTTGTTGCTTTTGGCTATACAAATTATCCGATCTGATATAGATTCCGCAACCAAATTTGGTTACTCTAGCCTTAATAGTCTCTGAGATTTGTGGATGCCTAAGATTTTCGTCCTTTGCGGGGGCGGAAGGGGGTGTGGCGAAATTTTGACACAAAACGGTCAAGGTCCGATATCACAGCAGTGTGGATACAAAATTTGGTTACTCTAGCTCTAAAGGGTTCTGAGATCCTTGAACTCATATTTTGCAATTGGCAAAACCGACCATGAAACCTGTGTGTTAGAGAGAGACAGAGCGAGAAAGAATGAAATTGTTTTCTTGATTCTAGCTATAATAATTATACGATCTGGTTCAGATTTTGCACTCTAGAAGATATAGTCATTCTTCTACGATTTAGTTTTCTCGTATCGTCGAAATTGTGGATGCCACAGATTTTCGCCCTCTGTGGGGGCGGAAGTGGGCGGGGCAAAGCTTTGAAATATTCTTGTAGCAGTGACATATCACAGAAGTCTGGATCCAAAACATCGTTGCTCTAGCTCTTATAGTCTTTGAGCACTAGGCGCTTAAGGGGACGGACAGACGGACGGACGGACAGACAGACATGGCTCAATCGACTCGGCTATTGATTCTGATCAAGAATATATATACTTTATGGGGTCGGAAACCATTCCTTCTGTACGTTACACACATCCATTTTCACCACAAATCTAATATACCCCAATACTCATTTTGAGTATCGGGTATAAAAAGTGTATACGCAAGACGGACAAGATTGTTTTTTTTCAATTTCTGTTTCTGGCGGTTCGCTTGACTCGGAAATACTTAGATATACTGCGAGCACATAAAGCATGTGTGTGACTTTATGAGAAATCTATCAAACAACGCATTGACCCTGACCCAGTTTTTGAAGACGAATACTCAGAGTTTAGCCGAGGCGAGCTCTGGCTCTGGCTCTGGCTTTGGCTTTGGCTTAGTCGTTAATCTCCAGATAGCACTTGAGGGGCGGCCCAATCCAAACACAGGCCGAATAGTCGAATAGCCGAATAAACGCATGAGACCGTTTCAACAACGATCAACAAACACTTGATTATTGCATTGAATTATTGATAATTTTTCAATTAACCATCAAACAATTGCTACAATTTGTTGCCACTGCCCGGGGCACGCATTTTTGTTCACCGAACTCAAGTGTTTTCCTTCTCCTTGTCGTTTCAGCTGCACAAATACATGTCGCCGGAGCAGCTGCAGTCCGTCTTCCACGTGGACAGCCACGACGCTGTGCCCCACTATGAGGTCGTCCAGCTGCTGCACCACGACCACCACCAGCGCCAGCGGCGCAGCATCTCCGACAGCCGTAGGGCGGTCACAGCCCTGCCGCCCCACCACGTGAAAAAGGATCTCAGCAAGAACTCCTATTACAGCGAGCTGAAGCACCAGGCCATGGCCTCGGGGGGCAACCATCTGTCCGGCCTCGATGTCAGTGCCATCCAGTCCCACAACGTCTCCTTCAGCGCCTTCGGACACCACCTGAACCTCACCCTGCGCCCAACCAAGGGCCTCTTCAAGGACACGCCCCATCAGCTGCGGATGTGGAGCGTGGGCAGCGAGCCCAATGCCACCCACGGCCTCGACCTTCAGGAGATACCCAAGGAGGAGGTGAGTCCGAGTTGCATTTCACTCGAAATCTGGGGTTTTCCCATTTGTTTATTTACGCCCGATCGCTTCCATTGGCTTCCATGCCCCCAATAGCTGGCTTGTTGCACACTTCCCCCTCATACGTATTGTATCTTTGTATCTGTCTTTGTGGCACTTTCATTGATTGCATCACGGCGGGCGGGTAACATAAGAAAATGATCACAGTCACTTTTTGCTTTTGTACGTTTTCTGATTTGCCGATTCGCCATACTTCCGCTTGAGGTAGGCAGATTTTTACTCTGTTGTTTCTTTTGTTTTTCCACTCTTTTTTCAAGCTGCGCTTCGTCCAAAGACTTATTTTGTTTTGTTTTGTTTGATTTTCCTTCTCTTCGTTTGCCTCTCTTATGTTTCTTTGGCACTCGTTGCTTTTATTGCCTGTATCTGTATCTGTAGCTGTACCAGTGCCAGTGCCTGCGCCTGTACCCATACTCGTATCTAATCAAAATTAATTGGCCAAGTGATAAAGAGATTAGACGCAGGCCGCGCTTCTTGTGTCTCTACGAAAACTGTTCAGACCGCAAATGCAATTAAATTTATTTGTTATACGTAATTGTGTGAATGAAAAGTGTACACAAGTTTTATTACAAACAAAATGTTACAAATTATCCGCCTAGGAAATCCGCCTAGTCGGGCTCACTGTAGATCTGACTGTATTCCGATTGGCTTTAATCACGTGTGATTTTTGTCCAAGTGTGTTCTAGGAGAATTGAGGAGCTTGAGGAATCAACTTATCAATCAACTCTTATTGTACAGAAGAGGGTATACCATTATCATGTCGTTGATGAGAACCTTAAGTTGTGTACGTAATAGATTTGGATATAAATGACTTCTGAGCAGGTTTCAGTAGGGGGGAACAAATCTCCAGATTAAATTAGATACAGGGTAACTAGACAGGGTATTAATTGGTTGGACGCGTTAAGGTTCTTTCTGCCGTGAAGGTCCTTGAGACGCTTCACGCGAAAGATCTGGATTTCTCTTTCAAACTGTTCCCAACTAAGATCTTTTCAGAAATATATCTGTGTATACATATGTATGTACTTATGGCTAATAGCAGGTGCTTCCACCTACAAGGTGCCATACAAGTCGAATTCGTTCGCAAACATTGGTTTTGAGCCATGAACGTGACTTTCCTGGACTTACGAGTAAAGTTCACTTTCTTTTGGCACCGAAGTACACAGTAATTGTAACACATACTGTAATTGTATTGCAACCCAGTCGTCCATTATTCATGCCAGTGCTGTGGCTGCTGCCTGCTGTGTTGTGGGCGTGTTCCTATGGAGCGCAATCGATACCATTGATCGTACCATTTATTGCCAGTTGGCTTGGAGGGAAAGGGTGGCAGGCGGGGAGAGAGGGCGCAGAGAGAGGAAAGGATAGCACATACAAAATAGTTTTGAATGCAAGACGCAAGACTTCGGAAATGAAAGTGAAATGTCATGTCAGACGACAGCCAAAGCGAAAAAAGAAATGAACCCGCCGACCGAACTCTTGCGGCTGTGGTCTGTTCAGCTTTGGACTTTTTCAAGCTGTTTCAGTTTTCGTACTTTTTGTTGTTTGTGATTTATGTGTGATAATTCAAGTGTTAAGCCTCCGCCGTGAAATGCGGAAAGATTTGTACGATGTTGCTGCCACTTCTTTTTTGGGGATTTGTCTTTGCTTTTAATTAAAACGAATCAAGCTGCAGGAGTATTATTTCAGTATTTGATGCATGTTGGATTGGGCAACCCACGCAAGACCTCTGTTCTCCTCTGAGTATCACTGACTTGGCAATTATTTGTATTTGGGTTTTTTCTTTGCCGTGCTGCACTCAGGCCTCGAACAAATGGCCCCAAGATATAGACCACATAACTACAACAATTTCAATGTTTTCCATGCTGGATTTTTTGGCTCTTTTTTGGTAATGGCGGCACTTTGTCAGAGACCTTCCGAGCACCAGCGAACCGAAAAAATGCCCAAGAAAAACCATTTATTCTAATTTCTGGCATTCTGTTGTGTTTTTTGTCTGTTGGCCATTCATTGCCGGCAAACCGCAAAAGCACACAAAAACGAGGGGGAACGTTGTGAGTTGCTGCGGACACCGCAACTCTACAGTTATACCCGATACTAAGTCAGTGTGGCTCTCCTCCGGCAGACGCCGCTAATATTAAACGACACGACAAAGAGTGCGTGCGAGAGAGACAGAAAATCAGTCTGAGCGTGACGTCGGGCGCTGCGTAGCCACTAAAAATTGATTTCTTGCTTTTGGCTACAAAAATGATCCGATCTGATCCAGATTCGGCAACCGGATAGATATGGTCATTGTCTATGATTCTGCGTTTTTAGTTTACTCGATTTTGCAATATTGTGGATGCAACAGATTTTCGTCCTTTGTGGGGGCGGAAGGGGGTGGGGCGAAATTTTGAGATATACGTTTTATAGTGAGATCTAACAGGAGTGCGGATACCAAATTTGGTTACTCTAGCCTTAATAGTCTCTGAGATTTATGAATATCCCCAGATCTGCATCCTTTGCGGGGGCGGCAGGGGGTGTGGCGAAATTTTGAAACAAACTCGTCTCGGTCCGATATATTAGGAGTGTGGATACCAAATTTGGTTGCTCTAGCTTTTATAGTCTCTGAGATCTAGGCGCTAATGTTTTACTCTAAGCAAAGCCGCCTATGCTACGTGTGTGTTAGAGAGAGACAGGGCGAGAAAAAATGAAATTGTTTTCTTGATGCTGGCTATAATAATAATACGATCCAATTCAGATTCTGCAGTCTAAAAGATATCCTCATTCTCTACGATTCTGCGTTTTTGGTTTTCTCGTATCTTTAAAATTGTGGATGCCACAGATTTTCGCCCTTTGTGGGGGCGGAAGTGGGCGGGGCAAAGTTTTGAAATATTTTTGTAGCAGTGACATATCACAGAAGTCTGGATCCAAAACATCGTTGCTCTAGCTCTTATAGTCTTTGAGCATTAGGCGCTGAAGGGGACGGACAGACGGACAGACGGACGGACGGACAGACGGACAGACGGACAGACGGACAGACAGACATGGCTCAATCGACTCGGCTATTGATGCTGATCAAGAATATATATACTTTATGGGGTCGGAAACGATTCCTTCTGGACGTAACACACATACACTTTTACCACAAATCTAATATACCCCAATACTCATTTTGAGTATCGGGTATAATAATATAACATTGATATCTGGTCCCAAGAACTGACTCAGTTTCTACTTTATTTTGGTCGGAAACGACCTCCGAGTGAGGAAAATTTTGTGTTTGCAGTTTCTGTTGATCGATTCGCAGTAAAAAGTTAATTGCGAAAAAATAATTGAAGACTTTCCGAGAGCAATCTCTTTTTCACTCGAACTCAAAACCAAGCGATTTCGTGCGGAGAAATGTCTCCTGTTGCAGTGTTATATCGAACGAAATCCACCACTGCCTACCCTACCTTCACGTGGTCCCTCCCACACCCACACCCACTTCCACTCCCACTCCTACTCCCACTCCCATTCCCCATCTCCCGCATAACGAGCAACGAAACCAAAAGGCAAACACAAGGCGTTGCCGGGCACTCCCACTGCCGCATTCAATCGATGACTGCGATAGGCCTCGCACAAAGGTCAGCCACAGCCACAGCCACAAAATACCGAAAATAAGGTGGCTTAGATCTCGCTTCCCTTGCCCGGAATGGAAACTGGCAAAAAGGGGAGCGCTCAGTGGAGTAAATGGAGGTAGGAACTGTGCACTGGAAGTTGTGGGAAGAAAATACGTAGGAGAAAGTAGATGGAGAACAGAACCAATAGTGTGGAGTAGGACCCAAAATATGACTGGACCGAAGAAGGAATCCGCTTACCTTGAGATCGCTCAACGAAATCTTCGAAAGGAAGAGCTTACTTCTTACAGCTAAGAGCAGTTTCGAAATATAATCAAGTACAAGGGCTTCTTGAATTCCAAATTAAAGTATTCAGCACGAAGACTTCACTTCATCAAGAGATCGAGAGATTGTCTACTTGTTCCCACAGATCAACATCCCTCGCAGCCCAAACCACAGACGGAAGACAATTGATTTGGGCTTACATGACCGCAAGGTACTCAAGGTAGTCGATACCTATCTCTAGGTGGACCCACAGTGGACTGTGCCCCCTTGGCTTAGGTTTGGCAACCTGCCATTGGGCCCAAGAGTCATACTCAGAGTCAGACTCGGGCTCCGACTCGTAGTCGGATTGTATAGCCTTACAATTACCATAAAGTCGGAGCACAAACGAAAGACTTGGGCAACAAACTCGAGCGCTAAAATCGCAAAAGCGATCCCCAATTCTATCCTGCCTCCCCTGGCACCAGACACCCACCACCAGCGAGTCGCAGCGAATCGAAAGCGAACGAGTTGAGGTTTCCAAATGTACTTTTGATGGCTGGCAATGGCAACCACTCGTAGATTAAGTGCATAATTAAAAAAGGCTTGTGTGTGTAAGTTGCTCCTTAATGAAACTGCAAAGGCATTTGTGGCTGCCCCATGCCACAGCTCCTCTGCTGCTGCAGTTGCACTCAACATGCACGAGTATCGTTGTCATTGCAAAACGGTTCCAACTTGTTGTCGGCGGCGCAGAAGCATGATTAATGAGTTGGCCGATTTGGCCGCTGAATGAATTTGAAATTAGCCCACTCTGGAACTCTTTCCCCCATTCTCTTATTCGCTCTCTCTCTCTCTCTGTCCCTCTCTCTCGCTGTCTCTCTCTGAATGCGCGGGTGATGCAAGTTGCAAAATCAGCAGAAGTGGCAGGGGCAGAAACTGACAAGGAAAGAGAGAGAGGATGGCTGCTTGAGCGGGAAGCATGGGTAACTGGCAGAAAAGACTTTGGAGGCTTAGAAAGCAGTTAAGAGCTAACTGCTCTCTCTCTCTCTCTCTCTCTCTCTCTCTCTCTCTCTGTCTCTCTGTCTCTACCTCTTTCTCTGTTTGTGCGGCTGCGGCTACAATCGGTTGCATAATGCTGCAAGTTGTTGCTGTGGCCTGACATTTTCCCCTCCTTTCGTTGCTTTTGCGGTTGCTCTTGCTGTTGCTCCTGTTATGCTCATGTCGCAGTTATGTTGTTAGCTCTGCGCGGCTTGTTGCTTTGTAGCCAACATCCAGCCTGTTCGCTCCCTTTTGCCTTCCCCATTAGAGGGTTTCAGCCTCATCCAGATATGGGGCTCGTTTGGCGAAAGATCAAAGCGGGATTTTAGGAGGCCTGTTACCCGATTCGCTTGGGCAGTGTGCCAGTGTGGCAGGGACAGACTCCCACAGTCCTCTAGGCATCCAAGAGATCTCAGCTCAGCCAAAGACTCAATGGGATACATAATTGACCGAATAATGGACAAATAATGGGCCGCCCCAGCCTTGGCATTGTATTATATCGGCGTCAAGAGCCGACGCCAAAAAAACAAATAAAGTTTGCCTCGGTGCTGATCTCGAATCGGATATATGTCTGCAGTGCATAATGGTGCGTAATAAACTGGATAACTGCCAAAGCAAATCAGGCAGCCAAACACACACGCATGGCTAAGCTTTGAGGCTCAAATGCGGCCAGTGCGACCAATGCGGCGTATGCGTAACGACGTCAAACAAATCAACAAAAACCGAACGAACGGGAACAGCAAGCCAGCAAACAGCGAACAGACGGCTTGAGCGGAGAAACGCCTACAAGTCGTCTAATGCGTTAATTGCCAGTTAACTTGGCTAATGGCTCGCGGATTTATGGTATGGTGCGGTGCGGTGCGTAGGGGGCGCCCACATTACCGAAAGCAGATCGGTTTCGGCTCCCGACGAATACGCGTACAGTCGGAAAAGTCTTTCCGCCCTGCGCTTTCATTTCACCTTCCGCAGAGGAAAACAATGGGAAATTAGCGCTGTCTTCGGTTAAGGGCCTGGCACTAATGCCTTAACCTTCTTCTCCGCTTTTCGCCTCGCCACAAGAGTTCAGGGGCTAATTTTCACTTTGCCAAGTTCGCTGCTCCGGGTCATTTGTGTCTTTCTTCTGCCAACTATTGCCAACTAATTTGCATAACAAAATGGCTAAGAGCAAGGCAAAAAAATCGAGTATACTCGAAAGCAGCACTCAGGAAGTGGTTCAGTTTCTGGGCTTTTACTTTCATTTTCAGCTTCAGGCGAGGAGTGTTGGGGCTAGAGGAGCTTAAATTGTGTATTTTAAAGGATTGGCGCAGAGGAATGAATGCTGTGTGGATCTCTTAAGGACCAATTATATTCGTAGCCGCTAAAATCGGAGTAGTCCACAACCAAGTTGTCGGCTGTGTAAAACAAATTGGTCGTGAATTGGATATCCTTTTCGAGACCCTATAAATGTCCAGTTCTCTATTACAAGCCTATTTATAGCCAACTCGCCAATAAATTGCTGACCTATATCCATCCGTAGGAAGACCACAGAAGTCCGAACGTGTCTTCAGAGCTGGATGCTGGATGGATGGGGTGGGGGGTATTTTTACGACTATGAGTCTGAACGACAAAGAGCCAGCGGCAGAGAGAGAGAGATGTTTGGGCTCTCATAGAAATATGTACATACTCGTACATTCATACATATGAATACTTTATAGAGTGGGAGATGCTCCAGTGTGCCACAACCATCTGACCACTTTTATTCCAAGGAATTAGAGTAGGTGATTTTTTTTGTCAATAAAGAGCATTCAAACATCAGTCATCATTGGTGAATCACTTCACTTCCATTTGATTCTCCAAGCCGAGGACACCTACTCGCAGCATTCATTCAGAGCTGAGAAAAAACACAGTCTATCATCTATGGGCTTCAATCAGAGTTGAAAGTCTTTCTTTTCTCTTCCGTAACGAGCCACGCAATGAATTATAGGCCTATAGGCAAAACCACTGGCAAAATCCTTGGGATTTTAAATCAACTGAAATGGAAATCAAGTGGGGCGAGAGATTCGGGCCCGCCCAAAGGAAGGAGACATTTCTGCTGGAACCGCCTAATCAGAGCTGAACGATCTACATAATGTCTTGTCGCCATTTTCAATTAAACAATTTACGCCGCCAAGAATGTCAAAAGAGTAAGTGTGAGTGTAGGTTCGATTCAATTGCAATCGAAACGAAGTAGAAAAGTTGAAAAAACCAAACAGAAAAACGCGCGACAGCCAACAGTTCACAATTTGCAAGTCAACTAATTAAAATTGCAGTCGCGAGAGAACAAAATAAGTCAAAATGAGAACAGCAATTGTCAGCACACATGCGGCACACAGCTGGGCAAAGGAAAATGGTCCATGCAAAGTCGAGAGTCAAGAGCAATAAGTGGTGGACTGACAGTTCATAAATATGGCCAAAACACTTGGCCAGGCTCCAAAGAGTTGACAACTCGAGCTGCTTTTTGGTCTCCGCCATCGGCATCGGCACCGGCTCCGACTCGGAATCGGACTCGGATTCGGATTCATGGCAGCCGAAATACGTGAGTCTTGTACAATATGCCACACGTCTACGAGTCGAGTGTATGCGGCGTGGGGGTCGCCACTTGCCACTTGTTGCTTTGAACTTATTTTCCACAAGGTCGTCGTGTCCAACTAGAAAATAGCCAGCATTTGCTGGGCAGCAACAACAAATTAAGCCATAACTGCTTGCTGCACATGAATTTGTTGTTGCCGCTGCGTGTCCACACGCTTTGGCGGTCACTTAACAAGTGCCACGCCCCGTTCTGGACAGCTCAGTAATTCGATCGAAGCGATAAATAATTGCCGCACTCGAGCGCATTACGGGGAAGGCAATAGCGGAATGAATTGAATTCTGGCTACTGGGTCCGAAGGATAAGTGATAAGAAAGAAGACAGGTTGCCTCTTCGCGAAATGTAGCGATGCCTCAATCTCTCCCTCAACACTCCCCCTCCTCATGCGGCAGAGCCTTTACCTGGAGGCGCCCTGGGCCGATAATTCGAATGAGAGATCATCTAGGTACATACGAGTATTAGCGTATCTGAAATAGTTCTGAGGTGTGAGTTACCTCTGGCAAACAAGCGTGTAGATTAATCTGAGTATTTCTTATGCTCGACAGCTCCCATCAGGCGATAGCCACTGCCGCTGCCGCTGCCAAAGGCCACTGGCCAATGGCTCTGACTCTGACATTAACTTTTATTTCGATTTTGGCACTTGACTTACTTTTCCATATGCATTTGCTGCATTTTCTGCTCCATTCAGGCGGCATACGGCGATTAGTAACTGTACTATGCTGCTCTATGCTGAGGGGGCAGTTATGATTTATGTCTGTAATTTGATAGAGTGCCGGCAAGACAAGTTTATGGGGGACCTATGGCGAGTCTGAGTCTGAGTCTGAAACTGAGTCCAATGCCAAATGCTGATGCCGATGTCAAGTGTCAGATTACATTTATTTCGATATTTATTAGAGAACTCAACTGAATGGAACCGACCTGGAACTGGCCCGGCTACGCAGCGGCAATTCATTTAATTAGTTTGGCCGGAGCGCGACTAAAGATAAACCATCGCAATCAAAATTTATGCTAATACTAGACTAATATCCCTGGGGTATGCTCGTTCGACCAGCGATCGACTTGAATGGCAAGCGCACAAAAAATGAAAACACAGAACTTCGATGTCAAAGGATTGGAAAAAACATTTGCAGAATCGAAACCAGAGCAGTTGGCCAAATGTCAAACGCTTAGGCTTTAAGCCTGGCCAGCAGCGCCGTTTTCATGGTCAGTCCGGACTCTAGACTCTGCAACGGCACACACGGCGTATGAGTGACGTGCATGCTGAGGCGTCACATTTTCTGACCACTGGCATTAATCAAAGCTCGGCTAACTGCTGCTCCGGCTGCTGCTGCTACCGCTGCCTACCCCACGCTCCTCGCCAGTTCCCCGTTCCTCCTGCTCACTCTCTTTCTCTCCGTGCCCGGCCAGAGCTGCATTTAATTAAATTTAGCCGCTAACCACGCGTTTTGTCTTGGTCAGCGCCGCTCTGGTCGGCGGCCAACAAACCATACATTTGTTATACGAAAACCCAAAACGAAAACTGCTTTAAGTTTTTCGTTGCGGCCACCTGTGGCAGTCTGGGTCTGAGTGCACAGATTGGTATGCCAGGAATGGCGAGACCTTCAAAAAACTGTTCAAATATCTTAGGCGAGAGTTTACGAATAATAGACTAATCATATTTTTTTACGCTGGAAAGACCTCTTCTTTGAGGAGAAATAAAATGAAATTTATCCGTTAAATTCGCTATCGGCGCATCCTTTCAATAAAACGCAATTTTAAACTGGAACATCCACGTTTAATCGATGGAAATCTCCCACTAATGAAAATGAACAGGACCGACACACACAAGGCAGTCCTCTTGAGGGAGGCCACTTGAGGAAAAGGAGAGATTGCCTGACCGGCCAAAAGGTTTGCTAGGCATACATGAGGTGTCACTTGTAGGGATCGGCGAGCGATCAAGTCTTAGCTCGTAATTAGTCATGTCAGTTCTGAAGTTGAAAATAACATCAGTTCGAAGTTAAAACTCCACTCGGTGAAATCAACACCCATTATTTTCACCAAAATGGTATTCATCATATTGTTTCTCTCTTGTTTTGTAGCACCACAAAGACGAGATTGGTGAAGTGTTCCAGGATGAGCGAAACATGGCAGCGATCTTGATGCGGCGCCACATGGAAACGGGCGACTTGATAATGGTAAGTGTTCTATAAGTGGTCTCTAATCAACAGCCCCCACCCACCCCAACACGCCCCACAAGGTCACACCGCCAGTACGCCGATCCGATCGAGAGACGTGCCGCAGGAATTTCAATTAGCGCAGGCCATTAGGCTTGTTCTTAAGTTGTTCTTGATTCTGCCTCCGATTTGGTTTCGATTCTGTTCTTGTGCTCGTGGGCTCTATTCTGGTCGCACTCGTACTTGTACGTGCTTGTGCTGCTACGTACTTGTTTCTGTTATGACAGACGGCCATTGTTGTGGTCACTTTTGGAGCTGCACTGGACAGCCCGAGCATGTTCGAGCATTACAATTAAACGCCCGCTGGTGTTGGTTGGTGCTCGTTGGTCGGGCATTCAGAACGATGGCGGATAATTTGCGGATTTGGACAATTTCTGCTGATTAAGCATTAATTTATCGCCGCAAAACCGTTCGGTTTGGGCCAATCGGCAGCTGTAGATGTAAATTGCAAACGTCGAAGTCGAATCTGGCAATAGGGGTCTTGGGTCGACTGGCGGGTACCTAGGAATCGCACATCTAAGAGGTGACATTGGATGGTAGATCATAAGCACTGAAGAACCAAACTCCATCGGACATGCTTTATTGGTTCCTTGCTCGCGTATTTATTACTACAGATGTACGTACATATGTACATCCAAATAATCAATTCATTTGAAATTTCTTCAAAAATTTGCCGGGCCGGCTGCAGTCAACCCTTCCCCCCAGCCAAATACACCCGTTTTTTCTAGGACGGAACTGCTGCTGTTGCTGTCGTCGCGCACCTTGAACCCATTTAACAAGAGTGAAAATTGCGATGGCGTATGGGCGATAAGGCCAAGATATATTACACCATAAATGCTCATGTTTCCGAATAAGAACAATCGCATAAAGGTGCCGATAGAGTCACAGAATATCAATCTCTACTATATTTTAAATGAATGGTCTCCGACTCCGACTCCGTCCCCGCCCCCGCCTGATCGGCAATAATTGTTCCTGGCTGAAACGGCTGAAGGTCAGCGTAATATAATTCCCATCGCTGAGAGACATTGTCTTTTATTTTATAGTCCCATTTGTATACCTAATTTTTCCAGTGCTTCTGCTGACGTTCTTTTATGAGAGAATTGGCAATTAACATTTAACCCGAGCGGAAATGAGGACCAGCGATCAGCACAAGCTCTGGCATAGAGGAAGTGGGCCTTAATCGCCGGCCTTTGTGTGGGGGATGTTTTCCTTTATGCGGGGGCGAGAGAACGGATCCATTCCATTTCGGTTATGTGAACCGAAAGAAACCTTTTGAGGCTCCCTGCACGGAGAATTGCACAACTGAATGTCACAATTCAAGCAAATTAATACTCAGACGAACAAACGGGCAGCAAATCATAAAATGACCAACAAATAATTTGACAGACAATAAGGTCAATAGACAACAATCATCGCCAAGCGTCTTCGGGCTTCCCCTTTGCCTTCGCACAGATTTTTCGTTGACTCCTTTTCTTTGACTTTTTGGCTTCGACAGCGTCTGCTTGGATTTCAATTTGTTAAACAAAAGCTGGGTAGGAAAAAAATGTATTTTTGATAATAATTACAGACAGCTAATAAAAGGTCAAACAGCAACTTCTGGCCCGGTCCGACTTGACCGACTTGTTATGGCCAAGTGCGCCAGCCAGATCAGGTTGAAGCCGCTGTTGGCGCTGGCGCTGCCGCAGCACTGGCTGACACACAGAAAAATTCATAAATAATATGTAGAAAATACACAAGCACTCATGTGAGCATGAAAAATGCCTGCTCGCTGACATTTCGAGGTGCAAAAGCCGGTGAAAATGTTTCGCAATTGGCCAAAATGCAGAAAACGCAGCTGGGTCTGGGGTCTGGGGTCTGTGTCAGCAGCTGCTGGCCACCGGCCGCCGGCCGCTAGCCGCTAGCCGCTGTCCGAGCCCGAGCCCGAGCCCCAGCCGGAGCCATAGCCAGAGTCAGACGCCGTCTTCCGGCTTTGATGTGACCTTAAACGGACGGGCCTCAAAACTATCGAGATGCCGTTACCGGCTTGTAATTAACGAGAAACCGTCAGAAGATGTCTTAGGCAGCGACAATTGCGTAATACTTCTGCTTGTTCGATCGTTTGTTCGTTTGTTGGACTACTATTCAAACAATGCCGACAAATAAACTTGCTGCTGCGCAGTGCTGCCCCATTCACTCACCTACGTTTATGGCCATTTAATTAGGCCCGCCGCAAGAGACTTCGTCCAAAAAATGTGCGTCTTACTTAAGGAAATTGTTACCACAGACCAAACTCAAACTCAAACTCAACAGAAGTATTTAAAATATTTTGCGCAAGGCGTTTCAAAAAGCATGATTGAAAATTAGATTTCATTTTCAGATTGGGCACAGATTCTGGAACTCCAGAATATACTTGTGCACCTTAATGAACGATAAGTTCGAGTATAGTTAATCTATCAATTGTGCATCAATCGCAGCCACTGTACGAAAGACTTCAGACACGAACTTGCCTTCAGCGCATTGCAAAGCATTTTCACTGAACACTTCAAATCTCCTACAGTAGTTTTACACGCCCTTGTTGTTGTTGAAACTAACCGAAAGGTACTCGAATTTGATATCGGAAGGAGGTCTGGAGGGAAGGTACAGCAGCCAAAAGTAGACTGAACCTATGAAGAGACCAAGATCGGGCTGAAGACAGCCTCAGATTCTTTCGAGCTTCGGTCAAAACGGTTCCCACAATACGGGACTGTAAACGATGCATCCTCCAACCGAAGGTATTCCATCATCTTGATGGATGTGCAGTGTAGTCTCTGCTGTGTGTGGGAAAAGAGACCCGAAAATAAAACCCGAATTTGATTTATACATGTACATGCCAGAAGTTGAAGGTCGCCGCGAATGCCCTTAGCTGACCTGGACTTGAACATCAGCATGATTCAACTCGATTCACTTGCCGCATCCATTAGCTGAGCCACCCACTGCCAGTCGAGGTAACGTGGCCAATTTTGACCTAATCAATCCTGACATTGACTCAAAATCCCCGAAGAGTGTGGCACCACGAAAACAAAAGAGAAACACTTACAGGCGAATATTGCCCGTAGTATCATGGTCAATTATACACGGGTACAGCGGAGTCCCCAAATGGCTTGTAACGAAAAACTGATGACAATTACTTCGGGGGCATGGCTCTTGGCTAGCTATTTTGGCTAATTAAAGGAGCCAGCACCGAACAAACTATAATTCCGGCTTTTCTGGCACACCATCTTGTGAGCTCTTTCGGGTACCTCGAATAAATAAAGCATCTGTTTTCTGTAACCCAGCTTGATTAATGCTAATTGCGATGCTAGGCGATGCGGTGCGTGTGGCTGATGAATGCGATGTTTGACGAGTATCTGATGTCTGCCTCTTGTCTGCTAATCACACTGTGCTCAGAAGAATTTGGCCCTGAAATGCACTTCGGCCAAGGGGCCCTTTCACAGGTGGCGTACCGGAGCGCTTATGCAATTGTCAGTTGAGGCACCTCAGATAGGCATCTACCTATTAATGAGCTTTCGAAATTTCTTCGGGTTGCTTGCGCCCCAGGTAAAAGAAGGTCTTCTGTGCAGTTCGATTTTTGATTGAAGTTTGGGCTTAAGTGCGACGTAAAGATTGGTTTACACACACTCAGTGCGAGGAGAGAGTACTTATCCTTTTATTCTGCTGTCCTGAGCTGCAGATGTTTGAGCATCCCTCAGCTGCCACTCCCAGCGATGCGCTGCTCTTTTTTAGACCATTTGACATTTGACATTTGGCCACCGATTGCCAACGATTGAAATATCATGTACTGTACTGCCATTTGAGCAAACAGGCATGGCAACAGTAGGGACAACACGTAGAACTATTGGGGAGCTGGCAGCAGCTCGGGAGGCGACATTTGGAATCGGCTGGCAGCGCTTGGGCCGACTCTATTAGACAGCATTCGCAGTCGTCATCATTAAGCAACATTCATGTCCAAAGTGCCAAACGAGTTTCTATCCGAGGTATCTTGCGGTAGCTTCTTCGGCTTGGGGTATTCTCACCTTCCCAGCTCAGCTCAGCTCAGCTCAGCTCCCAGCTAATTGCTGGCCTTGATATTTACACAGAGTGTTGAGTGTTCGCTGGCGAGTGTGTCTGTGCGATAGTTGATCTTCTTGAATGGAAATTCTGTATTAATACTAATACTGTAGCTGTCTGACCGCTGATTTGGCCGATTTGATTTGCATTAGCTTCGGGCAGCCGGTCCAAGTGTTAGGCCTGCGCAATTTATGGGATTTTTGCGGCCATCCTGATATTCAGGCGGGGAAGCCTCTAATCGTCAATTGAGAACATCAATTTATGGGACGATGGCATTTTCAAATGTTACTAAAGCTGATGGCTATGTCCGCGGCCACTGTTTTTGACTCTCGGTTGATTACAACTCAAAGAGCTGCTCGTGTGTTCCAGCAATTGGTGCGACTCGGGGCAGCGGTTTCTGGAAATTAATGTAAAATAGTTTTGCAAAACGCTGTTCCCTGCCCCGCCCTGGACATACTGGACATACCATGTGGACGACACAACCCCCACTGACGAGTTTGGCTGCTCGAGTTGCTCAAGTCTTACGGGTTTCGATGTTGGTTACCCGATAGCCGCAAGGAACGCGGCTCACTTGTCCGAAAGGAAAGGAAAATGTAATAAAACTGAAACTAAATCGAGTCGACATAACAACGAGCGTGTTACCAATATTCATAAGTCCGAGGCAGCAGCCCGACGATTTCAGTTGGCCGCTCACATGCAGATTTCGGATCCCAAGAGGTTTCCCCCGGGTCCAGCCAACTTTTAGAGATGAGAGCGTGACACGAAAGCTGTCGTGCTCACTCCACTCCGTCAACTCTATTGGCAATGTGCGTACGCACAGCTCGGACGAACAGCGGCCAGCAAATCGCTTTTCAATTATGCCCGGCTCCGTTCATACTCGTATTATTTAATCGAAC